ACACGCATGGAAAACAAGCAACCTTGTCGAAACCGAATCAAAAGACCCAGGCTACTTTGGCTCCACGCACCACAGTTGCATACGCTCGCCCAGCGATTCGCGTGCAACATCGAGATCAGTTTGGTCGCTGAGCAAGACCATGTCGCCTTCGTCATCCTTGTACTGCAACGCCAGCCCGCTGATGTTGAACTTGGATTGGATCATGTCGCATAGCTCGTTGTACGAGGCATCCTGCGAAAGCACAATGACGCGCGTGTCCTTGTAATGGCATTTGATTTTGAGCTGTGCGACAAAAAAAATTGGTGAGCGCGACACGAATTTGAGACAAACAAACAAACAACAACCAACCAACCAAACCAACCAACAAACCAACTTATTCGTTTTGGGAGGGTACCTTTTGAACTGTGGCGGCAGCAGGCGGAGGAGCTGCACCACCACCAACGCCACCACCAACGCCACCACCAAAGGCATTGCCGGTCTTTCGCAGATTGGCAAAGCCGGCGTTGGAAGGGGCTGCTGCTGCGGCGGCGGGAGCTGGGGTGCCAAACTTGCTGGCCATCGCACTCACACGGGGAGCACCGGCGCCAGCACCCATAGGAGCAGCAGCAGGTCGACCTGGAGCTGCGGCTGGTCGCGATGGATTTGCGGCTGGTCGCGATGGATTGGCGGCGTACGTGGTTGGTGTTTGGAAGGGTTGGGCGTACGCATCCCCGCCCGCGGCGGCAGCAGGACGTGCGGCGCCCGCACCTGGACGTGCAGCAGAAGGTCCTGGCCGCGATGCAGCCGGAGCAGCCGCAGGAGCCGGGGCTGGCCGTGACGCTTGCATCTGCGCCATGCGAGGTAGACTGGCAGCAGGGTTGGGCTTGGTGTACTGGGACAATTTCGCATTGTTGGCAGCGGCAGGGACGGTTGATTTGGCCAGAATGGCCGCTTGCTGAGCAGCATAGTGCTGCTGTTGCTGCTGCTGTTGCTGCTGCTGTGCCTGGTACTGCTGCTGGGGAGATTGATACGTCGGTGCAGCAGCTGCAGCAACGGCAGGCGGGCGAGTCACCGCAGGAGCAGCGGGGCGCGATGGCTGCTGTGCTGGTCGAGCTTGGCTCGCAGCGGGCACAGCCTTGGCTGGCGGAGCCGAACGCGGGACGCTTCGCGCGGGCGGTGGAGCGCGGGTCGTTGGAGGCGCAGCCACTGGCGGGGGATCGTCCTCGGCAAACTCGTCGTACTCGGGCTCTGCAAGCTCGTACGACGGCAGGGATGCCGAACCTTTGGCCAGCAGCTGACGCGCGGCATCGACGTTGCCGGAAGCAGCGCTCTCGAGAAGCTGCCGACCGGAAAACCCAGAGTAATTGTCGCCTTGTCGCACTGCGGCGACGACCTTGGCCTTCTGGGCCTTAAACACGGTGCCAGCCGAGGCGATCTTGTCCTTTGGAGGCCGAAAGATGCACTCCGAGTCCAAGGTGTACAGCGGCGTGCTTGCCAAACTAAACGCGCCGCTAGCAAACGCGGCGGCAACCTCCTCAATGCGTTGGTGCTTGACCTCTCGCTTCCACTCTGCAGCCGACGCCACGTCCTCTTGAGCGTACTGCATATCGTTCAGACCTGCGAGGGCCAGGCCTCGATTGAACAAAACCTCGCACATGTACAGTTTGTGGGCCATTCCGAGCTGCGTGTAGTCGATGCGATCGTTCCCTCGCAACCGTCGGAAGGCCTCGTCAAAATCTTCCAGCGCCATCTCGTAGTTCTGGTCGCTATAATAGGCAATGCCCCGTTGGAAGTATGCGACTGCGAGGTGTTCGTCCTTGGTGACAGCGGCCGTGAACGCCTAGCAAAAACCAAAGCGAGTACAAGCGATCCAATTGAGTTAGTTTGGTAACTGTTGCATCTCAGCAGCGCGCATGACGAAACGTTTCGTGTTCCAACCTCCCCCTCCAGAAAAAGAAAAAAAAAAAGAAAGAAAGAAAAAAAAAAAAAGGTCGGTCGTTGATTGAGATTCAGGATCGAATCACAGATTCTGAGTGGTTCAGAAGCAAGAATCAAGTCAAGAGATCCATCAACATCAAAACTAGCCTGATAGTTCAGGATCAACTCAGGATCAAATCGGAATCAAATGCATCAGCTCGTTGAACTCGAAAACACAAACCGAGTTGTAGAATTCTCGCTTTTGCATTGGAAATTTGCAATGGAAAACCAGCAGCTTTTTTTTTTTTTTTTTTCTTTGGCATTGTGTTTTGGCCACCCGAACGTTCGCACTTGCGCGAGGACGCGACTCTGAGGGCGACGCTTCCGCCACGGGCCCATTGGCAAGCGCTGACCAAGCACACCTACGTCCTTGCTCATCCGGCCGTCAATCCGAGTCCCCAACGTTGGTGGAAACGGCGGTTGACTGGTCCGGGTTGCATCGAACCACTCCAAAAGCCGCAACTCTCGCTTTTCGCTGCCTGGCTCGTCTGCCACTCTGGCACACAACATGGACCTCCGCCCCCACCCCTTCAAACAGACTCACTTGGATGGCCTCGGGGTGGCGGCCGGCGCGCAGCTGGATGGATCCGATCGTGAACATGATTTTGGACGAGTCGCCGCAGTCGTTCTCGAGCAGGTCGAGCGCCTTGTCGGACTCGCCCTTGTCAAACAGACCGGCAGCCTCGTTCCACTTGACCAGCGTGTCCTTGAGCGACATTGTGTGTCTGTGGTCGGGGTCTTTGCAGAGTGCAGTAGTGGGAAAGTTGACGAGAACACTGAGAATGACAACGACAAAAAAAAAAAAAAAAAAAAAAAGACTGAGAAAGGGGCAAATTTCTGAGCAAAAGGTTGCAATTTTATTTTCAGTATGGATGTTTCATCATGTTCAGTCCCGCTTCTTACCCCCCCCCCCCCAGCATCGCTCTGGCTTTTTTTTTTGCTCAGGGATTATGGAACTCTATTGACGAGCCAAGGAACATTGATGGCGACCCAGACGCAGAGACAATCCATCCACGCCGAGCCGCGCGTCCCGGGACTCGTGATTGTGCGCAACTTGCTGGACGCGGACGACTGCGATGGCTTGCTTGCGACCGTGGACGAGTCTCGCTCCGAAGCCGAGGCGCAACGAGCCGCGGTTGCCATCGCCAACGCGAATGTCGGATCCGACCAGGTGGACGACGCTCAGCCGACCAAGGAACACGCGTATCTCGATCAGATGATGCATTTTGGCCAGCTTCCGTGGTTTGCCACTTGGGCAGCGGATCGTGTGGCAATGGTCCTGCCCCAGGTCATTGCTGCGCTGCAGAACGAGCACCGCAACGAGTCAGTGCGTCAAGACCAAGAAATTACAGCACAAGAGGCTCAACAAGCAGATGTCAATACTACTAACATGACACGAGAACTGGAGCTGCAGCGACTCGCAACGCGATCGCCACTCTTCAACCAGCTCATCCTGAATGTCTACTCACCTGGCAAGGGCATTCGCCCACATGTCGATTTGCTACAGTTCGACGATCTGGTAGTTTCTCTGTCGCTGGGCGCTCCCACCGTCATGACATTCAAGCCGATTTCAGGAGATGCTTCGCTCGAGCTGTGGCAGCAACATTGGGCTCGCGAGCGGGCTGCCGGCCACCTTGTACCGCCAGAACGGTCTGGCACCCCAGCGTCTGTCGAAGCATTTTGCAACACGTTTCCTCACATGCCAGAAGAGACAGCGGTGGACGTGTGGCTGGCACCTGGCGATTTGGTCGTGCTTGTGGGACCTGCGCGCTGGCGCTGGACGCACGAGATTGCATTCCGCGATGCTGATCCCCTCGAAAGCGGAGAGCTTCTACCTCGTGGCTTTCGAACTTCTATAACTCTGCGAGCACTGCGCGATTGGACCGGGCAAAACTAGAAACTAGAACAGGATTGCTGGTTTTGGTGGCCACGTATCGAGACGAGTATGTTGCGATGGATTGATTTAATGAATGACTCATGAGCACGAGAAGCATGGCAAGCGTCTGCTTCACGATTGTAACTGAAAACAAACAAAAGCCAAGTTCCTTCTTGTGTTACTTCTTGCCGGCGGCAACACGACGCTTGCGAGCTGTCACAATGTCAAAACCAAGTCAACAAGTTAGTCTCGACAGCGCAAAGCATCCCTACTGAAGCACAGCAAGAGATAGTCTGAATGACAAAACCAAGCACAGCACATGACGACTTGCCTGCTTCGCTGTTTCGCGATGCCACCTTCTCGATGCTGTTGCGAGCGGCAACGCTGCGGCATGAGAGAGAAAGCTTGCGAATGGTGTCATTGCCATCAATCAAACGAGCAATTTCCATTTCGTAGCTGTCGCCAATGCTGTTCGTCTGCGACAGTGAAAGTGGAAGCGGCAAAAAAGAAAAAGAAAAAGAAGAAGTTAGAAGTGAGAAAAGAAATTGGCCCCCACTTGCACCAACAGATCAGATCAATGAAGACACACCTGGTTGGTCAGCTTGAGCTCGATCAAGGTCTTGTTGTCCACAATCGCCGCAATCATTTGCTTGATCACTTTGCCCGAGATTTGGTTGGTTTCGAGGTGCAGCACTTGAATGGTCGAGTTGGTCTTGAGCGAGTCAATCAGATCCTGAGCAGCACACCCACACACGACACAAACGCACAGAGGAAGGAAACGAGAGTGTGAGCAACCACGCGGCCACTTTGCAGAAATTGGAAACCAAAGCAAGCTTTACGTGAGCAACAGCATCCGAAACGTGCGCATTGGACATCTTGACGTCAATGATATGCGTGTTGCCACCAAGAGCTCGGGCAAACGCGGCAGCACGCTCCACCGTCAGGTCGGGATGGTTGTTGAGGTTGATGGCGGTGAGCGTCGAATCGTTGGACTCGACACGCTTCAGGGTCTGGTCCAAGTCGACGGAATTGACGCCGTCATCGCGCGGACGATCGACTTGAGTTGCTGTGTGGAGAACACGCATAGGGGGCATCAGACGAGCGCGAGGCAGAGGAAATTGAAGAATGTGAGCAAACAACAAAAGAGAAGGAGGCAACGAAACGATAGCACAGAGCTGACCAACGTACCAACCACAACAGAGGGCATGCCGATGCCGCTGTTGCTGTTGCTGTTGCCACTGCTACGGCTGCCAGCAGGGCCAGCTGCAACAATCGGACGGACAACACGGCCGCGCTCACGATCCTCTTCATTCAGCTCCTCGGCCATTTTGAGCAAATCCGCCTCGGACTGGCCGGTGAGCGCGACAAGGAGCTCGTCATCGGCATCAATCGCGGCGCGTGCCTTGGATGCAGCCGCGGATTCAGTGGCAACCGGTGGCTGCTTGCTGAATGCCGGCGACGACGTTGTGGATGAAGTAGCGGACTTGGTGGGTGTGCGATACGGGATTTTCTCTAAAGTGAAGATCCGAGAGTTCCACAGACAACACGCAAATGACAGGAAGAGAGAGGGGGGGGGGAAAAAAAGGGTCAAAGTCAGCATTCGAAACAAGCGGCCAGATTTCTCAGTTCAATGAGTGTTGAGGAATTTCCCTTCTCGCTCGTTTCTCTGCAATCCCTTGATCATTTTCGCTCTCTGAGATCTCGTTAGCACGCGATGACGGCTCGAGACAGCAAATCTGAGGGTTGACGAATTTGTCACTTTCAGAGTGTTTCTCTGTGGATCTTTTGTTGGAGATCAAACTCTCGCTCCATGCGTCGTCCGGTGTACAGCATGAGATCCGACCGCGCAATCTCCTGAACTTCAAAAAAATTCGAGCCGCCGTGATCGTGATCACGAATCCTTCCAGCGATCACAGGAGTGCCGAGCAAATTCGTCAACCAATCTTTTGTCTCGTTCTCGAATTTCAGACGTCGCTGTGCTGTGCTCGGATCGAGCGACTGAGTGATTGAGTGACTAAGTGAGTGGCCAAGTGAGTGAGTGCGGGTTACCCTTCACGTCGGGCGTGCTCTCGGCTTGCGAAAGCATGAATTTCTTGAGTTGGTCGGGATTGTAGCTCGACGAATCGACGCCCGACGACGACGACGACGACGACGACGACGACGACGACGACGACGACGACGCCGCTGCAGTTGGACGACGTGGCGCAGACGATGACGACGATGATGAAGCGCCGCGCGGATGGGAGGGCGCGGACTCGTCCTGCCCAAGTATGCAGCACAACGGGATTGTGAGGAATTGAAGAAAAAAAAAAAAAACAGGAGGAGTAACGAGATTGATTCGACTAGAATCGCTTGACGTTACTGCCGCATTCACGGCGCTTGACTCTTTTTTGACTCTTTGTTTTTTTGTCAAACCTTTGCTTTCTCATTCTCTCCAATTTGGTCCTGCAACGCAGTGTTCTGTCGATCACGATCCAGCGTCCCAGTCCTGGTTTGTTGTCGCTCACCTTCAGTTCGTCGGCGAGCTGGTTGAGCTCTTCCTCAGTGAGACCTTCGAAATCTTCGTCCGACATTCTGAAATTCTCAAACGTTTGTCTTTTTGTTCAGAAATGAGTGCGTTTGCCACCAATTGGGACACAAAAATCCAATTCATGCTCACTTGCTGGCACATCAATATCGACTACATTTTTCATTCGAGCTCACTGGACCAAGAGGAAGGAGCTCGGAGCTCGGAAACCGAATCGAGGTCTGAAATTGCGAGAGCTTCGGTTTAATACTTGAGCGACCTTTCATTGCATTGAACTGCATTACAAATCCAACATCCGTCGTTCGTACTTGTATCGAGTCAAAGTGGATTTGAATCGCGATTCATAATTCACTCAGTCCTCCTCTATTTGATTCTATTGCAAAGGTGACTGAATACAAGCCACGCTACGCTCCAGTGCTGTGTGTGTGTGTGGGTTTGGTGGTCTCCCCTTTTCCACACTCATTCGGTGGAAGTCACAAGGACGACGGCGTTTCTCCGCAAGCACAGACCTGCTCAGCGCCAGCAACAAACACAAAAAAGCAGAGGAAAGAGGACCACAAGGGATCCAGAACAAAAAAAGAAAAAAAAAAAAAAAAGGGAACGGAGATCTCGTCCTTCCATCGTGACTGAGGGCTGCCCGTCTGCAGAGACAGTGCGACGGGTGGTGATTGCTGCATCACTGCCTCTTGAAGCACGAAACGGGACCCCAGGGGCGGAGGCGGGGGGGGGGGCGCAGAGGAAGAAGGAAGGGAACGGTCCGCCACAATACACCAACTCTAACTGCATCGCCCTTTCTAGCATCGTTCCACTCACCTGGTCTTGCTGTCATCCTCGTTGTATGCTTGACAACAGATTGCTTTAGATCAGGCAGTACAAGAATCAAGCCGAAAGTAAAACAAGCCAAGGAACAGACCAACACAACCCGCTTCGTCAAGCCATTTCGAGCTGATTTTGCAAAAGGCCCCTGTACACAACAACAACAACAACAAACCAGAATGGCGACCCGATTCACAACATACGAGCACCCAACGTTCGACACGTCGTCCGTGGACTGGACGGATCCCGTCTCGGTGGCGGAGGGCAAGGAGCGCTTTGTTCGCGAGCGCCTCATCCTCACAGAAGTCACCGCCATCTTCCGAGAGCAGACCTCGGCATGCTATCGCCGTGAGGGTGTCAACCACCTCGAAAACTGCAAAGACGTCGTCGAGGCCTACCAGCGACACTTGGACCGGTACTCCAACCCCCGCAAGCCTCTCGACAATCCCTTCCGACGCATCACCGAGCTGCGACTCCAGCAACAAGCGGCCAAGGACGAGTAACAACAACAAAAACAAGTCAAAGCAACAAATAGCAGAAGCGCGCAAGAAGAGGGTGTTTATTTTGTCTTCTTTTTGGGTTGGTTTGTCGTTTGTTGCATTGTCCAAATGTGCCTGTGTTTTCAAAGCATGTGAATTGTGAATGATGTTTGAACGTTGGCACAATCTCGTTCGTATCACGACGGCAGTAGGGGGTGGAGGACCAACGGAGCCATGAATGAGGGGAAGCAGCGGAAGCAGCGGTGCGTTTTTTTGTTTTTTTCAAGCGGCCAGATGAGAATTTGTCCTCCTTGTCAATGGAGGATGTTTCGTCGATTGTTGGAGGATGATTCGTCGATTGTCGAGCCAGACTGCCGATTCGTTGAGCCAGAGCGATGATTCGTTGAGCCACCATGCAAATGACAATTCGTTCACTGATCAGGTGCATTGGCAGCTGTCTGGCATTTCCTTCTGTTTCACTGACCAAATTCGCACATCCACATGAACAATCATAGTTTATGGAAGGTTGCATTGTCCATCACAAATCCACGCCTTGTACGTTCAATCTTTGATCACGAGTGTTCAATTACCATTGCAGAACACCGTACCCCCTTCCGTCCGTTCGTCACCGCAATACTCGATCATACACGCACTGTATTCTGGATCATTATGGGCAAGTTTCGGAATTGGAGGACAACAATCACTTCTCAAAAGCGAAACAAATCTGTTTCACTTCAGTCCATTTCGTTGCTTTCTCACATGGTAACTGCTGCGAAGGCCTATTCATGGGTCTCTCCCACTCTACTCTATCGTGCACTCTGCCACCCGCAAGACACAGTGCCGCGATTCATTGTTGATACTTTCACCGACTCTTTCCATCGAAACTGGGGTCGAACGACTCGATCAGTTCTTGGCGATTCTTGGCGAATTTTGGCGCCTTTTTTTTTTTTTTTTTTTTTTTTTTTTTTGCTTTGGTTTGGAATCTTCTCCCTGCTCCTGTCTGTCGCCTCTCCACCCTCCCCGCTCGCATGCCGCTGCAATGCAAATGATCCCTTGCCCCTGCAATTGAGCCGCTGCGCATTGAAGCCCCGAACCAGCGGCGAACGAGCGCATGGCTTTTTTTTTTATCTTTTTTTTTTATCTTTTTCTTTTCTTTGTCTTCTTTTTTCATTTTTATTTTCTCAACCGGCTCCTGTCGTTTCAGCGCCCCTCCGTCTACTACGTTGAGTGATACTATGAGCGCGAATAGAGAAGTATGGTGGCATGGCCGGCTCGCACCCGTCGCTTCAGACTGTCGTGTTGGCTGTTCCTGCCCTTTTTTTTTTTTTTTTTTTTTTTTTTTTTTCCCTTTCTTCCTTTCTGCTTCTCCCTTCTCCCGCTCTCCCCGCCTGCCGTCCCTCAGTTCCTTGTGACACGCCCTCGGTGTAATTTAGTCAACAAAACTAAAGCATCGATTTTGACTTTGATGGCGGCAAGGAAAGGAGGTTCTGACCAGTTGTTTCACTTTTGCTTTTTTTTTTCTTTGGATAGGCAGCGAATCCAGCTCAAGCACCGTTCAGGTAATGAATGTGATTGCCCTACTCGTCACACTGTAGTTGTCTTTGTCCTGACTTGACTAACTTTGCTTTTATTGCATTTGGACAGGGAACAGCTGAGCGCGTTGGCCGCATGTCTTGGCGTCTCAGTCGATTTGGCGCCAATTTCAGAACTTACCACCCAGCTTGCCCAACGCGCCAAGCTCAAGCAGCTTTTGAATGGTCAACAAGCGGGCACTGATGCTCCAACTGACAAGCAGAAAACCGATGCCGCAGCTGCACTCCTGGAGTTGGAATTATCTCTCAGCTGTGCCAAGCTGGTGGTCCGCAATTTGTTGGGAGCTAGGTTGCTTGGGGCGCTGAATGACGAGCTTAACTCCAAGCTAGCTACCGACCAAAGTGTCCAGCAAGTCGAACAGCTGCGACGGCAGCTTGCTGCAACGAACATCACTGGTATGTGGTGTGTGTGTGTGTGTGTGTGTGTGTGTGTGTGTGTGTGTGTGTGTGTGTGTTTTCACTCATTCCTCGGTTTGCTTGCTGTCGATAGGCCCCTCGTATCCCACCGATGTTCGCGAGCTGAAGCGTGCCCCGGACCAGCAACGAGCCCGGGAAGATTGGCCTGAGGCTGTCGACCCTGTCTACCCACGCCACAACACGACCAAAGAGATTCTGACCGAAATTCACGAATCGTTTTTTGGCACTCGCTTGGCTCGCGACCGATTCAGATTTTTGCAAGTCGCCACCATGAGCGGTATGGGCAAAACAACCTACGGCGCGAACATTATCACGCACCTCCTCAAGGCTCTCGAGAATCCGGCAGCGGATCTCGGCTTTCCAGAGAAGCACAGGTCATTGTTGATTAATCTGCTCACCCATTGTACGCAGACCGTCTTCATTGATTTCAACGGTCGAGGCGACGGTCTCGCATCTGCAGATGACTTTGGCACCGACGTCTGGCTTGCCAAACGTCTTGCTGCTCGCGGCCTGCTGGACTTGCCCATCAAGAGAGTTCGTGATTTGCTGAGTCGGATGAGCGACCTCGACGTCAAATCGGTCATCCGCGAGCTCTGGCGACGCTTGCGCGAGCGCCAGCAGATTCCCGACGATGAACACGCTCTTTTGATCATCCACATCGATGAATATCAGCTCGCCCACCGCTTCCTGTGTGAACATGAAAACAAGACCTCGCAAGCCGCCAGCCGCGCGCTTGCTGATGCCTTCAATGAAATACTCGCATGCAACATGGGCTCAGATGAGAACACTGTGGTGGTACTTTTGACAGCCACTTCAACCGCCGGTTTGACCCAGCACCCGCTCACGACTCATAGGATGAAAATGGTGTATCTGGAGCCGCTCCCGCTTTCTACTGCCCTAGACCTACTTGAGACGAAATGGTTGGCATCTTCAAGCCAGCTCCACCCATCGTGGCGGGACAACGTCCAGTTTTGCCAGTTTGTTCAAGATGTCGGCGGTGCTCCGACTCTCCTCCAAGACCTTTCGTGGCATACTCAGCTCGGAGCAGCGCCCGGGAAGGACAACGTCAAAACTGTCCTTTGGCAGCTTGCAGGATCGCTGCAACCCCGAACTACAAGCAACATCGAAGCGTTTGCAAAGTCCACAGACAACATCCTTCAGCTGGCTGATCTCACGCTGACCCAGCAGTCTGTTCCGGCATCGACAGCTATTGATCAGGTGACGATTGAAAGGCTCGCATTCGAAGGGATTCTGACTCTGGCTCCAGGCGCTGTTGGCGAGGTCGTGGTCGGTTGTCCTATTCCGTTCATGAACTACCTGCTCAACCAGAACTTTGCAACGACTTGCGGGCATGCAGTGCATTTGTTTCAGATCCCTTTCGAGTCTGTTGGAGACGGGGATATTTTCGAAACCGCTGCGCACTTGTCGTTGACGGCACATCTCCGCTTGCTCGTTCAAACTGGTCAGGATCGCAATGTCGCCAGCCTTCTGCGCATCAAAAACCTTACCGACCTTCGCGGTTTTGCTCAGGCTACCGCACTTCTCCACGCCTTCTCCCCGTCTGCTTCTTACGTGCCGATCATCGAGGACACGCAGATTCTGTCCAACAGCAATTCGACCTTCGAGTTCTTCACTCGTCGGGTTCAAGGAAGAAGCCCCTGGTCCCTCAAGCAAGAGGATTTCGGCTCGATGGCCTCCTGTGTTGACACCCCAGCAAGCCGCATTCCGGTAGTTCAGACGCTGAAAAACACTTATGGAGTCGACATGTGGGTCTTGCTTCCCGCTGAGCACAAATTGTACGCAAAGACGAAACCCGTGTTGCTTCTCTTCCAATTCAAGCATCGTCAAGCCGTGAGTCGAGACAAATTTTTCAGAGATACCCATGACACGATCCAAACGACTCTGAAACAGGTGACCGCAGGTGTTACAGACTCGCAGACCGGCGAGACCTGCGACGTACTGATGGTCGTGATGGTATCTGGAACCGCGAGTCAAAGCCTGAAAGAAGCCACTCGTCTTGCGGCAGATCGGAAATGGGCCAAAGAACTGGCAACATTCAACGAGCAACCCGACCCTCGTGTGATTGTTCTCATGGGCGAGGATGTGCGCCGAATTGTGCCTTTCATGTGGTCGCGCTTTCCCGACACGGGTGACTGGGTCGTGCCGAACGAGGACGATTCGTCCAGCCAGGATTCGAGTATGGCGGATGGTTCGTCAAGCCAGACTGATGATTCTTCCACTGATCAGTAGCATTTGGACCTGTCTGTTTCTTGCTGTCTGTCTTTCAGTTCACGAAGCTCTTTGCTCGTGCTCTTTTTGCAAATCTATGATGTGTTAGACAGCTCGACTGTTCCAACGACAACATCTTTCCGTCATTGCATTGTTTCAACTTGTTTCGAACAAGTTCTTTTTGTTTCAATCAGTTTTGGAACACGGTTTTTGTTGTTTGAGACTTTTGGGTGTTTGTATTCAAGGCCAGAAAAAAAAAATCAAACAAAAACACCACAACTTGAACAAACTGCATTGAAAAAAAAAAAACCAACTTAACCATGCACCATAGTTTTTTTTTTTCGTTGTGTGTGACTGTGTTTTTGTTTTACGCCGTGGAAGGGGTCGACACGGCTCGCGAAAGAACCATACGCTTGAGCTCTTCGATTTCGTCTTCGAGGAAGGCCACGCGAGCACGAAGCTGCTGGTTCTCCTCAGAGAGGGCATCGGCCATGAGGCCAGTCATGTCCTCCTTGAGCTTCTTGGCATCGCGGCAGCGCTTGGCGGCCTCGTTGTTCTTGCGGCGACGCTCCAGATACTTTTCAGTGCGCTGGGTGGCGGGGGCAACAGCAACGCGTGGCTTGCGGGCAGGAGTCGTGGGCGAAGCACCTGCAGCAATGGCGGCAGCGGCAGCGGCGGCAGCAACGGCAGCCACAGAGCCAGGGGCGGGACCCTTCACCAGGGCTGCCTGTTTCTCGTACAGGCTCAGGTCAAAGGTCTGAGAGCTCAGCATGGAGGTCGACGACATGTTGGTAGAGCTCTCCTCAATCTCGGCAAACGAGCGACGAGCGCTCAGACGTGGCGAAGAGGCAAAGCTCGAAGAGCTGGGGGACGCTGGCAAAGCAGCCACGACGGGCGGGATGACTTCGTGCTGCAGCATGGCGTCGAGCGAGTCAAACGCATGCTCCAAGTACTGCAAGTCGGCCATCTGCTGCTGCTGCTGCTGATGCTGATCGGCAGTGTGAGCAGCGGCGACAGCGTCAAAGGACGAGGCAAGGGGAGAAGCCATGGGACGACCCTTCTTGAGCACGGGCTCGGCAGTCAGGTCAACAAAGCAGGCGGGCAACGGGTTGGCAGCATCTGCCAAGTGGGAGTGGACACTGGCGCCCATAATGTCGGGGGTCGCGAGGAGCAGCTTGAGGTCAACTTGGGTGTTTTCCAGCATGAGATGCGAAAGGGTGTCCACCCCGTCAATGCTAAATGCACAACTCGGTGTCGCGGACCTGGAAATCGGAGTGGTCTTGCGCGTCGAGGTCGGGGACAGGGGCGACCACGGGCGCAAGACCATGCATGCTAGGGTGAGCGGCGACACTGGCGGCGGCATGAGCAGCTTGGGTGGCGCCAGCGACGTGCGAGGACGGGTTTGCGGCGGTAGCAAAGGACAACATGATTGCGAAAATGGGGTGCTTGCTTCGGGAACGGTCGAAGACGACAAAAGACTGAAGGAGGAAGAAGACGGTAAAAGAGACGTGGAAACGCGCGGTTGGAAAGAAAATATCAGGCGTTACACACGACGGATTGAGAAAGCAAGTCCGTCAAGTAAAAAAAAAAGAATCAAAGAAAAACAGAAGATGAAAAATGTACAAGTTTCTGAGAAACAGTGTTAAAATGAGAAAACAAGCCAAAAAACGGAAAGGACGAGCGTCTTGAAACGGGGTCCCTTTTTGGATTTTGGATGGATGCTATTCTTCGGACAACTGAGTGTCTGGTTGGGAAGGTCGATGTGTGGGCTGGGCGGCTTGAAGGAAGACAAGCGTGGGGCACACAAAGAAAGGGGAGGTCGGGACGAACGAACGAACGAGAAGGCGTCGTGCGGCTCTTTTTTTGTTTTTGTTTTTGGGAGGGCAAAGGGGGGCCTGGGGACGCGGGGAACAACCTGAGGAAAGGCGCAGGGGGGCAGTTGGGAAGCTGCTGAAGGTCAGTTGAGGCGATTGGAAAAAAAAAGAAGAGTGAGGAACGAGTGAGTTTTGGATTTGGAAATTGAAATAGCCAAACGAGAAGCGCGAGAGAGTGAGGGAGAGAGAGAGAGAGGGGGAGGGAGCGACGGAGGGCAGAGGAAGCGACAGGTCGGTTGTGTAATAGACGGGAGGAAGAAGCGGGGCGTTACGTGATCAGCGGAAGCGAGAGAGAAAGTGAGCAAGAGAAAACGAACGATGAGGTAATTCAAGAAAAAAAAAAAAGAAAAAAAAAAAAGGACGGAATAAGGCAACCATGACGTCAGGCTGTTACGCAATGAGGTTGTTGATTGTCGTGTTCATTCGACGCCACACAAACCAGCTCATCGACAGCGGTGTGTGTGTGTGTGTGTGTGTGTGTGTGTGTGTGTGTGTGTGTGTGTGTGTGTGTGTGTGTGTGTGTGGGGCTGTTGGTTGTGCCGTATTGTATGCAACAAGAACGACAACAAAAGCCGAGTAAGCAGCCGCTGAAACAGCGTTGGATGACGCGACTTCCATCGAAACTCCAAACGTTTTGTCGAGCCATCTGCTGCTTCGTTGTCGCTCATGGCGCTCAGCTCAGTATTCAAACGATCGAGCAAATAACAACAATAATACTTGCTTATGATTTATTAAACTTTTTTTTTTGGGGGGGATCACTCGTCGCATGCTCGTTGCTGTGCTGCTGATTGCAGCCGGATTGCTCGCCCTTGCGCTCGTGCTGCTGCTGCCTGCCGCTGCCAAGGCCGTCCCGCTCCACTCGACTACGACTGCCAGTCAAGCAAGCGCCACTAAGAGCAGCCAGCGTCCTGGTGGTGGCGTCGTCGGACAAGAGGACCAACTCGCAGCCAATCCGTGGCTCCACTCGCTGCGACGGCGCGCGAGCATTGACCTGCCGCACCGCCTCGTTGATCGCGCGACCGGCAACCCGAACAAGCCACTGCTGACTTGATTGTTCAGCTTGGCGCAAGACACCAAAACAAAAGTCGGGTGCTCAAAACACACCACTCCCCTCGCTTGTCAACGTCCGTTTCAGATTCGTCTCAGGTTTTGTTTCGCTCAGAATTCACCAGCAGCATCATCATCACCGTACCTGAGATTCTGAAGCCACCAAAAAGGATTATGCTGAAATCGACTGGCCCGCAACCCAAGTTGGTGTACCTGCCATGGGACGGTGCTATGCGTAGAGGAATTCTGGTCGGATGGATGGACGCAGAGGAACGTCAGGCTGTCATTGCGTACACTGCTCTCGATCCGGGTCTGCCGTCGCCAATGGACTTGGCAGAGATGCAACGCCAGCTGCTGACTGCCGATCCGGGAGTACGCGCGCCAAGCACGCCGCTGAGCGTTCTCGGCCGCGCGTTTTGCCGCCAATGTGAAGCGGCAGCTCCGTTCTCGCACAACTCCTTGTCTGGCGCCACCGGGATGACCTTGGCACTGGCACAGTGTACAGATTGCTCAGCCAACTCTGCCGCCATTCGCTCACCATTGACTGGCTTGCTCCCAGCACAGTGGCCCGAGGCGCAATTTGGCACCCAGCCAGCACGCCTCATCTTCTTTACTCGACCAACCGCCAAGCAGTATTATTCAGCAACACCGCTCGAGCTCTCTGCACACGCCACGTCATCATCGGAACTAGCTGCACGTGCCTCGCCAGTCGACGACGCGCTGTGTTGGATGAATCTATCGGCAGGCTTGTCGCCCGTTGATGGCGCACTCATTCTACCCTCCTCGGTCCAACTAGAACCGCGTGCCGTCGCCGAGCAGCGGCCATCGCTTAGTTGGAGGGCCTTTCTGGCCTTCCTATTCCTCGTGGAGTGGATTTGCAAGCCGATACAGGCGGTCTTGCAGCAGCCGATTGGTATTCCGCGGATTTATGCAGCTCCGCTTTGTTCCATTTCATCGACCGGTAATTGCATGTCATCCTTGTGACAGTGGTGATTGTTTTTTAAAACACGGAACATCCCCTTTCTCAACCGCCGTGTCTTGTCTAGGCTTTCAGCTCAACGTGCGGATTCAACAGCTGCGCTCCTTTCGAGCCGCCATGCAAAGCCTTCCTCTTGCGTGGCACAAGAGCCACGCCACTTCGTCTCATTTCATCCGGTGAGAGATTTCTTCTTTTGTTCTGCCATGCCTTTGGATTCGACTCGGCCAAAACGTCTCACCTTCTGAGCTAGGCAATTCAACACGCTCTGGCTCTTCCTCAACGATGTCATTTTCGGAGTGCATTTCGGTTGGGCTCTCATTGCAAACATGCCCGCAGTACTTGTTGTGCTCGACCACTGGATGCAGGTACAACGCGCCAGAGCTTCCAACTGTTCTCGTGGCTTTGAAGCAAACAAACAACCCCCCAAACAAACAAACAAACAAACAAACAAAAACACAACCAAACTCACCCCTATCTTCGTTGAACTAGAACTTTTTGCACGACTCCATGATTGCTCGCGTGCATTGGCTGATGGGCGAGCCAGCAGGCATCAAGATGAACGAACCTCTTGCCACGACACTCGGCAGCGCCATGCTGCAGCTGATCGAGGTGTGGTCTGTGTGGCTGCACCTGCTCCGGCCGTACTTGCCGCTGGTGCTCTACGCAATCGCCTTTTCTGGGCTTATTGGAGGCTCGATGGTCTTGTCCCTGGTCTTGGACTTGATTGGGCTGCTCTCGTTGCATCTCAAGATCTCGTACGTTGTTTTGGCCCGCATCTATCGCTGGCAGCTCACTGTGCTGGCGTCGTTGTGGCGTTTATTCCGCGGTACGTTTTGGCAACTGCGTGTTGAATATTCAATTGGTTCGTTGCAAGGTTTTTTTTTGTTTTGCCAACGTTTTGCTTGGACATTTGCTCAGGCTTGAAAAGCAACGCTTTGCGCAATCGCATCGACTCGAACGAGTTTTCTGTCGAGCAACTTTTGCTCGGAACGGGCGGCTTTACCATCTTGCTGCTGCTGTTTCCAACACCAGCAATGTTTTACTTGTACACTCTCTTGGTAAGAAACGGGGCCTGTTCGTTTTCTTTGCGAGCACCAAAAATCTCATTTGGAACCTGAACTTGGCTTGCAGCTTCAATCTTCCATCGTGCTCCTCCACCTGATTCTCAGCACCCTGATCGAAGCGTTGAATAGCTTCCCGTTGTTTACATTGATGCTTTTTACGAAGGACACGATGCGAATACCAGGCAAGGGACAACAAAACAAAAAGCCCTCATTACTGTGCTCGCGGTTGATCCAAAATTGCTCACCATCTTTTTCTCTGCTCTCACAGGCGGCGTGTATTTTGAGATTGCCGATGCAAAGTTTGCCCAGTCCCCTCTTGAACTGAAGGTACAGCAGCGGCTTTTGTGAATGGCAGGTCGGCGCGTGAACTCGAAACTCACCTTTTTTTTTTTTTTTTGTCTTTTCAGCACAAACCGCTAGCGTTCTCGTCTGTTTTCGTCGAGTATGGCCACACCATTGCCGACGTGCTTGCTCGCTACCGCCCATCCTTCGTTCTGCGTAGTTTGCTACGTGGAGATGCCATTCTTTCACTACAAACCCGGGCAAACCATTACGCTTGACAAAAGCTCAACTTGTTTGTGCTTTTTCGAGATAACGCGTCCGCACAGAAGCAAACACAGGTTGCTCACTACCGCGATTTGGATGTTGTATGTTTTTAAACTTTATTACACGAACCAAAAAAGCGGCTTGACATGAAGCACAACACACTTTTTGTGTTTTTTTTAAAGGTCGACCCGTCGGGTTGTTACCAGTCCTTGGCAATGTCGAACGACCACTGCCAGTCGAGGTGGGAGACCTTGTCGTCGTCGATGAACTTGCTCTTGACAGTGTAGTGGCCGCGAGCGAGCATGCCAGAGGGCGCCTCCTCAACCTGCGAGGTGTAGACGTAGGGCTCGGCGTTGGGGCCATAGCTGCCAACCATGACGGACGAGTTGTCGACTGTGTTGCAACAGGGGTTGGAGGAGCAGAGAGTGAGAAAAAAAGGAAAAATAAGAAAAGCCGAGTTGTTGGCTTCCAAAAAAGCGCCAACAACAACAACAAGGCAAGAATCCTCACCCTTGATGCCCTTGCGGTAGACGGCCTGGACGTAACGGAGACCAGCAACGAGCTTGTTGACGGTGAATCCAATCTTGATGCGGTACTCGCATCCCTCCTTGATGGTGAAGGGCGCGTCCTTAAGCTTGTTGAGATCGCCAGTCAGGTCGAGAGCGACGTCCGAGCGATCGGCAACAACGAGCGAGAGCTTTTGCACGACGACGGGCTTGCCTGTGGGGAAGGAAGGAAGGAAGGCACAAGATTGAAGTGTGAGTCAAACAACATTGGCAAAAAAAAAAAAAAAATCGAAAAAAAAACCATAGAAAAATCGAAAAATCCAAACGAAAATAGGAACTGTAATGTTGTTTGTATTGAAAAAAAAAAAGTTTTTTTTTTTTGTAATGTTCGTAGTCGGAATGAAACTGCGATCGAGTCATGTTGCAAAAGTGCACCACGAACGAGATGAAGACAAAGTGAAACCGAAAGTGAAAGTGTGGGAGAAACAACGACAAAACACAAGCACACACAGCACTGGAACGGGGCAGGAGGTCGAAGGGGAAAAAGAGAAAAAAAAGAAAAAAAAAAGAAAAAAAAAAAGAAAAAAAAAGAAAAAAAAAAGAAAAAAAAAAGAAAAAAAAAAGAAAAAAAAAGGAGGAAAAAAATGCATTCTTTCGAATTGGCAAGTTTTCGTTTGCAAAACGAGAGCGACGCACATGCGATGGATGAGTCACGGCAGCAGCAACAGCAACACAAGCAGCCGCGGCATGAAGCGACTCGCGCTCGGAAGCAATGAACAAAAACGAAGCAGAAACAACCACAAAAAAAAAAAAAAAAGCATTGCGTTTTCCTCTTTTTTTTTTTTTTGCGTTTTCAATCTTGTTTTTTTTTTTTTTTTTGTGCCAACTCAACCAGCTGAGCAGACGCAACCATCCGCAAACGACACCCAACTGTGACGTTGTGACGCTTGACTGCCCGAGTTTCGTTCCATCACCAAATCGAAGAACATCAACAACCGAACAAAAAGAAAACGACAAAGGAAAAGAAAAAAAAAGTTGTGCCTTTTTTTTTTTTTTTTTTTTTTGTGGGAAATCAATTCAAATTCAATACAAAGTCAATACGTTTTTTTTTTTTTTTTTTTTTTTTTTTTTGCTTCTTCTATTGTTTCTATTGTTGGATTCGTTTACCTGTGGCAGAAGCACCGCCGCTGCCCTTGAGCAGCGACTCCTTCCACTTCTTGAGGGACTCGTCGTTGGCGTCGAGGTTCTTAAGGGTGTCGAGATCGACGGCCTTGGGCGCCTTGTAGCCGGGGGTCTCTTCGACTTCAATGTCCTCGTCAGCCATTTTGTATTGTAACAACAGGGAAAAAAAAAAAATAAGACTGGAATATTTTTATTCGGATTGTTTTTGATCTGAAATGAAAACAAAGAGAGAGAGAGAGAGAGAGAGATCACACAGAGGCAACATGCATGTGCGGATCATCAAACACGGTACAGCAGAGCACAGGGCAGGAGATGGAGCAAAAAGAACGAAGAAAAAAAGCCCCAAATTCACAAAATTACTCATGCCAGAGACCGCTCGTGAGGCTCCCGCTTGCCTGCAGCAGCTGTCGCAGTAGTAGCAGCAGCAGTAGCTGCAGCGGCAGCAGCGCGGAAAACAACCTCGGTCTGGCCGTCTTGCTGGGCTGCAAAGCGCGCCGCAACAAACAAAAAGTCGCTGAGGCGGTTGAGATACTTGCCGACCGATTTCTCGCCGGCACCGCTCTGCAACAGAGGCACGACTGCGCGTTCTGCACGGCGGCAGATCGAGCGCGCTAGGTGCAGGTGCGAGCTGGCCAATCCGCCCGAGGGGAGAATGAAATTGGTCAATCTTGGCAAGAGGCTGTCGTAGAGATCGATGGCGTGCTCCAGTGCTCTGTGCAAAGTCCAAGCCATGGTTGGAAACGTCGTTGTGAGTGTGACACGCCTCCAAACACCAGCTTCATCATTATTCACGCTCGAGCAGAACGCCTTACGCCAATCGGACACCTTCAGCGTCGAAAGCCGTGCTCGCAAGCTGCAGGTTGAGACAATGGCCCAACAATGAATGAGCAACGAAAAGAGCAAACAACGTTTGACTCAAAGCAACGACAACAAACAACCACCACTGAGTTCTCAGACGGATTACCATGCGCGCTCGCTTCGCCGCCTCTTCCGGATCTTCCTCGTCATCACCAGCAGCGGCAACGCCTTGGTCTGCAGGCGTCGTGTCTGACTCGTCTTGGGGTGCCTTCCACGTTCGCGGGGTTCCAATCGACGACCCAATCTCGAGCAGTGCGCACTGAATGTCTTCGATCAGCGGCACGAGTTGGCCCTTCCTTGACTCTGCGCCCGATCCAGTCACTGCTGTAGTACAAGTAGCAGCAGCACTATCAGTAGTCCCAGTACTACCCGTGGACGGCACTACGCAATAGGCGCGCGCGAGTCCCAGCGCAGAGTTGAGCTCGTCCACGTCGCCCAGCGCGTTGAAGATGGCGTGCGCTTTGGTACGTCGCTCGCCCGTGTACAAGCTGGACGTCCCTTGGTCGCCCGTCTTGGTGTAGATGTTTGACTTTTTGATCTCCTTGGCCATTCTCGTCTTGTCACAACGCTTCCAATGGCTAAGAACGCGCGAGCTGTCAAAATGGATTCAAGCACAAAATGAGAACTGCTCAGAGCCTCACCCCCTTTCCTCAAAACCACCATCTCGCCTCCTCCAAAACCTCACCACAACCCCTATTTATACTGTACACGTTGTACAACTCTCAAAATGCCTTGTTCTGTTTGAATACTGCCTCGTTGGCCCAAAAACCAGTCAACTTTTGTTCGTTTTTGTACAGGTCATCATTCAGTTCCATCCACACATTCATATTTGACACTGTAGCGATGGCTGCCAATTCGAATCAGATCGTCGTCGAGGAGGTCATCTTTCTAGGAACAGGTACTCGATGCATTTGAGCTCTTTGATCTCTGAGCTCTTTGAGCGACTGGAGCTGAACGGGGAGTGTAGCGTTTCGTTGTTCACAGTGTAACTCTGACGCAATGGTGTCCTCACAAACCATCGACCGTCCCGCAGGTACCTCGGGCCAAATTCCAAGCGTGTCATGCTTGTCTGTGCCGCGTCCTACATGCGCGGCGTGCGTCGACTCGGTCAAGCCAAACAGCCGCAATCGCCGAAGAAACACGTCGCTCTTGGTCCGCGCACGCGTCGCACCAAAGTCGCCGCGTCAGGACGTCAGGACACACTCCAACGGGAATGGGACGAGTGTGAACGGCGACGCAGTGCACACTGTGGATCCAAACTTGAGTGCAGCCGCAGCGAAAAGCCACGTTCGCAACATTGTCATTGACGTCGGCAAGTCCTTCTACGAAGGAGCCATTCGATGGTTTCTCGACTATGGCATCACAGACATCCATGCGGTTGTGCTGACACACGAGCACGCGGATGCCGTTTTGCGCCTGGACGATCTCCGCGACTGGACAATGTATCGCGACGATCAACCTTCGCTGCCCGTGTTTCTCGATCCTCCGACAATGGCGGCCGTCTCCAGGCTCTTCCCGTACATGGTTGACGAGACCAAGGCCACAGGTATGGCGCTGTAGCCTTGTGCCACTTTTTTTTGTCGGCATTGGATAAATGATGCTTTGTCCGTTGCTGTTTTGCTCTAATTTTTGGCGCACGTGCCGTCCTCCTTCCTGCTCTGACATCACAGGCAGCGGCCTCGTACCAAAGATCAAATTCTGCGTGTTCGATCCAACGCAACCCTTCAATGTGCTCGGCGTCGAGTTTGCTCCGTTTGTTGTGCCCCACGGCAAGAACTGCACCTCGCTCGGATTTCGTTTCTCCAATGTCACCTACCTGTCGGACGTGTCAGACCTGGACGAGAAGGCGTACGAGTGGATTGATGGAAGCGACATTTTCATTGTCGATACGCTCAAAGAGGTGTCCCATGTGAGCCACTTTGGCTTGGACGAGGCGCTGGCCGCCAGCGAGCGGATTCGTCCAGCACCCCGTCAGGTGTATCTCACGGGTATGTGCCACTTGATGGAGCACCATTCGTCCAATAAGAAACTGGCCAAGCTTTATGCGTCGGGCAGCATCGGCATGCCGGTCGAATGCGCCTACGACGGGTTGCGCTTGGACGTGCGCGACAAGAGTCCCACCAGCCTTGTCGCCGCGGAACGCATCACAGCGAGCATTCGGCAGCAGCAGCTTCGCCCCACCGTTGCCGCTGTCAAGCAGGCTGCGTCCAAGGCACAGGCAGAGGCGGCGTCCGTTGCCACCGCAGCCCAGCCTGCAGACGCTGGCCGCCCGATCTGGGCTGACGCGCACGGCCGTGTGCAAGCGGCTTTGACTGCTGAGCTGCAATCGCGATCTGCCGAAGTCTCTACCGCCGACCTGATTGCCATGTCTGAGAAGCCATAGTTGGCGAGTGTAGGCAATATAAATGTACTTTTATTTTCACGCGAGCTCGCACCAATCCACATTCTAGCCGTCGATTGGCAAGGAGATGAACAAGGCTCGACGCAATAGGTTTTGCTTTATGATATCTTTGACGAGAAAACTACATGTTTGTTTGTACAACACACGGAAAATCATTCACAACGACAACAGACCACACACATTTACACACGGTCAGTCACTACAACCCAATCTTCGGCGTTGGCAGACGGAGGAGTCGGTGCAGTGGCTGCGGGAGCTTCCGGGACGGGAGTGGGAGGGGATGGAGGCGCTCGAGCAGGCGCGGCAGCGGAGACGGCACGGGCCGCGTTGGTGGCGCGCAGCACACCAACGGGGCTCGACACGGGCTGCTGGGAGATGGTGGCTGCAGCCTTGATAATCTCGTCGCGGAACTCTGGCGTCCGGACTGCCAGGGAAGCGAGGAGCGAGTCGAGCTTGGACAGATCGGGGCGGGACTCCTCCAGCTGGAACAGGATGGGGGTGATGCCAAACAGCTCGAGAGCGCGGGCCATGCGACCCTTGGAGTTTTGCGCGCTGAACGACACTAAGACGATCTGCACGTCGGGGCACACCTCCTTGCGGTACTTGGCAAACAGCTGCGGAAAGTAAGTGCTCGTGCCATCCGTGTGCCTGTACTTGACATTTTCAATCTCGTCCGAGGTGACAATGAAGAGGCGGACTTGCTTCTTCTCCGTGTAGAAGGGCATCAGGGCGCAGGCGGGGGCGGTCAGACCCTGCGCCTTGACCGTGCGGGCAAGCACAAGCACATCGTCCACGCTCTTGGGCTGGCGGTCGGGCACCATTTCCTTGTCGCTAAAGAAGACGAGATGCGCCTTGGTCAGCTTGGCGACAATCGAGCTGATGATGGTGGAGACGCGGATGGCCACGTCCATCGAGAAGGACGCATCGCCGAGGCACACGAGCGGGCTGGGCAGGGGCAGCTGGATGTCCAGCATCTTCTCGGCCAACGGAATGAGCTTGGCGTAGAGGGGAGAGCCACGCATGGTCAGGTACAGCAGGCGATCCATCAGCTTGCCATAGTTCATGTTCACCAGCGTCTCGCCGGCATCGACACGGCTGGCAATGGTCGCATCGACGGCATCGCAGCCGAGCTCCTCGTGGTACCAGATGACCTGGTCGAGCGGCGAGTACGCGCTGATGGCGACCTTGGCGTCCTCGTCCAGCACCAGCGCGCCCTTGCTCTCCGCCACCAGCTTGCGCACGTAGCTGTACGGGACGTGGTGCTCGTTGATCAGCACACCGAGGCCCTTCTGGTCAACGTTGCCGTGCATGGCGATGGCCGAGTTGGGGAAGTCTGACGCTGGCTTGCCAAAGGCCACGGGCAAAAACCAATCCACGGCCATGCCAGTCACAGGGTTGACGTGGGCCAAGTCGGCCAGCTCCTTCCAGGGGCGGGTGGGCATCTGCAGACCATAGAAGGTCAGGTCGGCAGCTCCAATCTTGTCCGCCCACACGCGCACACGCCGCGCCAGAGCGCCCGACATGCTGCCCGCCGGAACTGCCTCTGCACGCAAATCCGCGAGCTGGCGATTGATAGTGACGAGTGTGGCGCTGCGGGGCTTGACCGCGTTCTGTTCCTGGAGCTTTCGCAAGCGCTTCTCGAGCACACGGATGCGGCGAGCAGAGTCGAGCACAGTGGCGGCCTTCAACACCTCGGGCAACCCGAACAGTCCAGCGCCGCTAAAGTTCAGCGGCAGCGCGGTGGTGGTGGTGGTGGCTGTGGTAGACGCGGAGGTGCCGGCAGTCTCCTTCTCGTTGGAAGACTCCGCGACCGGCGCTGGAGTGGCAGACAGCAGTCCGTCGGCAAAGGCAAAGTCGTGCCGGGCCCAAGCGGCAGCGAGAATGCGGGACTTGATGGACGATGCCAGCTCAAACTTGCCCTTGATCAGGGCATGCAAAAGCGCAATGTACAAGGGTCGCTGCTCCGTTTGTGCCTCAATGTGTCGCGCGACGGTGACCTGCGCGGCAGTCGTGTTGGTAAAGAGCAGCGTCAGCGACTCGACAGTCGAGTGAGCATTCTTGTCGGTCGAGGATGAAGCAGCAGCAGCAGCAGCAGCAGCAGGAGCAGCAACCGGGTTGGCAGCAGCGGCATACTGTGGGAGATCAAAGTAATCCTGAGGAATCTGCTCATTGTTGTTGTTTGAGTTGGCTGGGTTGTAGTGTGTCAAATCCACAACATTCGAGTTGTTGTTGTTGTTGTTGTTGTTGTTGTTGTTGTTGTTGTTGCGCGCGCGGTTGTTCTGAGCAGCGTTGTTGTTCTGCTGCTCGGCATTGTCATCGCCAGACGCCTCCAAGAACGCGCGGGCGTCCTCGTATCGATTGCCATGCATTTCAAGGACAGCGAGCAGGACGCCAGAGTCCACAAAGCGGCCAAAGTGGGTCTTGAGCTGCGACAATCCGCGGCGCTGAATGTCAGTCAGGTTGGCAACAAGCTGTGCCTCCTCGGCAGCCGCAGCCGCCATTCGCTGACGCTCCTCCGGGTTTTGCTCCTGACGCTCACGAGACGCATGCTGAGCAGCAGCAGCAGCAGCAGCAGCAGAACGTCGACCGCCAGCATGTCGGCCGCCGCGACCTCGACCTCCTCGACCTCGACCGCGTCCATTGTTGTTCGGTCGTCGCCCGCCACGACCACGAGCTTGATTGTTCTCCATTGTTGTTTTGATGCTATGAAATAAGATTACTCTGCAAATGAGAATGTAGTACTAACGCGGAATGATTTTGCCTTCAAAGCCTAAACGCCAAGAAAGACAAGTTGAAGTTAAAAGAATAAGACTGAGAAAAAAAAAAAAAAAGTACTGATTCAGCATAAAATCGTAAAAGTTCGGCCTTTGTAAAATGACGAAATCGATTGATTGTGTCATGGCAGAGTAGCGACATCAGAACAAAATAAAAAAAAAGCGAAGAGAAGAAAATGGCGGGAAGCAGCCAAGAAATAAAGTAGAGGAGGAAGGGAGAGGAGAAGAGAGAGGGGGAAAAGAGATACCAGATAGGCGAGCTATTGAGTGAGTGAGTGAGTGAGTGAATGAGTGAATGATTCAATAGAAGGTGGAGTTTGTCATGATTCAATAGAAGGTGGAGTTTGTCATGACGTGGCAGTATGACATGACAAGATGTCAACGACGTTGAGCGTGCACATCATCTCAGTCGATCCAACACTATTGCCAGTACGGAATGAGCTGTGCCTATGGAGGCGATTGGAGCAATGACGATGTACTGTACTCAGAGTGGCAACAATCAACCTTCAGCCACACTACTTTTTGGCACACTCAATAAGCGCACCAGGCTGCGACGCGTACTCTGTCCAGGAGCCCTGTGGGTTTTGGGGAACAATTGAAAAAGGAGCAACACACACAAGCAAATATCAGTCATCCGAGCAGCAAACAGCAACGACACACACGAACAATCATCAAATTGAGCATCACCGCAAACTGACATCATAAACGGCCGCGCTCTTGTTCCCAAGCTGGAAGGCAGCAAGCGCAATGACACACGCAGTGACACCCGAGCCGCAAGAAGCGACCAGTGGGCGAAGAGGATCGACGTTGGCGCGGGCAAAGACCTGACGCAATTCGTCATCCGAGAGCAGGCATTGCGTCTTGGGGTCGAGCAAATCGGTGAATGGGATGTTGCGACTTCCAGGCATGTGACCACCGGCGAGGCCTAGGGGCAAGCAGATGGAGCGCAACAACAGTGAGTCAGGAAGGATGATCTGTTATGAAGCACTGCGAAAAAAAAAATCCTCACCTGGACGAGGTTCGGGCACTGTGCCTTGGAAACGCGGCGAACTGCGAGCATCAACAATCTGGAGTCCATTGTCCTTGCTCACTTGCTTGTCACGAACAAGCTTGTCGACGAACGGAAAGTCGCGCATGAGGTTGGGGCTCAGCTTGGCGATGAATTGGGAAGGGGTCTGTCAACGCGTTTGCAATCAAAAGTTAAGGTTGCTAGACATTCAGGATTCGACAGCACCATGCCGTAAGACACATGAAATCATACAACAGAGGCGGGTTTGGTTGTTTCCAGAGGGAGGTTGGCCTGCTTCCAGGCCACCAAGCCGCCATTCAACACGGACACGTTTTCGTGGCCGAAGGTCTGTGACCAACAGCAACCCCGCAAGTCAGACCAAGGCAATGATACGTCAACAAGAGCATGTGCAGTCACGCAATAATCTTACACGGAAGGTCATCCAGACCCGCGGAGCCGAGAAAATGCCTTGGCTGTCGTACACGACAACGTGCGTCTTGTTGTTGACGCCAAGTGCGCTTCCAGCATGTTGCGCAAACTGCTCCGCACTTGGCAGCATGTGTGGGTACGGCGATTTCGACGTGACCGCGTCGATATCAAAGAACTGAGCGCCTGGGATGCGTGCAAAACGTCAAGCAGAAACAAAACAAAAGCAGAAACAACAACAAACAAGCAAAGCAACATCCGATCCAACATCGGGAGGCACAGTGGTGTCAAGGAACGAAATAACTCTGATATGAAAATCGAATCTTGGCTGCTGAGCAACCCAAAAAACCCAAAAAAAAACAAACAAACGAAACAATCACAACAAGATACGATTTTGCAACCCAGCAGATTGAATTGGCAGGCAAGCAAACGAAATGGACAGTATGAGATCCGATATGAATCTGCTCAAACTCCTTGCGACCACTGCGGTTGGCGGCGGGCATGTGCCACGAGCAATCGATGACCTGCGACGAGATCAGTGATCAGTCAGTATGCTGGTACAGTACGAAGAGCAGCCGGGAGACCATTGTCCCCTCTCCCCCCTTTTTTGACTCGTAATCCCGAAATCAAATCCTGTTGAAACGCAACTCGTAGGGCTGCAGATGCAGGGTACGCGGCAGACTGGCGGATGAGCTCGTGCAGCGCACCAGCCGAAATCACTGGCTTGACCATTAGGCAAACACGAAGGGAAAGAAGACTGCCTTCTTCTCCACCTCAACTAGATCTATAACATAGTGTTCACTCGTATTACTCTTGCACTTATTATTATATTGAATTCCACACTCTCAGACATTCATTCAGACTCTGAGCTCAGTCATCAACTTTTTTTCCGTTTCGCTTCTGCTTGAATGGCTCAGTCGTCTGGGCCGCGGGCGTCGTCGTCGTCGGCTTCAGACCCAACCTCAGCGACGGCGATGATGATGATGACTGGCACGCACTCTATTCCGGGCGCAGGTGCTGGATCTGGGTCTGCAAGGGCGCCGCATGGGTACAGCAGCAGCAGCAGCAGCAACGCCTTCTCACTCGCCGATGCTGGCAAGCGTGGCACTGCCGCCTCGACCCATGCAGACGATGCAGACGCAGGCGACATCATGGATGCAGCGCTTGCCTCTGCGCTTGGCGTGTCCGTGTACGACCAGACTGCGCTCGAGCGCGGCGTGCAGATGCAGCTCGACTCTGCGTTGGCGCAGATGCAGATGGACAAGCAAGCGCACGCAACCAGCAAGTCAACCAGCAGCAGCAAGTCAAGCAATTCCAAGAGCAAGTCCAAGTCGATCGTGTCAAAACGAGCGCATTCGAGCAAGATGGACGACGACGACGATGGCAATGTCGACGTGATGGTCGTCGTCGATGATGGTGACGAAGAAGCGGACGTCGTCGCTCAACCATCGTCGGCGTCGGCCGCATCCGAAGGTGCTGCGTCACGATTCGCAGCTGTGATTGCAGGACAGAAATCATTCCAGCCATCGCAGCTGCCATCTGACGGTCGCCGGCTTGGCATGGCGTTGGAATCGTCGTCCTCAAGCACGAGCTCGTCAAGAGCTGCGGCTCCTCCTGCTGCTGTTGGACAGCTCCCGCGGAATGCAACGGGTGTGCAGTCCAGCGAGCTGCAGCGCCGCCAGCAAACGCTCAGCACCATTAAAGACCGAGACTTTGGAGAGCGAGCCGGGCTTGTCTTGCCGCAATCCAGGGCTGCGGCCGCCTCAATCGCTTCTTCAGAACAACCCGTTTCCAAACGCCCTCGGCTTGAACCAGAGGCTGCTGGTGCGATTGATAACACCGACCCCACTCTCGGTGACTCCTCCTCAGGTTTGTCAACGCCCTTGCCAATACCCGCCCCAGCTCACCGCGCACCATCGCCGACCGCCGCAGAGTGGGCTGCGTGGTCGTCTTTTGCCGCGCCCCCTCCGACGCGACGTGCGGCTGCAGCTGCATCTGCTCGAATGCAAAAGTCTTCCTCTGCGGCAGAGCAACCACCAACTCGACATTACCGCTTGCACGACGACAGCAACGATTCTCCTTCTCTTCCCAATCCGAAGCGCAATCGCCAATCGCGTTCGGCTGCTGTCAAGAGCGAGTCGGATGACAGCGACGTCGAGTGGATTGAACCCACGAACGAGAAATCCAACTCGTCCTTTGCCGCGGACGACAGTTCTGACGAAGACGACGTCTCGAACTTGGAGGCAAACTCGTCGTCCATGTCGCTGGAATCAGAGGTCAACGATCTGCGCAGCGTTGCTTCGCCAAAGCGAGGGAGAGGTCGCCCTCGAAAGCAGCGAGTCGCGTCCGACTCTGACGACGACGAGGAAGAAGCAGAAGGGCGTCTGCGAACGTCGGAAGGCACTCGACTCAACCGCGAGCAACAGCACGACGATGGCGACGAGGCCTTTTATCAGGCAAGATTGCGACGCTGGCGTCAAGCACGCCACAATGCTCGTCGCCAAACACTGCGCGCTCTCAACCAAACGATGCAACAACATCGCCGGCACGCAGCAGCAGCTCAGCATGACCCAGTTACTGGCCAAACCATCCCTCCGCCAGCAAACGATCCCGAATTCGACACCCCACTGGACGACGACAGTGACCTGGACGACAATGACGATGCTGATTCGGAGGGCGAGGACTTTCGGCAGGGCGGCGAGGAGGACTTTGTCCTGGACGAAGACTTTCGTGTTCCTGGCGAAATCTGGTCCAAGTTGTACCGCTACCAACGTACCGCGGTCGCGTGGCTGTGGGAGCTGCACTGCCAAAACGTCGGAGGCATTGTTGGCGACGAGATGGGACTGGGAAAGACGATCGAAGTGATTGCCTTCCTTGCCGGCTTGCGGTACAGCAACCTGGGTGTGTACACGCCGCGTGCATCGCCGTATGACGCGCTCCAGCCGGGGGCTCGCCGTCGTGCTCAGGTGGCGCGCTCTTCTAGGCAAGTCCAACCCCTGCGCGCCGCCCTCATCATCTGCCCCGCCACCTTGATGCAGCAGTGGGTGCAGGAAATTCATCGCTGGTGGCCGCCGTTCCGTGTGGCCATCTTGCACGAGTCCGGTGCGTCCAACAGCTCCAAGCAGGATCTCGTTCGGCGCGTGCTGACCAAAGGCCACATTCTTGTCACAACCTACGGCAGCATCCGCGTCAACCAAGCACTGTTGCTTGCGCAGCCGTGGGACTATGTCGTTCTGGACGAAGGCCACAAAATCCGCAATCCTGACGCGGAGATTACCATGGTTTGCAAGCAGTTTTCCACGCCACACCGCATCATCATGTCTGGCTCGCCCATCCAGAACAACCTGAAGGAGCTGTGGTCTCTGTTTGACTTTGTCTTCCCCGGCCGGTTGGGCACGCTCCCCATCTTTCTTGCGCAGTTTGCCATTCCGATCGACCAAGGAGGGTATGCCAACGCCACTTCTGTGCAAGTCCAAACGGCGTACAAGTGCGCTTGCGTGCTCCGAGATGCCATTGGGCCGTACCTGTTGAGACGGCTCAAGAGCGAGGTCAAAATTGATTTGCCCGACAAGAGCGAGCAAGTCTTGTTCTGCAAGCTGACGCCTTTTCAGCAGCGCATCTACCGCAAATTCCTCGATTCGGCCGAAGTGGAGGCCATTCTCGAGGGGTCGCGCAACGTGCTGTACGGTGTTGATATTCTGCGCAAGATTTGCAACCATCCACACCTCGTCACGCGGCGCAAGCGCGCATTGGACGGCACTAACAGCAAGTCGTCGATGGACTCGTCGCCTGGAGGCAAGAGTGCCAAGAATGGCCGCAACAACAGGCAGGCTGCCGACGCGCCATCCGGTGGCTACGAGAGCGACAACGACTATGGTGTCGACCTGCACGAAGAAGGCGAGGAGGACGAGGAACAACGAGGCACGCTGAGATTTGCGCCCTCCCAGCGCTCTTCTCATGCGCCCACGACCCACTGGGAGCTGGACACGAGCAGCCCGGACTACGGGCGGAAGGACTTGAGTGGCAAGCTCGTGGTGATTGACTCGCTGCTTCGGATGTGGCACGCGCAGGGCCATCGTGTGTTGCTCTTTGCCCAAACGCGGCAGACGCTGGATATTATCGAACGGTGGGTGCGGTCGACTGCCTACCGCTACCGGCGCATGGACGGAACAACCCCGATTCGCTCTCGGCAGCAGATGGTGGATGAGTTTAACACGAACGAGTCGCTCTTTCTGTTTCTGCTGACGACTAAAGTCGGAGGTCTGGGCGTCAATTTGACTGGCGCCGATCGCGTCGTCATCTTCGATCCCGACTGGAATCCGTCAACAGACACACAGGCTCGAGAACGCGCTTGGCGCATTGGTCAGAAGCGCCAAGTGACCGTGTATCGGCTACTGACGGCTGGCACCATTGAGGAGAAAATTTACCATCGGCAGATTTTCAAGCAATTCCTGACCAATCGTGTGCTGAGCGATCCGCGGCAACGTCGATTTTTCAAGTCTCGGGATCTCTACGACCTGTTCACCATGGGGTTTGACAACCACGATGACGAGACCGAAACGGGAGCGCTTTTCAGCGGGACTGGCTCGGAGGTTCGCGTCGTGGATCGCGGCGGTGGTTTGGATGCCCAAGACGAGGCCGAACTGGCTGCTGTGGATTTCAGCACCGCACGTCACAGCAATGCAGCTGCAGCAGCAGCAGCAGCTGCGGGAGTGAAGACGTCGTCCGTGCAGGCGGATCGCTCTTCTGCCTCGGCGGCCGCATCTGGTGCTGAATTGGAAGGGCACGTCATTGCCAACCTTGCCCGCGCCAGCGAGTTTCAGCCCAATTCTGTGGATGATTTTGGCGTCGGTGGCAGCAATGGCAACACACGCAGCAGCAGCAGCAGCAGTGCTGGTCCTTCTGGAGAATCTGCCGCTGCTGCTTCTCCCGCTCGCCGCAGCGGTGGTGGCGGTGGTGGCGGGGATGACGCCGTTCTCGCCGCTCTGCTCAAAAAGCATGTGCACAGCGCCTTGCACCACGAGAACATTATGGAAGCTGGCCACGCCGATCACAAGCTTGTCGAGGCGGAGGCCAGTCGCGTTGCAAAACAGGCGATTGAGGCACTGCAAAAGTCCCGCACTGCACTCCGCAACAATGCCATCAACATGCCCACCTGGACCGGCCGATCTGGCTTTCAAGCGTCCGCCGCGTCGTCTTCGTCTTTGTCCTCTTCTTCTTCTTCCGCTGCCCCCGCCCCAAGGTTTGGAACCAAAAAGTCCATGTCAACCATCATGGCCACTACCCAGGTCGTGAGTGCGCCGAGCAGCGGCACAAGCTCGCCCGTCGAGGACGAGACTACTTTGCCGACAAGTTTGTCGCGGGGCGCCGTGTCGTTTGCTGCGCGATCCGCGTCTGATCTCTCCTCCGCCACTATGCTCAACAAATCCGCTCAGGAGACGCGCATCCGCATGGCCGATGACTTGTTGGAATACTTTTACAGCCACGAGCGGTGCGTCACGAGCTCGGCCATCGTAGCCGTGTTTGGACCCAAGATCCCGCAAAAGGACTCGGCTTTGTTCAAGGCCATTCTCAAGGAGCTTGCAGTCCTGAAGAAGCGAGGTGCCACTACCGTTTGGGAGCTTCGACCGGCGTTCTGAGGCTGGTGTTGTTGTTCTTTTGCGCGGCACATTTATTTATTTTTGTAATTTTGCGAATCAACAAATAAAAGAAGGTTTGATAAAGTACTGGTGTATTCTATTGTTACTTTGGCAAGGGGGGGGTGCTTGGAAATGAAGCAATGTGCACAGCTTGAATCTGGCGGTTGTTGATGAAAAAAAAAAAAAAACAATCATGCTGGCTGCGGTAAGGGCAAAGACACTCCAGTTGCCGTTGCTGAGCTGTCATCAGTCGGCCCAAGTGGTGCCAGAGGCCTGGCCTGAGTGTTCTTGGAAGCAAAGAAAGTGTACGAGAGGGTGATGGTGTCGATGCCAAGCATGGCGGGATCCTTGTCAAACTCGGGGTCAATGAAGAAGAACACGGGCATGTCCACCTGCTCGTGCGGGCCGAGGCGTTGCTCTTCAAAGCAGAAGCACTGGATCTTGTTAAAGTACACGCCTGCCTCGTAGGGCAGGACGTTGTAGGTCGAAATGCCCACAATCGGCTTGTCGGTCGGATTGGTCGCGCTGTAGAATGCGAGCGCGGGTTCGCCTGGAATGACCTGGATCTCTCGCTGCACTGGATGGAACTTCCACTGCATGGATGCAGCTGTGTCTGCGTTAAACTGGATCTTGATGATGCGCTCCTTGACGGGGGTGAAGCGTTCTGCGCGCGCAACGGCAGACTCGCCATCGTCATCCTCGCCTCCGCCGTGGGTATCCGTGCGCACATAGCCGCCATATCCCGTCGCCATGCAGAACATCCGGTAGAGCGGCACTGCGGCGTACGCCAAACCGGCCGTCAGCAGCCCGACCGCAGCGACATACATGCCCATGCTCTTGTTCCGCCGGCGGTTTTCCTCGTGAGCTGCATTGCCTGTGTGTCTTCGCTGGCCTTGCTTGGACTGCGACGATGAGGAGGAGGAGGAGGAGGACGATGAGGAGGATGAAGACGATGAGGACGAGCTTCCGCCTGCTTGATCGCCGCCTTGAGGCTGAGTGGAATAAGCTCGCGTGCGCAGAGCAGCTCGACCTGGAGCGGACACGAGTAAGCTTGCAGAGTAGCCAAGCATGGTGGCAGCAGTGGAGACGCATCGGCGGTGCTCCAGGCAGCGTGCGGTCATCCTCGTGCTTGCGGCGACTGGCGTTTGCACAAGGATGGCGCCGTGATTCAATGCAGATCGTGCTGTTAGGTGTGTACTGGTTAGCATGGAAGCGAGCGGTCGGCCAAGCGGGCTCGCCTGCCGCACCAGCATTGCCATTGTTTGCTGGGGAAACAAGAGTTAAGACTGAACCGAGTCTGAGCAAAGATGAGAATAGACATGTACTTTGGTTTTATGGTGATGAATACTAAATGCTGTGAAATGGCGTTGGTATGCAAGGAGGTACTGGATTGGATCCACCGCAATTCAAACCACCGTCAAAACCATCATCAATTTGTGGGAGGTCGCTGGAGCCACGGCAGTTGTCCGCGGAGCGTCGGGTGCTGCTTGAGCATGGGGAAGATGCTGCCACGAAGGGTAGTCCGCTCATAGTCGTTGGGTGCAGCATTGTCCGCTTCGATGAGCATCGCGACAATCGCCGGTGAAAGCCCCTCGAGTGCAAGCTGAACGGTGGCCAGATTGAAGAGCGCCACATGCAGCATACGACGGCCAGCCGGCTGGCGCGCAAATTCGAGCGCAGCCAGAGCTGTACGCTTGGCGGCAACGTCGTCGCGCAACTCGTGCTGAACCGTGGTGATGGTGGCCAAAATGGCGCCAACCTGCTCGTGATTGGGACCCATTTTGCGGCGGACAATGCGAAGCGACTCTTGCAGGAGCTCCAGGGCGGGTTCGTTCACGCCATTCTGTGCGTAAAAGCGCCCCAAATGTTCCAAGGCCATTGCGAGCAGAGGATAGTTGAAGTTTTCCAGGCTCATGTCTGCATCTGGCCCATCAATCCCCCATCGTGTATGCACGGCTTTGGTTGCTTTGGTGGCTGGAGGAGGAGGAGGAGGAGAAGAAGAAGAAGAAGAAGAAGGTGATGGGGTCATGGCGGTGCGGTTGTCATCGAGCTTTGCATCCGCTTGGTGAGCTTGCTGGTAGGCTTCCCGGCGCTGCTGCCGCAACACTTCCTCTGCAAGATGCTCGCGTTGAGCACCCATGGTTGCAGCGGCCCAGTGGTATCCGACTTCTGCCAACTCTGGTTTGGATTGCATCTCGTAGATGGTAGCGAGTTTGATGGAGATTTCAATCATCTCATCGCTGGTGGGAGGCACGCCACGAGCAATGCGCGCTCGCATGGTTATGCGAAAGTAGCGTTCGGCATCATCCAAGTTGTGCAGCAGCAGATGCAGGTTGGCCAGGGTGTCAGTAATGTACGGATAACCAACCGCCTCGGCATTGGTCAGCTTTTCGGCGTCCTGAAGGAGGGAGAGGGCACGCTGGGGGTCGCCGGCGTTTTGGGCCAGCTTGGACTTGAGTACAAGCGAGCGTGCAGTGGCTGTCAGGCCATCCGTTGGGCCATAAAAGTGCTTGTAGAGCTCGAGTGCACCTGCAGCGGTCGCCACTCCCAAGATGCCTGCGATGGCCACGCGGCCAGACTTGCTTGAAAAGACTGAGGACGATGTCGATGATGATGATGATGATGCTGACGACGACGACGAGTACCTGCGGTGGTGGTGATGAGCAGTGGGTGTGGGCAAGACGCTAGTAGATGTGTTCGTCCTGGCGCCGAGATGAATGTGTCGACAGCCTAGAAGGTGCGGACGTAGGAGAGAAACGTTGGCTTGCATCAATGCTTGACGGTGCAGCAGAGGCAGCACGTGTGACGAGAGCGACGCCATGACTTTAAGAGCTGTGCTCGTGCGAGTGAGAATAGGAATGGGAATGGGAATGGGAATGGGAATGGGAATGGGAATGGGAATGAGAATGAGAATGAGAATGAGCGTGAGACTCTGAGGAGAAGAGTGTTCCGTTCGACCAACGCTCTTGAGCAAGCTTCAGGAATGCCACGACAACCAGACCAATCCAAAGCAGCGGGAGTGCGCGATAAATCCTACCAAAGAGTTGCAGTAAAATCGTTGGTGAGTGCTAGTGATCGTCATACGCGCTCGACCTCCTCGCAAAAGGTCGAGGACAAACCCAAGCGATCAGCATGACAATCTAAGAGTATCAACTTGAACAAAAAAAAATCACAAGCGAGGCAGAACGCAAAAACGTACGATTCTGGGATGATGGCAAGAATGGCAATTGTACCAATGATCAGGGCAGCGACGCCCAATGCAAGTCTTCCCGAGCCCTGCGATGAGGCTTCAGCGATCTGTGTGTCCGACTCGGATGTTGAAGCGAGACGCTGTCAAATGTTGTGTTGCAGGAGTTGAGAATCAGAAATTCTGAGACGAACAAAACGAAAACAACAAATAATCCAGCGAAACATGATACTTTTCTTTCGTTTTTATAATTCTTATTGCGGGCACTTACATTGGATCGAACGCCTTCAGCGAGGAGCAGCGAGGCGAGCGCGGCTGCAGCGTGGATGTCCGCGACCGAGACGAGGAGATTGTCGGGCCCGTTGACGACCTCGACGACGACGTCTGCCGGAGTGAGATTGAGCGAGTCCGAGTTGCTGCTGTTGTTGTTGTTGTTGGTGTTGCTGGCGGGAGTGGAGGCAGAGTGGTGGCGAGCGAGGATGTTGGCGAGACCGGCTTCAGAGACAAACACGACGAGCTGCTGGCGCATACAGAGAGAGAGAGAGAGCAACGAAAAAATGAAAGAGTGGTTGAGATGTCCATGTCAAAGTAGGATTAATAGGAATGGTGTTGGGTGGAGCAAGTTGACTGAGACAACCCATTTGTCGATGAATTTCTCAGCAGTTGAGCGCGATTCAGCTTTTTGTCTTGCTATTGGGGGGCTCCGTTCCCCCGCACCACTGCACAGTCGAGGCCCCCATTGCTCTGGAGTAGTGCAGCTACAGTAGTGGTTTATTTGTTGGATGGGTCTCTGGGCAGCGGTCGTAACAGCAGAAGCACAAATGCTCGCGCTACATTTCGTTTGTGAACTGAACATTGGCCGGTGCACAGTAGCTACGCCACCGTTCAAGCGCAATTCTCATTCATATAGCAATGCTTCAACTAGCACAAGTTGTATGTGACTCGAAAACCAGTCCCATCTCAACTTGGCTCAAAGTCCACTCTTCTTTCTTTTTTGCTTCTTCACTCTCTCATCATGGCCTCGACCGGCAACTCTACTGTTTGGCATATTGTTGCCTTCAAAGTAAAGACACATAACGCAAATTCAAAACCCATCACCAAGTCTTCTCAGATTCTCAGATTCTCAGATTCTCCTGCTCTTCGCCCCGTTCCCTCCCCTCTGCCGTTCCCTCGACACTGTCACCCAACAATCAAACATCTGTTTTTTTGCACTCGAAATGCTTTAACCTCTAGGTCAACCCGACTGCCTCGGCGCAGCAAGTGCTCGACATGATGGAGGGTCTGCGCGGACTGCGCTCGCTGCCCGGCGTTCTGCAGCTCGAGGTCGGCGTCCACGACCCCCGCATGTACGAGGGCTACGTCGACCGCAGCAAAGGTAACCTACCAAAGTAGCACTACTTGAAGTGTTACTGGTGGCCATCCATACGGTTGGTGTCCACCACCAAGCCGACAACTCACCGTGCCGTCCGACGTATACTGCTCAGGTTACACTCACGCGCTGGTCGTCGAGCTCGCGTCGCCCGAGGCACTCGTCAACTACGCCAAGTCGCCCGAGCACCAGGCTGTGGTGGTAAACCTCCTGCGTCCAGGTGAGATTTTTTACATTCAATGCAAATCTGAATCCATTGGAACAACCAAGACTTTGTGTCTTGGCCTTGTTGGAGGGCAAGATTGAAGCAAGCCAGCGACCAAGAGCAACAGTTGCTTCCGAAGCAAACAAAAAAAAGCTCTTGATTCAACGCTGTTGGATATGGACGACATGGTTGATATTGGAGATTTCCTGAGTGATGAACAATGAACAACCTCACCGTTCCGTCGTCCCTTGGACTCCCGTTATTAACAGTCTGCGAGCTTGACACCATCACGGCCGTGGACTACGTTGCCCGCAAGCACGTCAAGAGCCCGATCTGGTGCCACTCTCCTCACCTCATCTCGGTGGTTGCCGCAGCCGCCGCGCTCGCCGTCGGCTTCGCCCTCGGTCGCTCTCGCTAAACCCAACATTGAAAAGGTTGTTCAATGCATGACAATGTCCCAACCCCTCTCTTGTTTTGCTTCAATTCCGGTGCACGACTAATACAAAACGCCGAAACGCTCGCTCAGCCAATTTTTCCAATGTCCTGTTGATACTGGCTGTTTCCATTGTCCCTCCAGGAATCAACCCCTTGATACTATAGTGCCATTTTTTCGCTTGTTCTACCATTCCTATTTTTTTCTTTTCCGCTCAGATCCTAACGCTCAGCAACATGCCGAAGATTCGCGCCGAGTCGACTTCGCGCCGCACCCGCGACGAGACCGCCAAAGCCGCGTCCACCGTCAGCCAAGGTAAAACAGCGTCGCATCCGTGCCATGCAAACACCTCAACAGTCCTCGAGGCGAGGGGGGGGGAGGAGTTCCAACCTGTATTGCAATGCACTCTCACTCACTTTGCTCCTGTCTCGCTCTCCCTCCAAACCCCTACCCCCCACCACCCCGCTCAACAGCCATCCAGTTCGACAAGTCGTTTGGCCAGCATATCCTGAAGAACCCGCTGATTGTCAACGGCATCATTGAGAAGGTACAGAAAGCATTGAGTGACGTTGTATTCCACGTGTGGTTCTCGCTCCATAGAGCAGCATCACACTACGATGCATTGGAAAGCTCGCTCCATTGCATTATGAGAGTGGTCGGTTATTGTGTGTAATGTTGCACTCAATTTGTATGGGGGTCGGTTTGGTTTGGTTTTGCAGGCTGGATTGCGAAACACGGACACGGTGCTTGAAATCGGTCCCGGTACTGGTAACTTGACCATGAAGCTGCTTGAAGCGTCCAAGAAGGTGAAAGAATTTGGATTCTCTCCGAGTCAGATACAACTGAGAGAAAGAGATGCTGGAAAATTTGGAGAGCAAAAACTCACGTTGTGTGTTGTCCGAAAATGAAACAAAACAGGTCGTTGCTTGCGAAGTCGACGTCCGTCTCGTTGCAGAGTTGCAGAAGCGTGTCATGGGCACGTACGTTCTCACTATACTATGTTGATTGCATTGTTCGATACTACGAGTAGCGAGGATGGCTGACCGCGCTTTGTTGATCGTTTTTGCAGACCATACCAACGCAACCTCGAAATCTTGGTCGGAGATGTGCTCAAAGCCGATCTGCCATTCTTTGACGTTTGCGTTGCCAACATGCCCTACCAGGTGAGCTGCGTGGCGCAGATGTTGGGTCGCGTGAAAGTCGGTAACTCACGCTAACATTCGTGCTTGGGTTTTTGTTTTTGGATAGATTTCTTCTCCCTTCGTCTTTAAGCTGCTTCTGCACCGGCCTTTCTTCCGGTAAGGGTAGTGGTTTCAAACCCCCAGAGAGTTTCTTCCATATCACAACAACAACGACACTGACTGTGCTTCGATTTTGATGTCAATCAGCTGCGCCGTCCTCATGTTCCAGAAAGAATTCGCCCAGCGCCTGTACGCCAAGCCAGGAGACCCAGCATACTGCCGTCTTTCCGTGAATACACAACTTTTGGCACGCGTGGATCATTTGATGAAGGTTTGTTGTTTGATTTGGTTTTTTTTTGTTTTCCTCTTGAACTGATTGTTTGTTTCCCAAACCATGTCACAAACACTGCTGTGCTTTACTCGCGGTCTCATATCTCCTTTTGACCAGGTTGGCCGTAACAACTTCCGCCCGCCACCGCAGGTCGAGTCCGCCGTCGTTCGTATTGAGCCGCGCAACCCTCCTCCGCCAATCAACTTCCAAGAGTGGGACGGCCTTGTGCGCATCACTTTTGTTCGCAAGAACAAGACTCTGCATGCCGCATTCATGTCGTCCGCCGTTTTGGAAATGTTGGATCGCAACTACCGAACATTCTGCGCGCTTAACAACACTGTACGAGGATTATCATTTCGCGGCGCACACACGTGGATGTGGTTTGTTGTTGCTGTGGTTTTGCTTAATGTTGGAGTGGATATTGTTCTTGTCGACTTTTCCTCAGGAGCTTCCTGAAGGTTTCGAGATCAAGCCGCTCGTCGAGCAAATTCTCGAGGCGTCTGGCTTTAGCGAGAAGCGTGCTCGTTTGATGGACACTGACGACTTTTTGCGGTGAGTGTGGATGAAACGAGAATCGGAAGCAGAATGGTTTGGCCCAAACCGCTCGGTCTGCGCGAGCGTGCGATTGGTCGATTTCAGACCGTCCGCGTTTGGCGGTGTTTGGTTGTCAAAACCTCACTTGATGCTTGTTGAATTGCATTGTTGGTCATTTTGGGCTGCAGATTGCTCGAGGCCTTCAACAACGAGGGTGTTCATTTCGCTTAAAACGAGTTGTATTTGATGATTTTTCATGTTGTCTCTCTTCCCCCTAGTAAAGCACTACTACTACAACTCCAAAACCTCATTTATTCATCCCATGCTTACTCTGCCATCCACCTTGTCCATTTTGGATGGATGGATTGCAACTTAACATTCATTCTATCTTTTTGCATTGTAAGTCGCTCTTCATTCAATCCCCAGCCCCACCCCTGAGTCATCCCATCACCCCGACAATCCTGCCATCCAATCTCGATCTTGCAAGAATCCCCCTTTTGTGTGTCTCCGCTTTGTACTGTGCTCGCGAGACCACCACCGTCAGGCCGTTTGCAGAATGACTGGGCTTGCATTAGGGCAGCGGGTCCATCGCTCTCGTCCCTCTCTCGCGTCCCTTCCCTTGCAGATCAGACCAGGCTGCATGACAGTCTTACTGAAGCCCTATTCATCTGATACGAAGACGCCGTCGGAATCGAAGGCGGGGGGTCGCTTTGCTATACAACGTTGTGCCACGGAGACGCACCTGATCACAGCACAACGCCCTCGTCTGACTCTGTGACTCGGGAACCTCCACAGTGAGAAGAAGACATAATTCAGTGACTCAGAGTTCACTCATTCAGGCATTGGTTTGGTTGCAACAGTTTTGCCGCGGTTCCGCTGATCGTCCAAGCCTAACACCACACGAATACGAAGCCAGTACTGTGCACAAAGTCAAGCAAGAACCAACCCCCACATTCGTTAGCCAGCCCTTTGGAGTAATTCACAAGCGATGAGTGCGGGCGTCGGACCAAGCGGTGTCGGTCCAGGCGGCCTCTCCACGACCATTGCCCATTCCAACTCGATTCTTGATGCTGCGGCCGTTGTGCTGCTCTTCGCCAAGGTCACGTATGCCTCGGCCGTATTTATGTTCTCAGACTATGTGCACGTCGTTCCGCCGGCCGTCCTGATTCTTCTCGTGAGCGCGATCGCCTCCGTTGTCTTTTTCGTCCTCCAGCGACCGTTCTCGTCCAACAAAAAGTCACTAACATGGCGACAGGTAACCAAATTCATGATTGATCTCCTTCTTTGGTGTCTGGGAGTGGTGACACAATCATGTGGGTGTGGAAGTTGGAGAGCGATTGATTGTTTTTTTGCTGATTTTTTTGTTCGTTTGGGTTTTTCTCAATTTCGGCTTTGTTCTCAGTTGGTGCGAGTCGCCATTTACTCAGTTGCCGGAATCGCTTCATTGGGCTTCTGGGCGCATGCCATCAAATACTGCGGACCTCTTCGGTAAAAGCATTGAATCTATCATAGTTGTTGACAGCCTTTTTGGTTTCTCATTGTCGTTTTGCTTTCTCTCTCAGAGCAATTTTGCTTTCCAACTTGGGCGATGCTTTGATTGGAGGAATCGGCTCGTCGTTGTTCAAACGCGGAAGCAAGGGAGGCTCAACCACTTCGTCTGGAACTTGGCTGATTGCTGTCGGTATCATTGTTTTGCTCCTGTTCGATTCTGGCTCAAGCGGCTTGGTAAGCATATCTGACATAGCCGTGCGCTGGCTGGGTTGTCAAAAAGCAAGTCCCCTAATACTCACGCTCTTTTCCGCAATCAACAAAACTTTTGTTGCTCAAAATAGCGAACTCTCGAAGTGGCAAGCCACCACGACGGAGAGGCTGGCGCCGAGGAGCATCACACTCCCGAAGATGGCGCACATATCAAGCACCATCTGCAGTTTCCTTCGTCTCTGTCCGGCATCTCGGACAACACGGTCGGCATCTTCCTGCTTTTGATCGCAGCCGTGCTGAGCGCCTTCCGCAAAAACGCTGGACGAAAGCTCTCTGTTGAGGTCGGAGGTGCAAAGCGGCTGCAGGCCATTTCCTCGTTGTTCATCACCGGTCTCAGTCTGCCGTGGGCACTGTGGTCTCTTGGAGACGTTCCTGAGGTTGGTGCTGAACTTTTTTTTCAATGCCAAACTCCAACGTATTTTTCCACTCACTCGACGCTCTATCTTTGCATGACACCCTTGGGAATAGGACTTTGCCATCCTGTCGGTCGGCACCCTGCTGCCATGCGCCTACATGGCCGGCATTATTCTCGTGGCTGATTTTTACGCCGAGTCCTACGCGTTCTCGCGCATGGACAGTCTGATTGCCGCCAAGCGAGGGTATCTCGCTGCCTTCCTCGGCGCTCTGTTTTACGGATTTGTTTGGCCCACCCACGCGGCTCCTACCATGGCCGTGCTTGCCGCCTTTGCCATTATTTCTCTTGGTACGACGCTTTGCCGTCTCTTTGTGTTTTTCGTCATTCTTGTTTGGTTTTTTTTATCGTCCCGCTCATTCCAATTCTTGTCATTTTAGGATTGCAAGTACTCTCGAATTCAGACACCAAGGATGCCCGCGATGGACAATTGCTCGGGTTTAGCTCGGGCTTGCCCATGTACAGCTCGTTTGGCGCCCAGAACGACACCTCCGGCATTCAACATTTGACGCTCCGTCAGGTGCTGCGCCAAGTGCTCGAGAGCAAGGACTCTCGCCAGCTCTTCTACTTTTTGTGCTTGAATCTCATCTTCATGTCGGTCGAGTTCCTGTACGGCTACTGGACGAACAGTCTTGGTCTCATGACGGACGGCTTCCACATGCTTTTCGATTGTATCGCTTTGGCTGTGGGTCTTTATGCTGCTGTCATCTCCAAGTGGAAGGGCACGCGGACCTTTTCATATGGGTATGCATTTTTTGGGAGTTTTCCAAATTTGTTTGTTTGTGTGTGTTTTTTGGTTGTTTTTGTCTTTAACCGCATCACTCACTTTTCCCTGCTTGTCTCTCAGGTTTGGTCGCGTGGAAATCCTCTCGGGCTTTGTCAACGGCGTCTTTCTCGTGTTCATCTCCATCTTTGTCTTCTCTGAGGCGGTCGAGCGCGTGTTGACGCCGCCTGAAGTCACGACCGACCGCTTGTTGCTGGTGTCTGTTTTTGGTCTCTGCGTCAATCTGGTCGGCATGTTTGCCTTCTCGCACGCACATTCTCACGGCGGCGCTCCGTGCGATCACGGGCACGCCCACGGAGGCAACGACCATGGACACGCGCACGGCGGCGGCGAGCCGGAAGAGCCGAAGGGCAACGCCAACATGGAGGGAGTGTTTCTGCACGTTCTCGCCGACACCCTGGGCAGTGTGGGTGTCATCATTTCATCGCTTCTCATCCAGTTCTTTGGCTGGCACATGGCCGATCCTGTGTGCTCGCTATTCATCAGCGTCTTGATCTTCCTCTCTGTCATTCCCCTGCTCAAGAACTCCTCGCGCCACCTTTTGCAGCAAACGCCGCCCGATATGGAGCACGCGTTGCAGAGCGCCTTGCAGCGTGTATTGCAGCTCGACGGCGTTCTTGGCATCCGCGATCCCCACTTTTGGAACCACGCGCCCAGTGTCATGGTTGGCACTGTGCACGTACACATTGCCGCGCAAGCAAGCGAGGGCCGCGTCATGGCCGGGGTTGCGCAGCTGCTCCGCGGCGCAGGCATTACCGAACTCTGCGTCCAGATTGAAAAGGACTACTTTTACACCTTTGCGGGTGTCCGACCTGTGTGGTATGCCACCAGTGGTCAAAAGCCACAGCTCGTGTTGCAGCAACAGCAGTACCAGCCCGCATTGACAAGCGCGAGCGGGCAGCAAACCCCAAACTCAATGTCACATCCCGCCTCGCCGTCCGTCAAAAAGTCGCAATCCCAGCAATGGGCCTCCGCCCTCCCCTCCAGCGGCGGTGGTTCGCACATTATTAATTTGAGTTGATGTTTTTCTTTTGGTTTTGTGGTGTGTTGTGAAAGTGTCTTCAAAGAACGAGTTATTCCGAGTCAGAATTCGGATCCAATCATCGCGCAATGATCCTTATCGTGGTCATCCTTTGTGCCGAGTCCCGTTGCAACAACAATCACCCTTCTATCACCACATAGCAGTGCGAAGGTCGCCTGTCCAACAGAATCGAAGCGCGCAGCAAGTAAACCAAGGATTAAGTGTATTGTGTTTTGTGCAAGAGGTTTGGTTTGTCGCTCGACGCCATTATGATCGCTTCTCGGGCAGCGTGACAAACGGAGGCTCTGTGAACAGCAGCGGGTTTTGCGGCAGTGGTGAGCACAATGACTGCAGACTTCCATTGAAAACTCCAAAGAAGGATTTTCCATTGGATTTTCCATTGAGTTTTGCATTGCTTTTTTTTTTTTTTTTTTTGGGTTTGCTTTACCAAGGAAAGGCTTGATGTGACGCGACGAGTCTGGGCTCGAGATGAGGACCATCAGCGGGCCTGTTCGCAACAAAGTGGATCATCCAAGTCCATTCAAGTGAGCGCAAGCAGAGATCAGAGAGCAGCAGAGAGGAAGAAAAAGCTGCGATCTCGTGGAGCTCGCGTCGAACTCGCTGCACTGATGCCCAGGGAGCGCGGCACTCAAGCATGACGCAGACAGACAGGAGAACGAGAGTGAGAGTGCGAGAGGGAGGGAGGGACTGACCGAGGGTGCCGAACAGGACGGAGAGCGAGATGACGGGCTGCTCGACAATGGCTCGCTTGAGAAAGTTCATAGTGAAGTATGAATGAACAAGGACTGGGATTTGGAGATCTGAGGAAAATGGGAGGGTTGCATCGTTACTAAGATTGAGAGGAAAAATACAATATGGGGCAACGGTGGAGAAAATCCCCAAACGGAGCACAGCAGAATCTCACAGATGGAGCAAAAGTCAAAGAAATCGTTGTTCAACAACAAAAAGAACGCATACACACAATGAATTACAACAACCAAACATCAAGCAAACACAACAACAAGCAACAAAATGAAGAGCGAGAGAGGGAGGAATAGAAGACCAAACCAAGAAACGAAGGATGAGATTGGGGCTGCGAGTGCAAGCAGCAAAGTGCAAGAGACAATGTTATTGCTGTCGAGATGCAAAGAAGGAACCCTGGTGCACCGAATGTGGTTGCTTCGCTGCATCAAGACGCCGCTACCTGGTCAGCCATCGCTTCTTCCTCGGACGGCTTGGTGCCCGCACCAGCCTCTTGGCCTGGAACAACCATCGGTGCAAGCGGGTTCGGGACTGGCGCAGAAGAGGCAGAGGCCAACACATGCGCCGGAAGAACAGAAGGAACGAGCGGCGAGTCAAAAGCGGGATTAGCATGGGTGGATGGCGCAATGGCGGCATGAGCGGTGCCTGGCGGCAAAATGATGGTCGTGCCATTCACATTCGCAACCACTGCGGACGACGAGAAACTGTTGAGGGAAGCCAGCATGGCTGGAAGCTCGCTCATAATCCGTCGTCGAGCGCCGAAAGCGTGCACTCCAATCGAGTTCAAGTCGGCATCCGTCTAGCAAGCACAACAACAATAACAACAACAAGAGAGGCACCAGAAACAAAGGATGCAATCGGGCAGAGCAGAAAAGGGTGAGCGTTTGCGACGATCGCAGAGAATCCCGTTTGAAACCACGACACATACCATGTCCCTCAGGACGTTAAAGTTAATCTTCTCTTTGACGAATAAAGTAATGTACTCGGTCAATTCGATGGCTTCGAGCCAGGATGATACGACTGTGGACAAAGACAACAAGACAAAAATCGTCAGCGGAATGTCATTGTTTGAGTTTCACTTCAACAAAACTCGCATCCTTCCCACTCCTCCTCCTCCTCTTCCGCCCGCTCAGCCAACAACAACTGAATAAACATCCAAGAAGGGGTGGGGGGGGGCATGCGACAAACTGACCTTCGACGGAATTCGGAACCGTCTTGATCGGCTTGTGGGACGTGTACTCGCTCAAGCTCAAACGCGTTGGAATCAGCGAGCCCACATCGTACCGTGTATAGGTGCCGTTGGACGAGAAGAGATAGGCCTTGCCGTTGTCCCAGAGAATGGGCCAGCGAACGTTGCGCATGGTCGCCGCACAACCACACGCGGCCAGCATGTCGTTCCAGCGGCCGTCTGCAATCAGACGGGGATAGCCCTCGTCCGCGGCATCTGTGGCAATGTCAAAGCGAGAGTAAAACCCGCCGTGGAAGAAGTAGATTTTGCCGTTGCCCCAATTCACCGCACTGTCGATTTTCGGGAATCGAAGGGATGGCCACATCTCTGCGATCGATCGTGGGTAGTCGGGCAACGCGCAGTTCTTTTGCACATCGTATGCGGTGCACATTGTGTCGTGGAAGATCATGCACTGGGTGTTGTTGTTCCACATGATGGCGGCATCGATGCCCGTGGTCGGCAACCCAGGCCAGCGCCCGTTCATCATGCTTGCGGGGTATCCCGTGTCCTCGCGATCAAAGACGTACAAGCGGTTGTTATAAGCCTGTTGTTAGAGGCGTGCGGGGGGGGAAGTTAAGTGAGAGAAGTGAGTTTTTCAAAGGTGCGATGGCGAGAAAATGAATGCAAGCAATCTCTTACCAGCATTGGCACAATTCCGCCCTTGGCAGAAGCTGGACGAGCGAATCAGAAGGAATGATGCATGAGCATTTCACCCATCGGGCAATACATCAAACGGCAAGGATGTACAAAGCCTTACCATCGTCCGTGGGAAGCACGTCCGTGAGATTTCCTCCGCTCTCGCTCTGCATGAAGAGAGGCGGATCGGACACCAGCATATTCAAGTGATCCAATTCGGCCAAGCGTCGATTGAGACGGGATGCTTCTTCGACCAGTTGGCTGGCACGTTCCAACAAAAAAAAAAAAAGGTTCCAGTGAGCATCAAGCGTTGCAGCTCTCCCAACAAACATCTCCTCAGAAGGCACGTACATGTTGGAGTTGGCAAGCAAATCAATGCAATCGAACGCGCGCATCAGCACGTAGTTGCGGAAGGGCTTGAGTGGTGGTGGTTCGAACGAAACATGACGCTTGACGACCTCCTCCAGCAAGCTGAAGCATTTGTTGAGGTCGTCGCGACGGCGCGCCTCGTAGTTGTTGTGTCGGAGTCGGATTCTGAGCAGCAGCAGCAGCAGCAGCAGCAGCAGTGTGCAACGTTGAAAAGTGAGCGCAAGGCAACATTTCACACCGACAACAACGAACAACGAGCAACGAACAACGAACAACGAACAACAAACATACGCACCGCTCTCTCCGGTCGTTGGCACTCTCCACGGCGTGGCGCTTGCGATTGGCGTATGGCGGGGCCGCGTTGGTGGTGCGGTCGGAGCCGGCGTCGTCCTCGTCGTCCTCCTGATCGCTCTCGGACGGCTTGGGCGACGCGCTTGGGGTGGCTGAGGCCGACTTGCTCCTGCGCACATGGTACACAGCGATTGTTTTGCCCTTGTTTCTGTTGCCGGTTGGAGTGACTGGCAGACTCGCAGCGCCAGAGGCAGATGCGCCTGTTGCTGCTCCCGCTCCAGCACCAGCGAGATGCGGGAACTGCTGCGCGACGCGAGGGAAGGCAGCAGAGGCGGGATCGTTCAGCACAACAACCATCTCGCTGCTCATGGCAGGGTGTGCGCTCGGCAATTGCACGGCCGTCATGATGCCATCCATCCCAGTGGATGACGAGCCTGGACCACCGGCAGCACTGCCTCGACTGGCTGCACTGTGGATGAGCTGCTGTTGTTGTTGCTGCTGGTGCTGTTTCGCGGCCGAGGCGATGAGCGCGTTGGACGACGGCATGACGAGCCCGGCTCCGCGAGCAGAGGCAGTCGCAGCGGCAGTCGCAGCGACGTGATGCTGGGCAGCGGCAGCGGCCTGTGCAGCCATGGCAGCCGCGTGGATGGACGAGGCCATGCCGGGCGTCACTGGGCTGCCTGGGCTCCCAATGCCGCTGCCGTACGGCGGAATCGCATAGTACGGCGTCGACGGCATAAAGTGCTGCGGCTGCAGCATCATCCCATACGCACCAGCCACGCCGGGACCACCACCAGCAGCGGCAGCAGCAGCGGCAGCAGCAGCGGCAGCTTGAGCTGAAGCAGTCGGTCCGAGGCCAGCGCCGTGCAGCCCCAGCCCGTGCATTGCCTGTCCAGCGAGGCCAGAGCCGTTGATGTTCATGCCGAGACTACCTCCACCAGCAGCAGCAGCAGCAGCAGCAGCAGCGCCGGAAGAAGAAGTCGCAGACGAAGCGTCGCGGTTCTGTTGCATTTGGGATTACAAAAAAAAATCCAATACAAAATCCAATACAAAATCCAATAAAATAATAAAATAAAATAATAAAATAAAATAATAAAATAAAATAATGGAAAAAGGCAGCGGTTTTGTTAACAAAGAAGAAGAGAAAAAAAAAAACAAAAGCGGCACGAACGAAGGGTCGAAAACAGGAAGAGGCAGAAACGGGGATGGAATGGGAGAGGAGAATTGAAAAGGGGGAGAGAGGCAAGGTGAAGAGGGGGAGGAGGGGGTGAGGCAAGAAAGAGCGAAAAGGATCAAAAGAAGAGGGAAACCACAAGGCAAAAAAAAAAAAAAAAAAAAAAAAAAAAAAAAAGGCAGTTAACAAAGTGAGTATGAAAATCAAAACCACAAACAACAATCATACGAAAAACAAGGTCAACAAAAGAAGAGAAAAAAAAATGGCAATCAAAAAACCGCACAGTGTAGTGGCGCGACGGGTCAAGCCCGAATGACATGGTTTGGTGCTGTTCCAAAGGGGGAAGGGGGTACGAGTTGCACAGCAAAAGGATCAAACGAAGGAAGTGGTTGCAATAGGCAAAGGAAAGAGGAAAAAACGAGGATCAGATGCTGAGAAAAGTGGGGAAGAACGAGAAAACTGGGGAAAAAAAAAAAAAAAAAATCAAGAGTGACATTTGCCCTAAAATCAAAAATCAAAAAAAAAAAAAAAAAAAAAAAAAAACCTGGTTTTTGTGGCTTACACACAAAGGGACAGACTGGCTGACTGTGAGCGCCGAGTACTGCACGAGAGAGTTTGGTGATGAAGAAAATGAATTGCTTTGGAAAGACAGCAGCGCGAATTTCCACACACACACACACAGCGCAACAGCAAGCAAAACAGCAGAAGAATCATGCACACAAAGCCTTCACTTGGTCAAATGCTGCTGGATCCAGGCCAGCGAATGCACGAAAAAGTCGCATTCGGCTTCAACATCGGCAATGCCGTGGCCATTCTCGGGATAGCTCAGAAGCCTGCACACACAAAAACAAACGCAAGTCAATATCAAACAAACCGATCGCTCCTAAAACCACCACCACCACCACCACCACCACCACCACCAACAACAACAACAACAACAACAACAACAACAAGACCAACGCACTTGCTGGGTACACCGCGGGCCTTCAGCGCAAAGTACAGCCCGGTGCCTTGGGATGGTGGGACGCGACGATCGGACGCGCCAAGCACGACGAGCGTCGGGGCCTTGATGGCATCGACGTGATAGATGGGAGACGCCTTGAGCATGAGCTCGGCAGACTGGGCGCTGAGCTCGAAGAGACTCTTGGGGTCGGCACCGGCAAACTTGACTGCCGCTTCAACGACCATGTCGTCGTCTTGGTGCGCCGGGTTGTACACACGCGCAACGCCGCTCTCGGAGAAGCACCAATCGGCAATGTCCGTGTTGGCGACCATCAGCGGGAGACTGACGACAGGATTGCGGATGGCACAGACCTTGTAGACGTCCGGGAACTGGCCGGTCATGTGGATGGAGAGGAAGCCGCCGTGCGAGCCGCCAAAAGCAATGACCTTAGACGCGTCGCCAAAGCCGCGGGCGAGAGCCGTGCGGGTGGCAAGGTGCACATCGTCAACATCCATGCGCCCGATCGCACCGAGCAGCGTGTTGATGCTGCTCTGGCCGTAGCCGACAGAGCCGCGGTAGTTGACGAGGACAAGATTGTAACCTAGCTCGGTAAATGCCGTGAACGATGGAGTGCACTCGAGCGGGAAGACGCTGTGAGGGCCGCCGTGAGGGTACGAGACCAGCGGCCGCTTGGCCAGGGCCTCAGCCGACTCGTTGGCGGCCGAGACAATCACAGCCTCCCACGGAACGCTGGTCGCATTGTCCACAAAGCGGAGCATGTGCACTTGGACGGGAACACGCGCGGGCTTGTCGGCAGTGATGCACGTCCACTTGGACGAGAAGGATGCGCCGACTTGCGCGGGATCGATGCGCGTGAGCCAGAGCGCCGGGGCGAGCGAAGGCGTGCTGAACGCGGCGAGAATCAAGTTGTGGGTGGCGTCAACAGCAAGGACTTGCCAGCTGCCTTCCGTCAGCGGCTCTTCGGCAGCTTGGCCGCGGTAGAGGCCACGAGCGGCAACAGTCAGCGGAATAACGGCGCCGGACTGCGTGTCAATGGCCACAATGTGGCGCGTCGAGCCGATGGCCGTGTCCGTCACAATGTAACGACCGCCTGCGAGCAGACCGCGCTCAGGCAGCTGGTTGACCCAAATGCCGGTAAAGCCGAGCGCCTCCCACGAGCCACGAGCGGGATCGTCCAGCAAGCTTTGGCCCGAGCTGGCATCCAGAGCCGGGACTTGCTTGTCCTTCCACTGGGCGACCCCGGCCGGGATGTGAACAGCATCAACAAGCAGCGAGTTAGCGGGCTGCCAGGCATTCCATGCGTCCGCAGACTCGAACGCTGGGATTTTGACCGAGCGCATGCGCGAGCACGCATTGTGCGCCGAGCCAATGTCATTCTCCAGGTAGACAACGCTGCTGGTCGAGGGCACAAAGCGAGGCGAGCGCGCATTAAAGCCTCGGTTGTGAAGCAGCTTGACCGAGCCAACATCCAAGGCAGCTCCAGCGCCAGTCACAATCGGCACGGCCGCCAGAATGGCATCGCGGTTGTTGCAAAAGCGCAGACCCAGGCGGCGGCCATTGTAGCCAGCCTCCGAGTACGCGACAAAGACAAGAATGCCGTGGAATTTGCGCCCGTCGCCGAGGTCGGTCACGGATCCGGCGTGCTGCACCAGCAGCGCGTCTGCAGGCGTGTACAGCGGACCGTAGCCCGGAATGGGTCGCATGCAGCCATCGAGCACAGTGATGGACGGCACGCCCGACTCAGCCGCCAGCGGGAACTCGACAATGCACGGCACAGGACGACCTTTTCCGCTGTAGCCTTCGCCCCAATCTTCGACGAGCTCGTACTTGTTCAGCGACGACGCAGCGGTTGCAGTAGCAGTCGCTGCGGATGCAGAGCCAGACTTGGCCGTCGTGGTCGTCGGTGCGGAGGATTCCCACAGCGAAACGAGTTTCTGAGACGCTTCGGCGAGATACAGAATGGACGACTCGTCGTTGGACCACGAAATGGCGCCAATGCCGTCGTCTGGCCGGAAGACTGCCTCGTGCTTGCCATCGGACGAGACCGTGTACACCATGCGATCGGCCTCCCAGAGCTCGAGGAACTGGACTGCCTTGGCGGCGGCACCGGCAGAGGCAGGGCCGAGCGACTTTGGCGCAGCCTTGCGCACGACAAGCATCCTGCGCCCGCTCGGCGACACTGAGATCAGGGACATGTCGCTGACATCCACGGGGAAGGGCGCCGACCAGACGGCAGCAGCAGGTTGAGCAGGTTGAGCAGGTTGAGCAGGTTGAGCGAGGCCGGACGGGACGCAGAAGGAGCGGAGGAACTGGCGCTGCTGCTTGCGCTCGAGGTCGCGCTGCTTGGCGACAGTCGTGACGGTGATGGCCGGTGCATCGGATCCTGAAGTCGAGGACGAGGTCGAGGAAGTGGAGAGGAAGCCCTGCGGATACGTGACCGAGGACGAGGCGATTCGAGCAAAGACGCTCCGAACCTGCTCAGAAGTGCACGTCATAGTCGGAAGACCTATGTGAATTGTGGATATGAGTGAGTTGAGTGAAGTGAAGTAAAGTGAAGTGAAGTGAGTGTGAGGTCGTTGTGGATTGTTATGTTACTGAGATTGATTATGAGGAGTGAGTTTGAGGCAATCTTGACAAATTTGAGAATCTCAGTCAATGAGTGGGTGAATGAATGATTGAGTGAATGAATGAATGTTTGTGTGAATGAGTGTGCTGGGGCTTGTTTACTGACCTGAGTATGAAGAGCGAGCTTTGAGATTGGAGAAATGCAATCTGACAAATTCTGAGCCGATTTGAGAATCTCAAACTCGTTGAACGCGCGCGCTTTGTTCAGGTGCGTTTCACTGATCTTGAATTCAACCCTCATCCAAAGTCGCTTTTGATGCAGCCGTCTGAGAGTCGTTGTTCGCTTCGTCTGATTCAAAGCGTTCGTTTCAGTGCTCGCTCGAATCCAATCCTGTTGATCTGAGACGTTTCTTCGGTTGGTTTATCGTATGTAGCACTGCCCCCGCTCTCAGTCTATCCTTTCATATTATTTACTGCTCGCTTTCTCAGATTCTTGTTCAATCTTTTTTTTTTTTTTTTTTGCTTTTTGGCCAATGGCGCACCATAGATCGACGTCCGCGGCGTTCCAGCCGTTCCGCGCGCTCGGGCTCGTGTCCAACCACGTCCCCTTCGCGGTGCAGCACTTGGGCGGTGCTGCTGGAGCTGTTGGCGGCGGCACTGGCTCGGCTGGCGGCGACCACTTTGTCACGACATGTGTAGGGCGCGGATTCCACGTGTACAACTGCGACCGCCTGCGCCTCGTCATGGCCAGCGACCAGATCCCCCACGGCGCCCCGGCACCATCGTCAGCAGCAGGATTGCGACGACGGGCGCGTGGCCAGCGGCGCAGGAGGGCGGCCGGTGGTGCAGGAGGAGCAGCCGCGGGAGGCGCTTCGAGCCGCAGCCTCGTGGAACGGCAGCAGCAGCGAGACCTCGCAGATCAGGTCGACGAGGACGAGGACCAAGCCGAAGATCAAGATCAACGAGAAGATGGAGACGAAGACGAAGGCGAGGATCACGAGATGGACATTGACAGCGAGGACGACGAGCAAGAAGACCAGGACGAAGACGAGGAAGACGAGGAAGACGCAGACGCGGCTGCTGCGCTGATCATCCGATGCATTGCGTCGCACAGATCAACAACCATCACAACGCTGGGCAACGAAGTCATCATCTGGCAACGAGGAAAGATTGTGCAGCGCGTCGGTCACTTGCACCCAAGGCGAGTGACGGTCGCTGGGGCGCGCACACTCAACGAAATTCACTCGATGGTGCTGCTCGGAGACCTCGTCGTCACCTGCTGCGACGGCAACCTCCTCAAGGCATGGTCGCTGTCGACGCTCGAAGTCCTTAGCGAGCTGGAACTGCCATCGCAATCCTTCCACGTCTCGGCCGTCGTGCATCCCAGCACCTACCTCAACAAGTTGCTCCTCGGCAGTCGCCAGGGTGGCTTGCAATTGTGGAACATTCGCACGCAGACGCTAGTGTACTCGTTCAAGGGCTGGGGCTCGCCGGTCACCTATCTCGCGCAATCCCCCGCCGTGGATGTTGTCGCAATCGGCCTTGAAAACGCCTCCATCGTACTGCACAATCTCAAGACGGACGCCGTGCTCATGCGATTCACCCAAGATGGGCCAGTCACGTGCATTTCCTTCCGAACAGGTACGAATGAGCAGCAGTGTTTGAGATGTGTTTTTGAACAATTTGGAAATCAGGGGGCTAACTTTGCAGCTGTCTCCTTCTCCTCTTCTCCTCCTATTTCTCCTGTCTCCTCCTGTTTCTCCTGTCTCCTCCAACAGGCAATGTCCCAATCATGTCGTCGTGCGGAACGGATGGCAACATTGCCCTGTGGGACCTGGAGCACCGACGCCTCGCCAACATTGTCAAGGACGCGCACGAGTCGGCAATCGCTCGTGCCGAGTTCCTGCAGTCGCAGCCAATCCTTCTGTCTGCGGGTGCCGACAATTCCGTCAAGGTAAGATTTTGTTGGTTGGGGGGGGGGAACTGACCAACTTGATCCATCAGCCCAAATTGCTCAACGCCGCTGCATGCTCGTGACCGGTGTAGATGTGGATTTTCGACCAAACAGACGGATCAGCCCGCTTGCTGCGATCGCGTGAAGGACACTCTGCACCACCAACACGCGTTCGCTTCTACGGCTCGCCAGGAACGGCCACTGCTGGACATTTGCTGCTGTCTGCTGGTTTGGATCGCACTCTGCGCTTGTTTTCAACCATCGCAGATGCTCAAAGCACTGAACTGTCGCAAGGCCATCTCAAAAGCAAGACCGCCCGCTTTAACGTCAAGATTGAGTCGCTGCGCTTCCCTCCCATCGTCGACTTTGCGGCCGAGGATGCCCGTCAGCGCGACTGGGACAATGTGGCCACCTGCCATCTCGGCAGCAGTGTGATTCACACCTGGCGCACCGAGACCAAGTCTGTTGGCAAGCACGCCATCAAGCCGTCTGTTCAAGGCGCGACTGTTCAGGTAGAGGGTTTTTTGAAAGGTGGCAAAAAGCGTCGAGTTTTTGGCTTTGATTTCTCACATCACGATGGTTGCTTTCTGTTGGTAGTGCATCACGGTGTCGGCATGCGGTAACTTTATTCTCGCTGGTCTCTCGGCCGGCGTGGTTGATATTCACAACATCCAGTCGGGTCTGCACCGCGGCACACTTGGCGCCAAGGGCTCTCCACACGATGGCACCGTCACTGGCGTGGCCATCGATGCTGTGAACGAAGTTGTGGTGACTTGTGGCCTGGATGGCTTTGTTAAGGTAAGCAGTGTGTGCTTGGATTTGGGGTTGGGGTGTTGAGCGAAACGGGCGAAATGATTTTTGCAGCTCACCGCCGTGCACAACAGTTCTGGAACTTTCAAAATCGTCGCTTGATTGCGTCTCATGAGCTGGACGTGCCACTGACTCAGTTGGTGCTCCATCGCGAGAGTGGGATGGTCGCCGTGGTTGGTGACGATTTTTCGGTCCGATTGTTTGACGTGGATTCTCGCAAACTTGTCCGCTTGTTTGCAGGCCATGCCGCCCGCATTACCGATTTGGTGAGCTTTGGCGTGTAGTTGCCGCGACTGCCTGCTAGTTTCAGCATTTGACTTTTGTTGGGCGTGTTTTTTTTTTTTTTTTTTTTTTTTTTTTTTTTTTTTTTTTTTTTTTTTTTTTTTTTTTTTTTTTGGCTTTAACCTTGGTTTTGCAGACTTTTAAAACGGACGGGCGATGGCTCGCCCCGTCCTCCATGGAAACCACCATCCGAATCTGGGAATTGCCCACTGGATGCCTGGTCGAATGTTCAAGTGCGAAAATGCCCCCACCAGCGTGACGTTTGCACCAATGGAGAGTATCTGGCCACCACGCACGTCGCAGTGTTGGTGGCTTCCTCTGGGACGTTGTTATTGTGGGAAGCTCAAAGTGCCGGATTCTTTTTGGTGGCTCTATATTATTTGTTCGGGGTTGTTCTTTTCCAGGGCCAACCGAACTCTGTTCTCGACTGTATCGCTGCGTGCAATCGCTCCTGATCAGCCGTTGACTGCCATGCCTCTGCCTGTCAGTGGAGAAGAGCAGCTTGTTTCAGGTAAACCTGTGCTGTTGACGGAGGTGTGTTTTGTGCATATGAAATCCTTGGAGCATCGTATTCACCACCAATCTGTGTCTGACAGCTGACGCAGAAGACTCGAGCGCTGCATACCTCAACGCCGAAGATGGCAGCTTCAAATCCGCAGACCAGCTCTCAGCGGAACTCATCACGATGTCCGCACTGCCGAAGGCACGTTGGTTCAACCTGACCAACCTCGATCTCATTCGTGAGCGAAACAAGCCCAAGGAGGCGCCCAAGGCGCCTGTGGCTGCTCCCTTCTTCCTTCCTACCATCGCAGGAACCGAGGACAAGTTTGCAATTCGTCTGGAGAGTGACGGTGACGAGAACAATCGCTCAACGTCGCAATCCCGCATTTTAAACTTTGCCGACATGGATGTGCTATCACCTTTCGCCCGCCTCTTGTTGAACTGTGGCGAGACTGACGACTGTAAGAGAGCCGGAGTACCTGTTGCTGAGTACTTGAAAAAGAGTCATGCTCACTGCCCGCCTTGTTTCGTTTTTCTCGTGCGCGAACAGTCGAACCGGCGCTCGCCCTTTTGATCGAATTCCCTCCAGTGGCAGTCGACCTCGAAATCCGTGGCTTGTACAGTGGCAGCGACGCAATCGTGTCGGGCCTCAGCAACCGTGCTGGCGACGTGACGCTGTTGCAGCAGTTTGGCAAGATGCTCGTTCACGGGCTGCGAAAACGGACACACTTTGAGCTCTTGCAAGCCTTTTTGAACGTATTTTTGAAGGTAAGGTGACAAGCGAGATGGATTGAAGAGATATGGATCTCGGACTGATTTTTTTTTTTTTGTTGTTGTTGTTGTTGTTGTTGTTGTTGTTGTTTTGTGCTCTGGGGGTGGTCAGGTTCATGAGGAGGCATTTGCAAACCAAGAGCTGCTTCGACCGCTGGCCCGCGAGCTGCAAAGCGCTGTGGAAAGCACCTGGACGGACTTCCAGGACTCGTTCCAGCATAGCTTGTGCATGATTCAGTTCATGAAAAACGCTTCATTGTAGCCTCGTTGTTGGAAAACCCAGGTTACAAAGGCAATATGAACATTAAATGACTAGCTTGGAATCGAAGTAATCACACCCACACAAATCCACACGTGGTTCAACAACAATGACGTTCAACAAAAATAAGCAATCCTCGGATGGTTAAACATCCAGAGCAACGTAGACCGTTTCGGCAGCCTCCTCCCGTTTGACCATAGAGTACACCTCCTCTGCCGGGGGACTGGCGGCAGAGCTTCCCTTGATGGTTGCATACTCGGACGTTTCGTTCACGTCAATTCCGAGGGCGCGAGGAGCAACGCCGTGTTCGATCGTGTGCGCGGAGAGCGGAACGTGAGGGGACTGCACTGGCTTTGGCACGCGTTTCGCAGCAGGCGTCGGTTCTGGGGCAGCAACCACGGGTTTGGGAGGCGCAACAGGCTTGGGTGCCTTGGAAACGGCAGGCTTTGGCGCCGTGGAAACGGCAGGCTTGGGAAGCGGGGCAGGAGGGGCCGCGGGGCTGCTGCCGGTGGTGTCGGCGGCGCCGCGCACGCTACCATCTGCGCTGACAGGCCCGTATGCGTGGGAAGCGAGTTGGGCAGGGCGAACACCGCGCATGGATGACGCAGACTTGCCGGCTGGTTGGTCGTTTGCTGTCAATGGCGCAAACGAGCTGTTCGAGTGCATCATGTAGTCTGCGGCAGGGCACTCTGGAGCACTGGCTTCGTACAATGGGTTGGTTACGTTGCCTGTGTCAAGGTCACAAATGAATGCAGTGAGAAACTGTGGCACGGACACCTCAAAAAGATGCAAACTGCTTTCTTCTTACCTGGCTCGGGCTGTTTGGATTGCCGACGTTTGCGACGCAGCAAAACCAGCACTAGAATAATAATAACAAGCACACCGCAAGCAACTCCAACGGCTATTCCAACAGCGGGCGACGAGTCGCTGGAAGCGGCTGCAGTACAAGTGTTGGTGGCAGAATTTGGAACCTCGCCCTTCGGGCAAGCAGCCACGCACTGACGCGATGCCTTCGAAGCGAAAGTGCCGCTTGGGCAACGAGTCACGCATGACTGAGTTGAATTGTCGGCATAGCCTACAGGGCAAGGGGAGACGCAAGACCAGGTGGCATTGTACGCAAACTCGACAGAGCAGGTCGAGGCGCAACTGTGTGTCGATGAATCGGCCCAAGAGTTGGCTGGGCACGACACGACGCATGATCCGCTTGAAGAATCTGCAAAGAGACCCCCCGCACATTCCGCCACACACGTCCAATTTGAATTCTGCCTGAAAAGTCCAGAGGAGCAGCTGGAAGCACAAGTGCCAGCAGATGAATCGGCCCAAGAGTTGGTTGGGCAATTTTCAACACACTGTCGAGTGCTGTCATCTTTGAAGCGTCCACCAGTGCAGCTCGTCGAGCATCTTCCAGTCAAAGAGTCCGCCCACGAGTTGGCGGGGCAGTTTGTCACACAACTGTGGGATGCATCATCTTTAAAGGTGCCACTAGTGCAGCTCGCAGAGCACGATGGCGGAGTCCGCAGACCGTCACCGTAGGTCCCACCAGGACAAGTCTGGACACAAACCTTGCTTGTTGGCTCGGCATAGTACCCGCCTGTGCAAGTTGATACGCAAACACGAGGCAAACTCAAGGGGTTTCCGTATGTTCCATCGGGGCAGGGCGAGACGCAGCTGCGAGAAGCATCACCAAAATAGTTGGGAGCAGGACAGCTTTCAACACAAAGGTGGTTGACCGAATCGGCATAGTACCCGCCTGTGCAAGCTGACACGCAAACACGAGGCAAACTCAAGGGGTTTCCGTACGTTCCATCGGGGCAGGGTGTGACACAGCTGCGAGAAGCATCACCAAAATAGTTGGGAGCAGGACAACTTTCAACACAAAGGTGGTTGATCGAATCGCCATAATACGGGCTTGGGCATTGGTCAACGCAAACTCTTGCGCTCGGCGATGCATTCGCTGGCGCAAAATTAGTGCAAGTTGAAACACACGCACGATTTTGGTGCGTGTCTCCATAGGTGTTCGCAGGACAGGAATCGCCACAGGTGCCGTCAGGCTTGCCCCAGTTTGGTTCAGGGCAGGTCGAGACGCACGATGTTCCAGACAAGTAGGATCCGGAGGCACACGATTGGCATGCATTCACATTGGATGGACTACAAGTAGCGCACTCCAAGGAGCATGCAACCGAGAATGCGCGCGAGGAGCTCGATGATGTCAGGCCCGCTCCGTTGACAGCGCGAACTTGGAAAGAATAGGTTCCCACATCCAAGGTCGAGACTTGATTGGAAATGCAAGTCGTCCATGCGCCACTCGACGAAAACTGGCACTCGTAGTGGTCAATGTCGGACTGAGCGTCGGTCGCCGTAGTGAAAGTCCATGAGACCGAGTTCGTCCGAAAAACCTGATTTTGGGTCGGTGAAGTGATGGAGGGCGTGGAAGGTGCGCTGACGTCCACGCAGATGGCGTGCAGGAAGAACTGGTCGTTGTTGCAACTGTCGTCGTAGGTGTCGCAAGCGACATGATTAAGAATGTCGCTGTTATACGTAGCAGCCTGATTGTTTAACATGAGGCAGTTGGACGGATTTTGGTCGTAATAAAAACCCGATTCATGCATTGCCACGCCAAACTTGATTTTGTAATTGGAAGTGTCCGGGCAAGCAACGCTATCAGCGCCTGATGTTCCTGTCTTCGACACGAAATCTCCTGAGCTCAAGGTTACTGCTGCGGATGGCATGCAGAGGAGGTAGATGAACGAATACTCATCGCCCCCACTTCCGCCACAATGCCTTGTTGAGCAGCTAGAAGTTGAACAAGATTGCTGGCCCAGATCGCAGACCTTGTTGTTGTAGAGACAGTTGGTGTCACGCAGTCCGTCGCTCATGTAGAATGAAAACCCATACGCAATGACGGTGCCGGTAGGACAGGCGGCGGGTTGCGCCCCAGCACCATAAGCTGTCCGCTGCGTCAACCCGGTGATGGCAGCGCCCGCGCGACAAACAATGATGATGTACTGTTTGGTAGTACTCTGTGAGCATTCCGAACTCGAGCAACTGGTGGCGCCAACTGAAATGCCATAATAATAAGCAACGTGCAGCAATAAGTGCGCAAAAAATTAGTCACTCACTATTGCACGGCCCGTTATTGTCTGCGAAGCATGATGGTAAATCGTCTTGATCAGTCGACCACCTAGTTTCCAAAAAGGAATGAGCCCTCTATGTTGCCTCGAACAAACAAGCGACTCGAGACTCGACTTACGACCATTTGAAGCCCCAAATGATGCTTTTGCCAGCCGGACATGTTGCGATGGCGAGGTTGTTCGCCAATCCAGTTCCTCCAGCTCTCACGATTTCATCCGCCGCGGTTGGTAAAAATGAAGCACCTGCATTGTTGACAATCCATCGTAAGTTATTGAGCGATGAGCTGAGCAAATCATACGCTCCACGACTGATCCCCTTCATTCACTCTCGTCCTTCGCGTCCCCTCATTGAACTCATCTCCATCATTAAATTAAATACATTTCCATCTCCCAACACTCTGCACTCAACTCTCAATCCCACGACTCGGATTCAAACAAAATGGAAATCCATCACAAAACAGAAAAAGAAAGGAAAAAAAAAAAAGGAGGATTGACCAAATGAAGCCGTGGGATGCTGAGCAGTTGCCTGGCTGCCGCACCCCCATGCCCGCGCAGGACGACGACCAAGCTGAGCGTGCCCAATGCAGCTCTGCAACACATGCAACAGGACAACGCCGGGTGCAAGGGGATGCACAGAGCGCGATGGGAGCAAAGGTGATTCGCAATAACAGGACAATAAACACAAAAAAAAAAAAAAAACCAAGGAGGGTTTGCTCAATCAAAAAAACAACCATGAAAACGCACCACGATACGCAGCGTCGACGGACGGCACTGCGGCAGCGAGGGCGAGCAGCAGCAGGGAGAAGACGATCAGCGCCGTCGGATGGCGCAGCGCGGGGGGCGGCAGTGGCATCGCACGCCGCGAGACAGACCCAGCAACGAGGCCCGCACGCATCAATTGAAAAAAAAAAAAAAAAGCTGAGTAAAGTCAAAAAAGCAGAAAAAAAAAGTAGAAAAAGAAAAGAAAAAAAAAAGACAAGGAAAATTTAAAAAACTGAGCTTTCCTTGAATGAATTTAGGAAATGCAGATTCTCAGAAAGCGGGATTAAAGGACACAACTCCATGCAATTTGGTATCATAGCGACCAGAAGCAGGGTCGGTGCGGGGGAAGAGCTGAGTCACACGGAAAGAAACAAAACCAAGCAATTGTGTTTTCCAGTGGTTTTTCGGTTTTCCCCCTTCACGCCCGCTTTCCTCCCGGCTTGTCGCTAGGGAGAGAGCCCAGAGAGCATCCACTGCAAAGTTCATTTGAGACATCGATAGACAATGATTGGGCGTGGAAGGAGCGAACGGGGGTGGAGGAGGAGGGCGGCGTTCGCTCAGCATGGGTCGGGAACACAATTGAGAGATCGCGGGTTCTCTCTCTTTCCTAACGACATGACTATTCATGAGTCAGTCCTGTTGCTATCGTTGGCATGATGGGAAGACAAAAAACGAGAACGAACAACGTATTGAACAGAGAAGAGAAAACATCCAACAGCAAACAAGCTAACAGCATGAGAACATCCAATGAAGCACAGCTAACAACAACCAATCTCACAACACAACCAAAGAAGCAAGCAGTCTAAATGTCGATATCGGCATAAACAGTCTCCTTTCTGGCACCAGCAGCAGCATTTCGGCGCGCAACGGTCGAATAAATGCCGTCTGATACTGCCAACACGGGTCCGTCACGCTGAATCGAAGCGTACTCGGAACAAACCTCCATCTGATGCCGCGTCGCCACTTGAGGAATATTCAGCTCGGCTGGAGGCAACCGCGGGCGAGTGGCTGCCGGAACAGGGGCTGCTGGCGATGTCTCGGAATCATGAGCGGCGGATTCATAGTCAGGCGCTGGAGCCGCAGGGCCGGATTCAAAAACTGGATTGAAAATGGTGTTTGCTGATGCGAGCAAATCCAAAAACATCCAACCAAAAGTCAGCCGAGAACAAGCACAGTAAATAAAACGACAGCCGACAAAGCCTCTGCGATACCTTTTGACTGCGAAGACACGGGTGTACGAGCACGACGACGACGTGTCAGTAGAACTGCAAGTACCAGAATTAGGACAAGCAGGACAGCCCCACCAGCCGCACCACCAGCGATGGCAGCAGTGTTGGCTGAGCTGCTCGGAGAAGACGTGGAGGATGACAACACACAAGAGCGTGATGCTTGCTTTGGCTGGTAATTTTCAGGACAGGACGCGACGCACTGGCCCAGGATCATGTAGAATCCCGCGGCGCAAAAGGTACACTGATCCACGTTGGTCGCGACACAAGTTTCGCAGCTGGCGTTGCATGCAATGGTAAAGTCGTAGCCTGCGCTGGACTGAATCAAACCTGCCCCGTTCACAGCGCGCACCCGGAGGGAATAGGCGCCCAGCTCCAGGGTAAACACTTGATTCTTCGCGCAGGTCGACCAGCTGCCGCTTGGTGAGAATTGGCACTCGTAATGGTCAATCTCAGACTCGGCATCTGTAGAATTGACAAAAGTGACAGTCACATCTTGACTTTGGACGGAAGTCGAGACAGACCCAGGCGCAGTCGGGGGAGTCACATCGACGCAAATGCCTTGAAGGAAAAACAAGTCGTTTGTGCAATCGTTGTTTTGGTAGGTACTGCATGCGGCAGTTTGCAGCACGGACGAATTAAAGGTCGCCAGCTTGTTGTTGGAGTCAACACACTGGGGTAAACGACCTGGTAGGTTTTTGGCGCTGGTTTGCATCGCAACGCCAAACATCAGGCGGGTGTTGGTTGTAGCACATTGAAGCGATCTTGAGGCTTTGGCTGCAGCTGCTACGATGTCGGTTGAGCTTATGGTCACGTCAGTCGCAGGCTGGCAGATCAAGTAAATGAAAGAAGACTCGTTGCCTTGATCGCCAGACGAGCACGCCCTTGTGTTGCAGGCCGTTGTTGCACAAGATTTCGCGCCGGGAGTGCAAGCGTCGCTATTGCGGCGCATGCACGCCTGCCCATTGTGCGAATCGCTCGTAAAGAGCGAAAAGCCGTACGCAATAACCGTGTCGCTGGGGCAGCTCACGCTTTGTGCGCCCGGGCCAAATTGGGTGACCTGGCTTAGGCCAGCAACAGGAGCGTCTCGGCAGACAATCACAACGTACTGCTTCGTCGTGCCCGAGGAAGTAGCGCACGCTTGACTGGAGCAGTTCGGTGCACCGCCTGCGAAATGAGTAATCATGGCGGCAAAAAGTGAGCTCTAGCTGCAGTGAGCGCAATCCATCATCAACGACTCACTAGTGCATGCAGCATTGTTGCCTTGAAAGCAGTTTGGCAAGCTTGCTTGGTTTGTCGACCATCTGTGTGAAATCCATCGTCAGCATCAGCAATGGTTGTCAGGGGCTTGTACAACCATTTGATCCGACTTACGCCCATTTGAAGCCCCACGCCACGACTTTTCCTGTCGGACACGAAGCCGTAGCGCCTGTGCCTGTGCCCTTGGCAATAACGACCTCGTCCCCCGCGGTTGGTAGAAACGACGCTCCTGCAATACAGTAATAGCAGCCAACATTGAGTCAAATCCGAAATTCGATTCTCTTCCTTTCCTTTTCTTCTTGTTGTGTACTTTTTCACCGTGTTGTTCTGATTCCGCAGCAACGCGTGTGTGTGCTCGCCTTTTGTGTAAATGTCACCAACACAATCGCCGCACATCCCATCTTGCATGTCTGCGCAACCCCCTCTTCTTTGACTTTCGTTTTGACTCTGTTTGTAAGCCATTGAAATCCATCCAAAACGAGACGAGAAAGCGGGTTTTCTTTGGTTCCAGTAAAAATTCTTTGTCGCATTTTCTCACGCCTGCGACAGTTATTACGCGGCTGCTCCTACAGCGCAAAGGCGGCACTTTTGCTCAACTGACAGTCCAGCACCAGTCTGATACTGACGAGCGTTCGCAGTGACCCATTGCGTTTGCGTTTCCAGCCCAGATTCGTCAAACGAAAAGTGCCTAAATTTGTTTCCCCAGTCTCCTTGCTCTCGCGCTCTCTCTCTCCGCTGTCAGACCCCATTGGAGTGCGCAGTGATGATGAGGATGTGCAGCGTTGGGACACCAGTCCAGGGACGTACCGCGGAACTTGGCGTGGCTCGGACCAGCGAGACTGGCGACAACAAGCAGCAATGTAAAAAACGCAAGTGGAGATTTGCTTTGATGCTGCATTGGATCGCGTGGTAAAGGACTGCATCTAGAAATGTGTAATTGTGGTAGCACAAGTGCATGTAAAGTTATAAAATACGAGTGCAAAGTACAAAGACTTGCCGCGTTTTGCTGAGCTGAACAAGACAAAAAGCCAAATCTCAAGTCATGCTCTGCACAAGACCAAAGTCGCTTGAGAGCGTCATGAAAGTAAACATGTATGTACATTGGGATGAAAACTATGTGGAAACGAACAACATGGACAAATAAGACCGAAGGCGGTACCGTGCCTTCAAAAAAACATTTCGTGTTTTGCTCTGCTAGGATAGCGAAGCGTAGACTACCGTGCCGGCTTCGTGCGGTGCAGCATACTGCGGATAGTCTACACGTGCTCCTATCAGGCTCGCGTATGTTGTCGCCGGTGGCCCCGAAGGTCGCTTCTGGAGCTCATCGTATTCACCGTCGCCCTGCGAGTGTAATTCCCTGGGAACGGCATACACCGAAGAGTCTGAACTCGTTGAAAGCTGGCTCTTGTTGAGCGGCGAGACCGAGCTGAAGCTCGACGACGACGAGGGACGGCCCAGTTGAGAGGCAAACAGAGGATTGACGACAGAAGGAGCTGTGCCTGGAGCGCAGAACGGACAAGGGTTAGGCACGAGCTTTTGAAGCGCGAAAAACATCCAACAAACACAAACAAGCACACAAACAGGGCGTACCACTGTTGGGATTATGGTGGTCCAATGGAGCACGCTTTGCTCGCCGGCGACGAATCACCACGAGGGCAATGACAATCAAGGCGACAACTACAGCGGCAATGGCGCCGGCAATAGCTGCAATCGGCGACGAAGAGCTTTGAGAGCCCGTGATCGGGTTGTTGGAATGTGCAGTGGGAGTCAGGCTTCCTTTTGCCGTGGAAGTAGTAGAGCGTACAGGGGTTGTGCTGACCACGGGGGTTGTGCTGACCACGGGAGTTGTGCTGACCACGGGGGTTGTGCTGACCACGGGAGTTGTGCTGACCACGGGAGTTGTGCTAACCACAGGAGTCGTGCTGATTGCAGGAGTTGTGCTGACGACGGGAGTTGTGCTGACCACGGGAGTTGTGCTGACCACGGGAGTTGTGCTGACCGCTGGCGTCGTGCTGACCACGGGAGTTGTGCTGACCACGGGAGTTGTGCTGATCACAGGAGTTGTGCTGACCGCAGGCGTCGTGCTGACGGGAGTCGTGCTTGGAATCATCACTGCATTGCATGTTCAAAGGTGATTGTGAGTCGCTACATCACGTGGTCCTTTGCAATCTCGCACCCAGCAACACTCACAACAAGACGGAATGGTCGACCAAGAAGCGGAGGAGGCCGACGCAGAGCACGAGAGCGATTTGCTTGGAGCGTCATCCGAGAATCGGTACCCGGATTGGCATGAAACGGTGGCAGTGAGTTGGTTGGTGCTGAACGAGACGTCTGCATTCGGAATGTTCAACGTGGGGCACTGCATTCAAACGAAGAGGCGTGAGAAAGCGGACAACAATCGATCGGTGCATCGTTGTGGAAGGCTCACCTGAAGGCAGGATGAAAGCGCGTCTCCAGACGACGTCAGCCATTTACCGTTCGACTGCGAGTCCGCCGAGCAGGTCACTGTCGAGGACTGGACATTTGTGTTGGCAATAACGTAGCCAGCATCGCAGGTTTGCGTCGCGACGCCGTTTATAGCCGCAGCGGTGCTTGGGCTAAACGTTGCGTGGGTAAGCGAGGGCGCCGAGCAATATGCTGAGAATGATCAGGAGAACCGCTGTGAGCCACGCCCAGGCATTTGCTATGAAAGGTCATACGAAAAGCAGCCTTCTTACAATTCCACGAGGAACAAGTCGGTTTGGTCCCCCATCCCGTCGTCGATTCGGTGCAACTCAAAGTCTGACTGTAGAAACCGACCGAAATGCGGTACCCGAGGTTGCATGCAACGGTCGATGAAAAGGCTGACATGGTGCTCGTGTAGGTAACGGCGGCGTTGGTAACATTATAGTACAAACAGTATCCGCCATTCACGCAGACCGAATTCCAGTAGCCGTTGTTTGATGCGTCCGCCCGACACTGCGTGGTGCAGCTCGTCTGGGAAGTATCTGAACTGCACCGAAAGCCTTCCGCACAGTTGAGGTTTGCGGTAGACCAGGCCGTTCGTCCACTCGGTGTGGAAGAGCCCAGAGTGCCGTACTGAATCGATGACGGACAGGATACGTTCTGTGCAAGAGAGAGAGCAGGGAGAAGCAAATATCAGTGTCACCGGCTACCACAAGCACGCTTCACTGCGAATCGATTGACAAACCGGAGTGCAGCTGATGCTTGCGCAGCTCGAGGTCGAGCCAGTCGTGCCAGAACAACAACCTGTGACGCATCTTCTGCAGTCATCGCTATCATAGCAGGTCATGGAGCCCACAGGACAAGACGACGGGCAAGACGAGGCCGTATTGGCAACATAATTGACGTAAAGGTAGTCGCCATCGCTGTCGCGGATCAAGCAAAACGTGTCGCTCAACGCGGTCGGTGCTTGCAAAGCGACCAGTCCAAGCAGGGAAAAGAGCAGTACGATCGGCCGCATTGCTTCGAGCGCCTTTCTACAGCAGTGCAATTGACGAGCAAGATGGCTTTGGAAGGATAGATCTGCGCCACACAAGGACATGAGACAAGGCGTTTCCAAAGTGAGCCACACGAAAAAGCCGCAGATTACGAGTTGAGCTTGAGTTTGGTTTCTATTCGTGCTTTTTGTCGAGATTTGGTGAGACCGTGACACCAGAGGGAGCTAGTGGAAGGGTGAGCAGCGGCGAGCTAGAGAACGCCGAGATCAAGTTCGATTGTTTTTCAAGGCGATGATGATGCTGATGATGGGAGTTTTTTCCATCCATTCTTTCGCTCGCTGTTTTGATCTACACGAGTACTCGTTATTAAGTGCCTCCCAATTGCCGGGTTTCACCATTCCAAACTGGAAAAGAGGCGGCAAATTGGAGAAATTGGCAACAAAAAAAAAAAAAAAAAAAAAAAGCACGAGTTTGAAACGTGACGCAACGCCGAAACACGAAAAATCCCGATCGCTCAGGCTGTTCCTGCTCGTGCAACACGACAGAGTGGATCAAAATGGCGAGTGGAGCATCTAACGACGAACAGAAGCAGGGGAGGGAAAGGCGTGGCTGGGATGACCATTCCAAAAAAAAAAAAAAAAAAAAAAAAAAAACGCTGCAGATCAAAAAAGAACGAAATTATAAATAAATAATGAATAATAAAATGGAAAAAAATAAAAAGTAATTCGAGGAGTTGTGATGTGACACAAATCTGAAAAAGGCAAGACAGTAGAGAGAACCCTCCTACAATGGGACATAATGCATTTCCAGTCATTTTGATTTTTGTCGCCCTCCTACAACGGGACAGAGGCGTTCTTGGGCTCTGAGTCTTGTTCTGCTACCCCCTCCTTGCGGATATCCACTAAATAGCATCTGATGAACCCACTGGGCACACCGGGCGGAGTCGTCAGTCCGCGGAACGAGCGGGCCTTCGACCTGCTGCGGGAGGCTAGACAGGCCAAGGACGCCGACTCTCCTCGCTTTTTCAAGGCCGCCGTGCTGAAAACCTACTTTACACCTTGTGCTGACATCAGTGGACCAGGTGGCGCGGGAGCCAAGGAGACGAAACCGACCATCAGGCAGCTGGAGGCGATTTTCGAGGTCCCGCGATCTACTGTCGGCAAATGGATCGCGCATCACCGCCATCAAGCCGATCTCTTCGCCCGTTCTACCCTCGATCAGGCAGTTGATCTAGTTCAGGATGACGCCATCTCGGGGGACCGCAGCGTCTTCCTCCGGTCGGAGGAGCTCAAGATCGTTAACTACCTTTTTGTTCGGAGCGCATTTGCTCACGTCGCCCTCACCAAACCCAATACAATCGAACTCTTCATGCGCCTGTCTCAAGTTCCACGACCAGATGGAAAGCCTCGCCGCCAGTTCGGTCCCAACGGCCCGAGCGAGTCGTTTTTGGAGCGGTTTTTCGCCGAGTTTTCCGACGAACTCCGCTGGATCACTGCACACTCGATCGAAACCATTCGTACGGCCGCGATGAACGAGGAAACCCTCAGAAGCTTCTTTGAGCGCCTGCAGGAGCTTTGCGACAAGTCTGGAGGGAAGCTGTGGGCCGAGCCTGGGCGGATTTTCAGCTGCGTCCGGAAACTCAGCGCCTCCTTGACGCTTTCGTGAGTGATGTGCGCACCCTGCTACAGATTCCATCGCTTCTCACATTCGAGGAGTTGCTGCGAGCGCCCCCGCTGACACCGTCGTCGAGCTGCACCGAGCCTGCCACTGTCCGAACCGTCAAGCAGAACAAGGCCTACTCGCCCCAAGATGCGGCACAGCGTGCTGCCCAGCACGAGCGAGAAGCTCGGGAACAAGAAAAGGCTCAGGTTGCGCCTCTCATGGAGGAGTACAACCGGGCAATGCGGACCTACGAAGACAAAATCGAGCCCGTCATGAATCAGCAGGACCAACTCAAGTCGACGATCGCTGCCGACCAGGCCCGGCTCGCAGAACTCGAGGCAGACGACTCGGCAGCCGCTCTGGTTGCAGACGTGCGTGCGCAACTTCACGCGAACCAGCAGAGGCTCGCCAAAGTCAACGCGACCGTGAAGCAAATGGTCGCCGCAAAACCCAAGCGCCCCGACGTCCGACACGTCCGCGCGCTTGCCGCCTCGAAAGCAGCAGCTGCGGCACCGGCTTTGCAATCGGTTGCGACGATGGCGGTTGAGTAGGACGACTCTGACGACGAATGCGAAGAGGACGGCATTCCGCCGTCGCCAATGCAGGTGACTTCTGCCGCTCCAGCGCGCTCCAGGAAGAGAATCTATGAAAGAGACTCTGACGACGAGGCCGCTCCATCATTTGAAACAGCCCAGAGTGGCGGGTCGGACGAGAATGTGACCTATTCGCTGTCGTCAAGATCTCTCGAGCGGCTGAAGGAACCCCGTCTTGCTACTCGCAGCTCATCGCGGCTCATTTTGCCTCCAGGTATGACACTCAGTCGTGCCAACACAAGTGGCGTGAGCAGCTGGCTGACAAACGACATGGCGGCGATGCAGCTTGTGTCAACCGATGAAAATGTGTCGTCCACGCCGAAAACCGATCGCCGGAAGCGACTCGCGCTATCTGACCTCTCCAATTCGAACTAAATGTGTTACATGTATGGCTTTATATGCAATTTGATGTATGTTATTGTTGTCGGGTTGATTAAACGACGATAATTCTTTGTCCCGATTCGAACCCGCGCACACTCCCGGCCATAAGTACGCACAACATGACCCTATCGTCCACCAATACGGATAATATCGATTTTCTTTGCATCTTCGCTGCATGTCCACTGTCGGGGGCGGGCGGGAAGGTGCCGGGAGTGCTGCGGAGGTTGTCCCTCCTACAATGGGACAAGATTTTTCGCGCCCAGCCAAAGGTCAATGCAAAGTCAAAATTTCATATTGCTCCGACCGCCGCCATTTTTTGCACATCGTCTATATTAATAATATTGAACAAGAATATGAAGAGAGCTAGATGCAGGGTGGTCTCCATTTTTTGTCCCATTGTAGGAGGGTTCTCTCTAGAGAGAGGGAGAAGCAGCAGAGACAAGGGGTGAAGGAGGACGATGAATGGACTTGTAAGACAAAGAGAGAGAGAGAGAGAGAGGGAGAGAGACTCAAGGAGTCACGGTGAGTGTGTGAGAGAGTGTGTGTTCAAACGCGAGGTGGGAAACGGGAAATGTGGGAAGTGGCTGGAAACCAGCGAACCAAGCCATTTCTGCGACGGTTTTAGCTCGGCTGTGATGAACAGCAAGCACAAAACGGGCTTTCAATGGATGGACTGGGGTCGGCCACTGTTTTTTAGTGCACGCGTGCGCTCAGAGCAGAGGCTGTGGAGCAGCAATGTGAAGTGTGTGGGGAGCGGGGGGCTGGGATTTCGCATGAGAGGGTCCTCGGTGAGAAGCAGCCGCCACAATTTGCAGCCGTTGAGATTCAACTCCAGCGCCGAGTAGAAAAACGGAGCGAGACGAGCGAGGTGCAAACTAGGAGGTATGCTACGGGGATTGAGCGCGGTCGGGAGCGAATAGAAGGGGAAGAGCGTTGCTGCGGCAGATCAAACCTGAGAAATGCGACTTTTGGTTTTTTTTTTTTTTTTTTTTTTTTTTTGAACGGATGGGAAAAATAAAGTAGAACTGCAGCGTTGGTGCGTTTTGCCAAATGAGAAGCTTTTGGCTTTTCGTGATTGGAGAAAAGGCTGAATGAGAAAAAGAGAGAACAAAAGTGAGCTCAAGCGTGGATGGGGGAAAGGGCAGAGAGAACGTAACGTGGTTGGGAAGGAGGTGGGCGAGCATAAACAAACGGACTCAGCCGGTCAAGGGAAGGGGAAAACAAGTCGCGCCGCGATTGAACCCTTGAGCTAGAGGATGGATAAACAAAACAGAGCAAGATGTAACATTGTTAAAGGGGACACTCGGCAAAATACAAGCCACTCCGGCATGGACTGGACTGGACAGATGCAATGGAACGAACGAACGAACGAACGAACGAAAAAACGGCCAAACTCAAGACACGATGAGTCAAAACTGCAGCGCAACTCAATCACAAGACATGTATTCCCACAAACAGAATTAACCAAGAACACATCAAATGCTTGACCACAGACAGACAGGCAGACAGACAGCCGTCACAATGCAGCGCGATTGGCAAATTACGGACTGGATCTCGTCATGTTCTCCCATCCCGCAGGATCCATTTCTCGCAAATGGCTCGCTTGCATGAAAAACACAGAGTGCGACGTGCTGATACTGGTGTCCGAGGTCGCAAAGACGTACTTGACGCACTCCGGCAGCTGGCCTTGAGCAATGCCCGGTGTCTGATACGCGCTATCACAGTGGATGCCATACAGTTCGCGGTAGGTGTCAATCACGGACGTGCCGTTGCTCAGAGGCGAGGTAGCAAGCTCAGGGATCTTCGATGCATGGTTGCTGTATGATTGTTGACTGACTTGGAAAAACACCAAAGCTGGCGTAGTGTTGAGCCGGGTTGTCAGCAACACTGCGTCTGCGACGGGATGATTGCTCCAGCCAGGAATGAACAAGGTGTTCGCAGGGAACGGTTTGCCATTGTTGTGCGTCTGCAGATACGTCTTGACATTCCCGGCTCCGACAGACCGATCGAGAACATGGACGTCGCTGACTGTCGTGGTTAGGCTCAGCCTGGCTCCGGATCGAGAAACGCCTGATAACATCGTCGAATCGCGGAGGTGCAGCAAGAAAAATGCCTCTATCGCGTGCCACCGGATGGTTGCCACCGCATAGATCAAGTGGAGAAAGCCTCCGCGCTCAGCACGAAAGACCGTGATTCCAGCTCTGCGAACGAGGTCGCTGACAGGAATCAATTGCGTGAGGTCACCTGAATCCCGCTTGACCATTCCGGTCTGCAGCCAAACGTCGGCGAAACGCACAGAAAGCCGACCGTGCACGAAAATCGTGGTAAGGTCTTGAACAAGATCTTTGAAGCTCTCAAGGGGTCGGTAGAGTTCGATGAGGCGTTTGAGTCGCCTGTCGTAGTAATCCATGCACAACGTGGCAAAGTTGGTGTCGGAATCCTTCTCGTAGCGCGAATCTGCGTAAAACTGCAAAATGCGCGCGACGCCACCAACTTTGAGGAAGAGCCTCTGCATCTGTTCGGCAGTGACTTCCAAACGCGGCTGGTTCGTCGGTGGGTTGCGATAGTACCAAATGGCGCGCAGCGTCTCAGCCTCTGTGGAAGTTAGCGGCGCAATGGGAACCGAAGATTTAGAAATTTGCGCGCCCTTCAAAGCATTGTCTGCGCTCATGTTGAACGAGGAGCTGACTGCAGCAACGAAAAGCGAGAAACCGAACGCAGCGTCGAGCTTGTAGAAGGCTTGAGCAGGATGGTCTGCCTTAAGCTTGTCCTCGTGGCCAACTGGAAGGGCTTTGTGATGAATGATCGAATTCCACTGGTCGATGAGGACGAGGACACGGAAACGGTGACTTTGGGACTCGAGGCCAACCAACGCAGCATTGATGCGGCCCCATTGGTTGAGTGCGGACTCAAAATGCCCAGACGAATTCTTTTGTCGCACAAACGCATCCTTGAGTTTCCGAAACGCGGGCTCATCGAGGAAGCCCGAGCTCAACAGACGGCGGTTGGCAATTCGCAAATCGCCGATCAGTTGAGAAGCCGCGACCTCAGGTGGTTGTTGAATGAAGGCATCCGTCTTAGGCAGGTAGATGAGGAAAATGGCGCCATCGAAAGGGGTAGCAGCAGGAGCATTAACAGGAGCAGGAGCAGGAGCAGGAGCAGGAGCAGCGAGGCGCTCGAAGAAGGCCCTGTTGTGGCGCATCGCCAGCACGACCATCATCAGCAGAATACTGCTTTTGCCGACACCACCAACACCGGTGAGGTAGTGAGGCCTGGGTGCTTCGTCTGATGTTAACAGACGTTGGAACAAGTCACTTGAATTGTTGCGATCGAGCAATTCGACGCTCTTGCCATGCGAATCCAATAGCGCCTTGATCTCGTCCGGAACAGTGATGCCTTCCAAGTCCGCACTGGAAACAGTGAATGTGGTGCCTGGAGCTGGCTGAAGCGGTGGCACGAATGGCGGCTGGGCTGCTGCTGCAGACGATGAGGACGGCACTGCTGGAGCGGAAGATGAGGATGCTGGTGCTGCCGCTGTTGCAAGCGGCGGTGCTGCTGTTGAGAGCAATGCTGCTGCTGATGGTGCTGCTGCTGCTGATGAAGATGAGAGTGCTGCTGCTGAAGACGAGGAGACGACGGCAGCGTATGAGGCGGAGTTCTGTTTCTGTTGCTGCTGCTGCTGCTGCTCCGCATCATAAGCCATGAGACGTTCCACCCAGTCCTTCTTGGTCCCGGTCGTCTCGAGTCCGCGGTTGGTCATCATCGGGCGCAGCTTCTCACGCTAGTTTTGCAAGACGCAACGGAGGTCAGGATCATGAAAGCACACACCAGCCAGACCACAGCGCGCTGCAACTCAGTCCTTACAGTGAGCTGCATCCACTGCTCTTCAGTTCGAGGTGCGGCTGCGGTGGACATTGCTGCGTTGGAGGAAGGGAGGAAAAGGAAGGAAACGGAAAACAACGGCGCGAAACACTGCCTGAGAACTTGTCTTGGACAAATTCGGAAAGGCTGCCAGCTAGAAGGGCTTCTCTGAGAGATGCTTCGTGGTGTCGTTTACAAAGGCGTGAAGTTGGTATTGCGAAATTTCTCGAACTTGCTGATCGATTGATGAGGGAAGTGGTGAAACAACCGGACTGTTACGACCTTACCCGGAACTTGGCCTAGATCACTACTGAAGCGTACGAAATGTATGCGGAAGTATCGTTTACTAAGACTATAGTGAAGAATGAGGGGAAGCCTAACTAGGGCTGAGCCTAGTTCGTAACACACAGATTGCAATTGGCTGGGAGCTTTGCGACCGGGTCTTCACTTTGGCAGGAATTCTGACCCCGGCATCGGGTACAGGAATCTCCAGACAGACTGGAAATGATTTCGAATTGACTTTACTGCTTGTTACTGCTTGCCATCCCTATTTATTTGGACTTGGATCAGTCGTAACAGTCATGGTGAGATTGCATTGCAGCAAAGTTGGTTGTCTCTCTCGTTCCTCCCCCCCCCATCCACCCCTCTTCCTGCTGCGCGCTCACTTTGTCTGTCCTGCTTGTTGCTGTGATTGTCGTTTTGATGCAGGCGGAGCGATTCAACTTGCACAGCCAGCTTGAGCATTGTAAGCGGCAAAGCCGACGACGTCCACTCATCGCGCGCGTCGACTTGAAGACGCTCTCCTGCGCATGCAGAAGCGGCTGGTCATATTGGAACTTCTATGCGCAAGCCTATGGTTGACCTCTCGTCGAAGCGGTGCTGGCCGAAGAGACTGCTGGCAGCGACGAGCATCGGGCTTTGGCAGTCTCCGCCGCGCTTGCTGAAAGAGGGCTGCAGGGGGCCTGTGTGACCTGCTCAGCAACGATCGATCGTGTCACTGATAGACACATGGCATCGTGCTTCTGCCATTCTCACCGGCGCCAGGATGGGATGGAGATTGCGTGTGGCGCTCGGCTCTTCGCGCTTTGATCGTTCACAGCATGTTGCGAGAACCAGCATCTCGCTCGCTCTGCGCTGCATACATTGCAGTGCTGATAACATCGGTTGCACTCTGGAAATGGGGATGATCCGCGAGCCAAAACCCTGGTGGCAGACAGTGCATTTGTGGGTGCTTTTGACTCACTTGTTGCCTTGTCTCTCATTCACCCTCAGTGCAATCAAAACACGTCGGAACAGGACACGGAGATATCAGCAAATTGTATGTATTGGGTGCATTTTGGACGCGATTTGTGGCACCACCTCCACGAAACTCACTGTTGTTCCACGTTTTGCATTCTCGCAGCGAATGGCTGAGCAATCAGCACCGTGACTCTGCGGCGTCGTACGTTGGCCACCCCAACATGCTGGCTTATTTTGCGGTTGTCGAGAACGAGCCAGTCGAGCGAGTTCGCGTCAACTTGTTGAAGGTACAAGTTTCGTGTTGTTTTTGCACTTGGATTGGTTTGTGCTTTGGCTCGAGTTCGACATGCAGCTGCTGACTCACTCCCTTATCTACGCTATGCTACATGCTGCAGAAAATGCTACAACCTTGCGGCCCACCACCCCCGAAAGCCGACTGAGTTTTTGACGTGCACCACTACATTTCCCCCCCCCCTTCTTCGTTTGCAATTTACCATATCAACATGAGCAAAATTCACAAAATAGTGTAGTTTATAGTTGCTAGAGAAAAGCTACAACACAATTGGATAAGAGAACGGGTTGGTGGGGGGACAAAAACCACCGAAAACTCAACAAACGGAAAGAACCTTCCGCTTTTCGTTGACTGCCCGATGGTTTCAAAAAAAGGGGGGACGTGGGAATGAGGGGGGCCAAAACAGCAAACACACACAAGACACAATAAAAAAACCGCAAGAACAAATGGAAAGGGGGAAAAAAAAACCAACACAAAACAGTTCACACACATTGTCAGCGCGACAAAAAGGGAAGAGAAGCCAGTCTCGCAGAGCGCATTGACGAATCAAGTGTTTCTTGGAAGAGTTTGGAGCGAAACGCCGACACAACACAATCGGCATTTGTTTTTTTGTTTTTGTTTCAGTCGAGTTGGTCGAAGGAAGCCAGTCCGGAAACAAGGAGAGGAAGTGACGAGAAAAGTAAACAATGCTGAGAAAGATAGGTGGGGTAAAAAAAAGCGTTTGCCGGGCATGGTTTGATCCGCAGGACTTGGAGGCTCAAACATCAAAAAGGACGAATAGGACGAAACATGCTCCGAGAGGGCCGAATAGCGGTGCGGGAACTTGAAAAAGATGGTCGACACAAGAAGGAAAACATTACACAAGAGGAACGGGAGAAGAGGCGAAGGAAAGAGGAAAGAAAAAAGAAAAAGAAAAAACAAGCCACTTTAGAGGATGAGGCAGCTCTTCTTCTTCTTTGGGGGCTTGGTGGGGCAGAGGACGGCGCGAATAGCCTCGTCGAAAACGGTCTTGAGACCCTTCTGGGTGAGGGCAGAGCACTCGAGGTACTTGACAGCGCCAATGTCCTTGGCCATCTGCAGACCTTGAGGGTAGGTGATGGGCGACAGCTTCTTCTCCTTGAGCTTCTCGATAGTCTCGCGGTCTTCGCGCAAATCGAGCTTGGTGCCGACGAGAATGACGGGTGTGTTGGGGCAGTGGTGCGAGACCTCTGGGTACCACTTGGCGCGGACGTTCTCGAACGATGCGGGCGAAATGAGCGAGAAGCAAATGAGGAAGACGTCGGTTTGGGGGTACGACAAGGGGCGGAGACGATCGTAATCTTCTTGACCAGCAGTATCCCACAGGCCGAGGTTGATTGGCTTGCCGTCAACCATCACATTTGCAGAGTAGTTGTCGAAAACGGTGGGAATGTACTCGCCGGGGAAGGCGTTGGTAGTATAACTGATGAGCAAGCACGTCTTACCGACGGCACTGTTGAAGGAGAGACAGAGAGCAAAGGAGGAAAAGGGTGAGTGATCGGCAGACAAGAAGCAAAAAAGAGCAAAACCACAACAAGGAAAAAGAAGAAGAAAAAAAAACGAGAAGAAGAACAAGAAAAAGAAAAGAAAAAATAAACAGATCGTGCTTTTTTTTTGCTTTTTTGTTCTGATCCAGGATGGCTGGTCGATGCAAGCGATAAATGTCATCGCCATGAAACACAGTCATACGAGTGGGGGGGGACCTGATGTGGGTTAGGCACAGACTCTCCTCCGGCTGCATTCAGAGAGTTAAAAGTAGATAAAAAGGCAACAAGAAAAAAGGAAAAGGGGAAAAAAAAAAAAAAGAAAAAAAAAGCATGGACAATGCACCGCAAAGAAATAAAAAAAAACATGATGGCAAAAATGCACATCGGTCAAATTCACAGTGTGGCCGCCTCATCGCCTGCAGATGGTGGTAACTGATGTTGGTTGAACTGTCGTGCAGATGCAGGCCCGAGCATCGAGACCAAAGGCAAGCAGCGACAGCGACAGCTGTGCTTTTTTTTGCCTTTTTTTTTCTGTCCATTTTACTTGATTCATTGGACAGTGCCTCGATCCCTTCACACTCACTCCAGCCGCTGTGTTGGGACAGGTTCGCTCCGCAGCGACATCTCAGATCGTCGCTACCCGAAGGACGGGGCAGCACCAACAATGCACAAGTTTTGGCGTGTTTATCAAACAAAAAAAAAACTAAAATAACTCAAAAAAATGAAATAAAAAAAAAAGCCGGTGGTTTTTTTTGCTTTTTCTCCTGTCGCCTGCGCTGCTTCGTCCATCAGCAGCATGAAAATCTCAACATCGTCATGACCACCAACGCAGACAAACACAAAGGCGGGCACCCAGACATCTGGCACACCGACCCTCCCAAACGAAGTCTAGCCTTTAAATAAAAATAAAAAAAAAAGGAGAGTTATTTTGGGTCGCTTTTTTTTTTTTTTTTTGCTCGCGCGTTTGTTCGGGCTGACTCCTCTCCCTGCCCCGAAGGCGCCTGTCCGCTTGTCGCTTGTTCCCGGTTGCCTGATTCAGCTCCTGCAAGCCGAGCGCGAGAAGCGTCCATTCCAGAGGACGGGACAGCAAGCTCAACAAACTCACAAAGAAAAAAGAAAGAAAAAAAAGTCTTGTTTGTTGTTGTGGACGTTTGGACTTCTTTTGCTTTTGCTTTTTCAAAAAAAAAAAAAAAAAAGTCTTGCTGCACTTTGTGTGGTTGTGCGGCTGACATTGGCGTGAGGGCAGGCGAGAGCGGAGGACTTGGCGCCCACGCTATCAGCAGAGTCACTCGAGCGAGCGCCAAGATCCCCACCGAGACCAGAGCGATCAAAGATGAAAATGAACAGGAAAATGCAATCGGGTTTTTCTTTTTTTTTTTTTTTCTTTTTTGCTTTTTTTTTTTTTTTTTTTTTGTTCGCTGATGTTCGTTCCAGCCGCCAACGCAGCAGGTTGAGAACAGCCGCACAGACAGCGCCGTTGGTCTGAATCAGGCTTCCGGGAGGAAGAGCGAAGCAGCGGCAAGTGGATGGGCCAGGAAGAGCGACAAAGAAAAAAAAGCAACAACCAACGAAAAACAGAAAGAATACATGCGGGAAACGCAAACAAAAGCCATACCCATCTCCTACGACGACACATTTGATGGCCTGCATTTTGCGAGTGGCTTTTTTTAATACAAAAAGAAAATAATAAAAAAAAAAACGGGGACTGGCGTGAAAAACTGCCTTCCATTTCCGGCTTTTGAATGGATTTTCCAGCGGCTATTTTCGTCTTCCAATGCTGACCGAGTCAAAAAAAAAATAATAAAAAAAAATAATAAAAAATAAAAAATAAAAAATACAAAAAAAGCGTTCAAGAATGAATTTCTCATAAGAGCTTTTCGCCGTCTTCACAAAACGGCCTGAGCTGCAAGATGGAACGAGTACGGGAGAGAAGCCAACGAATGGTATAAATCCGAAACGTGAATGGAAGAGGAAAGCGAAGAGGAACTGGCAAAAACAAAAAAACAACCAAACCCACACTCCATTTTCGGTTCAGAATGGCACGGACTTTCACGCCTCGATCCCGACAGTAGGGTTGGACTTTTCGACCGCGCAACAGCTCTGAATCATTGCTCGGGAAGTATGTGAATTATTGAGCCTGGCGTGGCGGGCGTAGGAGGTCGTGGACAGGCGCAATTGCATAGATCAGCGAAAGTGTGCCGAAAACTGACAACCAACGCCCGCAAACGCCATGTGTGTTTACGTGGTGCGGCGGTGTGTCGGATCTTGAGGGGGGGGGGAAGGGGGAAATGACAATGATGCCTCGAAAAACCTAGCATACTGAATATGAACTTGGGGCGCAGCATCTCATTCGAGGCCTGTTGCGCTGGCCCGTGCGTAAACTCGCGTTGATCCAAGCCATCTCTCGCATGAACGCCAAATGCGGCACGCTCATCAATTTTTGAAGTGCATTTGAACGAGCAAAATTTAGAACAGCACCAACATCAGCAATCAAGATCACCAAAAGAGGGCAATCAAAACCACAAAACGATCTCGACGCTGTCTGACTCATTGGAAATGAAATGAAACGCGTTGATTTTGAACGAGCAGCAAAAACGCATCAATCAGGCAAACCCAGCCACTCGTCACTGAACAACCTGCTTGTCTGTTTCCAAAGTGGAATAGTGGCATTCTTGGTTTTTTCATACTTTGCAGAATGTCAATGCTGAACATCAACTCGGTCGTCCACAACTTGTGCCAGCGTGGTCAAATTCAGGTTGGTGGCTTGAGATTGAAATCCTGCGCCACTCCCCTTCGATCTCGGCTCACCTGCTTTGTTTTGCCTCTCTTGTTCTCTGTATTGCTTGATCACGATCCAGGTCATCTTTGGCCCCATGTTCTCGGGCAAAACGTAAGTCGATTCACAAAAAAAAAAAAAAAAAAAAAAGTTTTCCCGCGCTTTTTGGCGGGCTTTCCCTCCATGCCCTTCCCGCTTCTTCCTCGAGATACTGTAGCCCGCCGATCAGCCCTATGAAGTGAAACATGGTCAATACATGCTTTGGCGTCATTGGACTGCCGCTGCACATGCAGTGGACTGCACAAAACCAAAGCAGCGGCGTTGCGCAGTTTTGGGAGCGCTTGAATTTTTCGCGCCTTTTTTTTCCGCTTCCCTTCAGCTGAGGTTTTTGTTTCACTTCCCTTCAAAGTGTTGTTCTGCGGCTGTCGTCTCGCGGTGATGCGACTGACACTGCTCAACACTCAAAAGCACAACAGCAAGAACTGTTGAACAGCATGGTCACTTTTCAATGTCTTCGCGGTTTTTTTTTTTGTTCGTTCAACCACAACTCAATGTCGCGACTCGCCTTCCGAACGCAGAACCGAGCTGATTCGCCGTCTGCGGCGTTTCCAAGTCGCTCAGCAGAGCTGTATGGTTGTCAAGTATGCCAAGGACAATCGCTACTCGGAAGCTGGCATTTCCACACACGACCGGTATGTTTGCAGAACCATCACTGTGGTTTGCTCTGGTTTTTTTTTTTTTTTTTTTTTTTGTGCAAGGTTTCTTAACTGTGAACAACTGTGGGGGGCAAAACCAGATCCATCCTGAAGGCCACTGCTGCCACCGTTTTGCAAGATATTGCAACCGAGGCACGTCATTTTAACGTTATTGGCATCGACGAGGGTCAATTTGTGAGTTCGAACAAAAGCTGTCCGAGTCGTGTCGAAACCCCGCCTGTGATGATGATGGAGCTCACCGTGTCTCTTTGCCATCGCTGTTGCGGACTGCAGTTCCCAGATGTCGTTGAGTTTTCCGAGCAAATGGCAAAGGCTGGCAAGACGGTCATTGTGGCTGCTTTGGACGGCACTTTCCAGCGAAAGGTGTGCATCTAAAACCTGCTGCAGTCAGAACCCAGCTGGCATCCAAACACTGACCTGTTGAACCACTTTGCTTTCTTTTCTTTTCGTTCTGGTTTGTCCAGCCATTCGGTCGCGTCTTGGAGCTCGTGCCGCTCGCCGAAAGCGTCGTCAAGCTGACTGCTGTGTGCATGAACTGCGCCAACGATGCCCCTTTCACCAAGCGACTTGGTGCCGAGACAGCCATCGAAGTTATTGGCGGTCAAGAATCCTACATGGCTGCGTGCCGAGAGTGCTTCGACAAGGTTCCCGAAACCAAGTCAAAAATCCCCACCACTCCTCCGCCTTCGCCACCGCGCACTTCAAATCTCCCACCAGTCTAAACGGGAGCATGAGTTTTGCTCGTTGGTTTCTAGGTTTCTGTGTTTGGGTTGCTTGCATGCGAGAATGCTGTCTGTATTTTGAATTTTGTGTCTGTAAAGCGTTTCAGATTTTCTCCATGCAGTATGAAACAGACAGTCGCGGAGCAGCAGCTTCAACGCGTGACAGATACAACTTTTAATAATCGTCTCCAGAATCGTCGGACTTGCCGCCTGCTCCGCCACCGTTCATAGGGCAAGTCTTCTTGGTATGGCCTAGGCATCTCAAGGCAAACCACAGTCAAAATCGGCGTGAGCGGTGCAGTGCATTGTCGAAACAAACAAAACAAGTACAAAATGAGGATGGCGCACCGGGCTTGCGGCAGATTGAGCAAGCTCGCGGCTTGCTTGTTTTGGTCCCACTCGATGTGCTCGAAGACGAAGGACCATTTCCGCCAGAAAAGCGACTCGGGGCGGATGCTCCGTTCGGGCAGGCGCTGGCAAAATGCCCCGGCTACAAGTCGCAACCAAACAAGGTAAGCAATAGCTCCATGGTACGGTACGACAGCACACCAAACAGCACATACCTGATTGCATTTGTAGCAGTTGTTTCCACCACTGCCACCTCCGCCAGCACCGCCAGCATTGCGAGAACGGTTGTTGCTGCTATTGTAAGCCGAGCTGGACGCTGTTGCACCCTCCTCTGCCCATTCAAAGTAATCGCACTTCTTGCTGTCGCACGTCCAGAACTGGCGTCCTCGGTTGTCCGAGTCTGCCTTCGTGACAGTCTTCAACACTGCGTCACGATTGCAGCCGCACTTTTTGAACCTGGAATTCGTGTTGGGACGGCTGCCAAGCGTGTCGAACGACGGGAGTCGCGCGTCGCTGTCGGCCCACACGAAAAAGCCGCAGGTCCTGGTCGCGCATCGCATGAACTGGCGGCCAGGGTTGGCCGCCGATTGCGAGGTGAACTGGACGGCCGGCTGGCTACAAGCACACAAAAAGACATCGCCAGCCGAGCCAGCGCTGCCAGACCCGCGAGCAGCTGATGATGGCGCAGGCGGTGGGGCACTCACCGCAAAAGGAGACGATGTACCGGTATTGCGGTTGGTGGAATGGGACGGAGGTGTGTACGACGAAGAAGACGACGAGGCTGTCGGGTTTGTGGGCGCCTGCCATCGAAAACCTGTTGTTGATGCTGTTGATGCTGTTGATGTTGCTGTTGATGTTGCTGTTGATGCTGCTGCTGTTGGTTGATTGGATGACTGAGGATATGTGGAAGTCCGAGGAGCTGCCGGTCTGCGAATGGGTGACGGAGGGGATGGCGGCGGAGGAAAGCTGTTGTCGTCGTCATCGCCGCCATTGTTGTGTCCGCCACCACCGCCACCACTTGCTGAACCACCGTCACCATTGGGATACAGGTTCTTTCGAACCGCATCAACAAGCATCCGCCGCTGCCGACATGCATCCATGAAGGCCGGCAGATACAGGTCCAAGGTGCTTCGGATGACTTGGGCCTTGGTTTGCTGGCCGCTGCAAATCTTGAGCATCTCGGCCTCCATACGCGCGCGCATGTGCGGCTTGGACATTTCCAGACCCATGCTGTCGTAGCCCTCGATGAGACCGAGCCCAAGGTTGGTCGGCAAGAACATTTGGCCGCGCATTTCGGCATACTTGCGCTCGAGCACCTTCTTGATGTGCTCGTGCATGGTGGCGTCGGTACCAATGCCGTGCTGGTGCATGAGCGTCAGTAAGGCGGACTCTGTGAGCAGCGGTGGTGGCGTTGTGGAACCAGCGTCCATTCGCACTTCGGCGGGTTGGAAGCGGTCGCCTTCTCGGAACGGAGGCAAGGTGTGGTTGGACCAGACGTCATACGGATAGACGAGCAAGTAGTTGCGCTCGAGAATGGCCAGACCATTCGCGCGAAAGCGCTCGCCTGCAACGTCAATCTCCACGTTGGTCAGATGGCCTTGAGCGTCAGAAGACAGCGTCGCAAGAAACGAGCGCGTGACGAGCTCGTAGAGCTTCTTTTCGTCCGCATTCTGAAAGCTGGCCGGCGCCGGCTTGGTGGGGTGGATGGGCGGATGCGCTTCATCGTTATTTTTGCCCTTGCGCGGGTTGGGTCCACGGGCCAGAATGTACTGGTGGACAAACGAGCCCCATTCGGGATGGTTGGCTTGCATGTTGGCCAGTGCTGTCAAATCCATCGTTTCTGGAAAGACGTCAGTGTCTGTGCGAGGATAACTGAGAAAGCCTTGGGTGTAAAGCGACTCGGCCGTTTTCAGCGTGTGATCCGACGTAAAGCGCAGTTGCACAGAGGCGAGCTTTTGCAGCTCGACCGTCGACAAGGGCAGAGGGCGCCATTTGGAAGTCGGACGCGACTCGACAGAAACAACTGTGGCCTCTGGGCGCTCTAGTATCATTTCATAGAGCACGAGACAGGCGGGATGGTCAAAAAGCTGGCCTCGCACCCAGGTAAAGGGTACCGTGTCGCTGGCTGCTTTGCCCTTTTTGCCTGGCTTTTGGGGCACGGCGACAGCTGCTGCCGAAGATTCGCTGCTCGGCGACGGGCACGCGACCACAATCGTCCAGAACTCTTCGGGAACAAACGCCTTGACTCGTCGGTATCGATCCACGATGAATCCAAGTGTGGGAAATTGGCAGGGTCCTACGATGAGAGAGGGGTCAAACACGTGAAAAATTCAGTGGATGAAACATGGAGAATGAGCGCGTGTTGGTGGCAAACCCCAAGCCCTTCTTGCTCGAACTGTACCATAACTAATGACGGATTTGAGCTCGTTCAATTCGGGAATGGCCGGCTGAAGCAACTGGGTCTGCATGCGCGTGAACGCCGAGCCAATTCGCAAATCCAGCTCAATTCTTGCGTCCACGGCATCCACTTGCCGCCCGTCAACTTGGGTGAGATTGTTGCATGCGTGGGTGATGTCGCTAACATGGCACGTGACACATAATAATAACGTCAGTCTCGCTTCAAAACAGCCTGTAAATCAGCGAACTTTAAAAAACCCATGAAAAAAATCCTCTCGACACCTACCGAGGTGTGACGGCGCTAAAGCGAGCGCGGAGAACCACGAGATTGCGATTGACCTTCTTACAAACAGCGACAACCTCGCTGGCAATATTTTCGCCTTCGCGGTCGCAGTCCGTCCACAAAACCAGCCATTGCGCGCGCTGGGCCTCGCGCTGCAGCATCTTTTCGATATCGCGGAGCTTTTCTGGAATAAACCGTTCGATAGGCGCCTCAAACAACGCCTCTGGCGCGCAAGTGTTCCACTTGCTGTAGTCTGCTGTGAAGTCCGACGCCAGCAAGTGACCAACAACCGACGTAAAGACCATCGTGCACGGCTGGTTTCGAAAATTGGTGTCGAACGTGAAGACTGGCACGCCATCTCGGTGCTGTTGTGTTGGTTGGGCGAGTTGCAAGCATGATTCATGCAGGATGAAGAGATGAGCACGAGATGCGAGACTGATACGCACAAACAAACGGCAACTACAACGGAGCGAAAAACACTGACCGAAGGAGGCCTTCCGCCAAACATGATTTCGGAAATGCTTTTCGCCACCGAAGGCTTTTCGGCGACATTCAAGACGCGAACCATATTGGATGATGATGATGATGATGATGAAGGAGGAGCTTCTTGTGAATCTGAATCAAGAAAAGTCTTGTCGTAAATATGGACGCTTCGGCGCGAGCGGGACCTGCCGGAGGACGAGGACGCGTATTTTTTGCGTCGTGCTGCAAATGCCGCAGGCGAGGACGGTGACAGCGAGCTCAGATGTCGAGCAGGGAGAAAGCCCGCGAACAAGCTGCAGGAAACGCGAGCAACTCCCGCCACAAGGCTGCTGGAATGGCGCACAGCAGACGATGCGGGAGGCAGTCTGTGGCGAGCAACAGAGGCCAGAGTGGATGCTGCGGCGCGCTGGCAGGTCCCTGTCGGCAACGGCTGTGCTTGCAAGCAGGAAAGCGAAACACGACTTGCACTTCCCGCCAAAATCGCCACAGCGGCGCTTGTGCAACGAGACGGCGCAGCGGCCGCGCTGGACGTGCCAGGCGATGCGGCAATGCACGTGGATGACGCTGCGAGTGAGACGAGGCGCGATGGTGGGAGTCGAGTCTGGCGGACGGTCAAGCAAGCAGCAGCAGCAACAGGAGCAGCAGCAGCAGCAGCAGTCGCGGCCAAGCAGAAGCGCATGCAAGAACACAAAGCGTTGTTGAGCTCAACGAACAGTTGTTTCAACTGCCAGACAACAAACAAAAATAAGACGAGTGAGAACATTGAGGAGATGAGAAAATAGTCAATGAGCAAGGTGATAAAAAGTGAACAAGTAGAATTGCATTGGGATTGAGTTTTTGTATTGAATTGCATTGAGTTTGAATTTTGTATGGAGCTTGCATTGGGTTTTTTTTATTTTCTCTCTTTCTTCCAATGCTCACAATGTCAAGCTTTTTTTCAATGGGTTATCATTGCAAATGAAACAGCCATGCTTTTACTTTTTTCCAGTCTTATTCTTTCCTTATTTCCTTGTTCTGAGATTTCTGAGATGGGCGACAAGACGGAAGACGCGACGCTGCAATCGGTCGAAGCGCGGCTGACTGGGATTGAGCGACTGCTCCAACAACAACAGCAGCAGCAGCAGCAACAGTCAATAGCTACTTCAGGAGCTGCATCAGGAGCAGCTGGAGTGCCGTTCTCACAGTCTGTCGCCAATGTCGCTGCAAAGCTCAAGGCTGCCGTCGAAGGCCGACCAGCACTCGCGTCACTGCTGCTGAAGAATGGTAAGGCAGAGGCTCACCGGGCATCTTCATCATTTGATCGGTGTTCATCACCATGACCATGACCATGGCGTTGGATTCAGAGTGAACACTATTGCCCTTGTACTCACCACCACTGTTTCATCAACCGCGGTGCTTTGCGGCCGGGGTGCAACGTCTCATGCACCTTACAGGAACACAGCTGAACACGCTGCTGGACGCGAGGGCGCCAGAGTCGGCCGCTGCGGAACAACTCGCGCTGTCGGCGCCGAGCAAGAGCGAGCTCATCCTGGCAAGCGAGCCGCTGATCGCATCCACCGTCACTGCGTTGCAAGAGCTGGAGACACTCACCAGCTATGTCAACACACCCCGTTTCGAGGAGGCTGTGCAGCAGATGCAAGGACCCAGCCAACCGCTCGCCAACGCCCAAGTCGCCCAACTCACGCACGCCCAGACCGCCAAGCTCATCGAGCAGCAGTTTACAGCAATGCTTGAAAAGTATACACAGCTCGTGACTGCACTTTCATCGCAGTTCGTGGCGTTTGATCGCATCATTACTCAGGCAGAGACCACCGTTGCCGCCCTCGAGCAGCGCGTCGCCAAGTAAACGGTTTGTGGTGTGCTCTGGTCTATTCCTTTGGTGTGGTGTCATGAATGTAAATTTAGTGAAGAATTGAATAGTTGTGCGAGTGCTTGGCATCAAAGCGTTGATCGATTGGAAGAAGGACGAAGCAGGAAAGAAAAAAAAAAACAAGACAAAGTTGAAACAGCACAGCAGAAGAGAGAGCAGTATAGGGGCTACTGCATCGGCACCGCCGAGTTGCCTCCGTTTTGGGCGGTGAGAACTGGCTTCATCGAGGGGCCGATCTGAAGATTGGGGTTGAAAATGTCGTGGGAAAACTCGCAGTTTTCGTTTTGTCGGCAAACGCCCTGCAGTCGTGCATTGGAGAGCTGGTAAGCAACTGCACATCAAAACAAAGAGTTCATCCTCCTAGCAACCAGAGCACATCGTTACATTGAGGTAAAAGGTCGGGCAAATCAGCGTCTTGGGATCGACCTCTGTGCGAGACTTTTTATCTTGGTGACGAGCAGCTTGTGCGTCCTGGTCCGCGTCAGGCTCGGCAACACTGAAAGAGGGCAAAAGCCCACCAGTATTCGGAGAAAGTTAGTTGAAAACGAATCAGGATTTCTTGAAAAGTTGCAAGAACATTGACGAATTTCGTGGCTCATACCGCTTGCGGGCGCGGCCTTTCGGGCCCCAGTCGGAAGTGGGGTTCTCCTGGAAGCGGACGAGCTTGAACTTGCGCGATGGCGGAACTGCGTCCTTGTGCAAAGTAAAATCGGCCTCGGCGCTGCAAAACCACAATCAGTCAGGCAATGTGCAACAACCGTCCAGTCGCGTGTGTTCAATGCGCAACTCACACAGGGTCTTTGGCGAGCAGTCGGAATGCGGGAGAGTTTTCCACGACACCAGCTCGGACACCGTGCGGCTTGGTTTGGATGGCCTGTCCCAAAAAAAAAAAAAAAAAAAAAAAAAAAAAAAAAAAAAAAGTCCTCGTCTGTGAGTCTCGCTGAAGGTCTTTTCAAATGACAGGCCAAATTCATCGTCAAAAACCAGTGACACGAAAGCCGTACCCAGCGCCGCAACACGTCCCAAATGAAGGAAGCAGGTGCGTCTGTCTTGAATCCGCTAGGCTCGGTGTGAGACCCAGAAATGCGATAACCGCCGTTCAGCACTGCAGAACTGAGAGCGCATGCAAGAGGAAACGAGATCAAGGTGGAGTTGTCCTGATTTAGTTCTCATGACAAGACGATGAATGAAAGCAAAGGCGATGTTTCAAATACGCTTACCGGAAGACCTTGGCCGGCGGGATGGTCAAACGCAGCACACTTGCAGCATCATCCAACGATCGGACCATTGCAACATCGTCGAGCTCCTGGGTTTGCGTTTTGCTGTGAGCAACTGGACCCGAAAAAAACAAACCAACCAAAACAGCGCTCAGCACTCCTTACCTCGGATACCACCGTCAGCATGCCCTCGAGGCGAGCTTGGGTGCCAAGGTGCTTGGCAGTGCGAGCAAAGCCGAGCAACCGCTTGAGGAAAGTCTGGTCGTGAATAGAGCCTGGCCAAATCGGTCCAGAAATCTGAATCCCAGATGTCAATCGCGAAAACAGTGAGTTCAAGCTTGCAAATCACTCGCAGGAATCGACGAGAAGGGTGGTCACTGGAGCTACATACGTGCTGCACAAAGCCGCAAAATTCGCACACGCGATCCACAACAGGTCCAGTGCTAAGCTGGTAGCGCATGCGGTCGCCATCCTTGGTCACTCGGCCAAGAGGCTGGATGGTGGCTGTGTGGCAGCCCGAGCAGTGGAAGACCAGCGCACGTTTTCTGTAAGTGGCAGCAAAGCACAAAAGCAAGCAGAAATGTGAGCAAACATCTCAAAAACACAAAAACACCGCCCCGTTTCATCTCCGGCCAGTCTCAAAACCACTCAAGAACAAAGACCTCAACACGAGAAACACCACTCACCCAATGGACTGCTTGACGGTCTCTTGAGACTCGTACACACGAACAAAGACACGGACGTAGAAATCAATGCTCATCGACAGCATGGGCACAATGTAGCGATGATAGCGGTTGGCGCAAGCATCAATGTGCTGCAGCAGAATACGAAGAGAGGTTTCGTGGCAGTGGTCTCCGCGGATGGAACGCGCGCCGTACTTGGCCAGGCAGGCCTCGGGCGAGTTGCCGCAGAGGACGGCCGTGTCGGTGGCAGTGACGCAGAGCAGGCCGCCATCCGTGACGGTTTGGACGGCTGTCTCGAGGAAGGGTGTGGGCGCACCGTAAGGGTCGAGATCCACGACGTGGAAGCCATGAGCGCGATTGGCGTACATGTACTCGGTGGCATCGCCCTGGTTGGCGACGACCTTGTTGGCGGCATTGTTGAAGGTGATGTTCTGCTGGATGAGCTGGACAGCCTCGGGGCTCATGTCGTTGGCCACCACCTGCGTCACACGAGGGATTTCCTTGGCGTAACGGATGGCGCGCAGCCCAGACGCGGACAGGGCCTCGAGCACACGGAAGGGGGCGGTGAACGAAGAGGCGCCTGCCGCCGTCGCAAGGTTTAGCGACGCAGCCGCGGCAGCAATCGCTTCCTGCGATGGGCCGTCCTTGCTCGGAGGGGCACCTTCGCCGGCAGCGGCGGCCTGTTGCTGGCGGGCGACACGAGCGGCGCGCTTGTTGGCAAGCTCAATGCGAGCGGCGCTGCGCTCCTCCTCGAGAATGTCAGAGAAGACTGTGATGGCTGCGGACGACAGATCGCGGTTGAACTCTTGGACGGGGTTGTAAAAGACCTCGTTCGTGTCTGGGAAGAGGATGGTCGTGGAGGACTCCTTGACCGAGACAAAGCCCGGCGGCATGGCTTGGCCAGCCTCGGTCGATCCTGAAGATGCTTGCATGGCGGCAGCAGCAGCAGCAGCGGTGGCGGCGGCGGCGGCGGCTTCAGCGATGGCGGGAGTGCTTGACATGGTGGTGGTGATGGTGGATGGGTTGGAAAACGCGAATGGCGCGACGGGGCTGCTGTGGTCGCGCAGTGGAGAGGGAGATGAGCGGGTGAGTGAACTGAGAGTGGACGCGGTGGGCGCGGTGGCGAGTGGGGCGGCGGTGCTGCTGTGAGTGGCTTGGCGATGATGCAAACCACGAGGAGACTGATTCACTGGAGCGAGCAGGGACAAGCAGCGACGGGCAGCCACAGTAATACAGCTAGTCGACCGAGTGGGAAGAGTCGAGTGAGAGTGAGCGAGAGTGAGTGACCAGGCGGACGGTGCGACTGGGGTTGTTGCTGGAGAAGCAGAGGCGCAATGCTGGAGAAGAAGGAAAGTTGCAATGGGCTGCTTCAACGAGCGCATTCAAAGAGTGAACATACGAAAGGGGGGGGGAGAGAGAGAAACATTTCATCCTAAAATCTCACATTCACACTCGATAATATAATACGCCAATCGGCGGGGTCGATTGCGAGAAGCAGGAGCTGGAAATTCGGTTGTAAAGTTTACCGGCAACTTTGTATTGGCCTTTTGGTCGGTCTAAAGTTCTCGATCTCGCAGTCTCATGAGCGAATATCAATAGTGTAGACATTATGTATATACTTTTGTGTGTGGCGGACGGCTGTAGCGGTCGAGGATGACGCGTGGGCGAAACTCATTGTGCCAGCAATCCTTGAAATCGCCCGTCGCTTTGTCTCTCACGCACTTGTTTCTCCAACCTAAGTTTGATACAGTTTGACACCGTGTATGTTGTCGTTCAACGTGGGTGCTGCCTCTGCTTGTCCATTTTAATTGCTGGTTCTTCTTTGAAATGTTCGATTCTCTGCATTTCTCTGCTGCACATCAAGTTGTGCTTTCCTTTTGACTAGATCTACTGTATGTCTGCCACGCTTTACTCACGTTGCTCACATCCATCCTTCCCCCTCTCCCATCTATTCTGTATTTTGCTTAGAATGACTCACGCCAGTCTCTTTTTATTGTTTTTTTGGCATTCAAACCCCCTCAATTCTTGCTTCGTCCTTATTTTTCGTGTGACTTTCCAAAAAACCTCGTTCGTTCCCATTTTACAGTCGACCGACAGGCCTTCCCCCAGTGCTTCCCCTTTCACTACCGATCGCACAAGTATTTCACCCCCGTCCATTGCCCCCTCCGTCAGGATGCAGGCGCGTGTGGTGGCTCGCATCGTGCTCCTTGGAGCTGCATTCGCATCACTGTCCAGCATGGCGATCGGTAACAAAACACTTTTTTGTGTTTGCTTTGTTTGACACTTCCCCCAACAACCCGCTCGCTCTCTTCGCCTTCTCCGGGCTCCTCTGCGTTCATCATCGCCTTTGCCTCTGTTCTCGTGACTGCTTTGTCGCTGAACTGAACCGGATTCCCCCGCCCCCCCCTGCCAGCTCGTTTCGCATCCAATACCATTTGTAAAAATTCTCGTCGAAGGCGAAGCGAGGCGTCTGAGTCATCTCACCATCTCTCCTTCTCTCTCCTTCTCTCTCCTTCTCTCTCCCTCCTTCCCCCCTTTCACACTTTTTGCATTTGGCATCTTTCACTTTGCTCGTTCTTCGTCTTCGTTCTGCATCGCAACCCGTTTTGACTCTTTTTCCTTACTCTTTGAGCTTGTTTTTTTTTTTTTTTTTTTTTTTTTCCCTCTGTTTTCGGGGATTTTAAGGATAAAGTCCTGACCGCACCCAATCTCAATCGCCGATTCACTGGATTGCATTGCGTTTGCATTGAAGCAGCGATCACGACTGTGGGTCGTTGGCTTGTTCATTGGCTGTGCCTTGTGCTCTGTGTGCTTTCGTTGCGTTTGGGGGAGGGTCGCGGGGAGGGTCGGGGAGTGGAAGTTGAGAAACGAATCGAACAACAATCGTCTGACACCCAGAGTGTTGGCTTCACACTGTGGGCAGAAGAGGGTTCGGGTTAGGTTTCAGTGTGGTACTCGCCAGCACACTCGCTCGCTGTTCAGCAGAGTCATCAACGGAGGCGTGTCATCGTGAGACACTGGCGCAGAGAAAACAGCAAGAACAGGCTGGGGGGCCTCTGCAGAGCCATGACGATGGATGCGCGTGCAAACTGCCCTCCAGTCTCACACCTTCCCATCGCTTGCTCACTCGAGATGCAAAACTATGTGCAAACGATGTGCAAAGTCCCCAGTGGGAAAACCATGTGGACAGGGCATGAAAGCGACGAGTTGTACTCACCCCCTTTGCTCTTTCACACCCTCAATGCAATGCAGCTGCCCCAATCCCAAGCGTCTCGGCAGTCCTGACGTCCTCGCAGAATACATTTCCGTCGTCCACGGTCTCAGCCGATATCACGGTCAAAAACATTGGCAATGCGACTGGGTACTTGCCGTACCTGGAGATCGTGACGACCCAAGGCCCAGGCGACGGCTCATACCCGGCATTGCCGGTGGCGTACGCCTACTACGAAACTGCCTCGGAATCAATTCCGCTGACCACTTACTATAACACGTTCGATAGCATCACGCAGTGCACAACCAGTCCCAAGAATAGGCTGAGCTCGGGCGACTACGCCTCCATCTGCACGCCCGACCCCGCATCGACTGTGTTTTCCAGCTACGAATTGCTAACAATCATGCTGCCATTCGTGTCCCTCGGCCCAAACTCGCAGGACGTGGTCGTGAAGGTGGGCTTCTCGGCGCTGGGATCACCCGAGCTGCACACTGGCGTCACATTGCCTGTCTACATTCGCGCCAGTTTTGCGAACGGAGCCACTGCAGATACCTCTGATGTGAGCACTGATCCGAGCATTCTTTCGTCCTCGAGCACGGCTGCAGCAACCTGGCCAACCACCCTCTCGGTCACCTTTGCCAGGTACACTCTCCGCCTGCAAACCTCACGAGTGGAGGCGCCATCCGGCCCGTCCTTTCCCATCGACGTGACGTTGGAAATCGATGCTCCGCTGGGCCTCACCATCTTTGGGGCGAACGTGTCCTTCCCAATGAGTACTCTAACACAATTCGTTTCGGCTGGCACCTCGTTCTTGCCAGCTGCCGCCACCCCAGTCATTGTGCGACAGCCTTCCAGCACAACTTCCGCTTTGACAAACGCCTTTCTCGAAGCTCAGTATACGTCGCAGTTGGTTACCTCATCATCGTCGGCAGATTATACCGCAAAGTATCGGTTTTTCGTCCCACGGTTGGATGCCTCGGGCAGTCCAGTCATCAGCGCGACCACAGGCTTGCCCCGCAGCTTCAAGATGAATGCGACAGTTTCGTTGACGTACAATGCCGTCACAATCGTGGGTGGAACTCCAGTCCTTTCCATGGAAACATCCACACAGACAATCTCTGTGACATTCACCACCAAATCGTTCTATTCGACCGTGTCCATTTCGCCAGGTACTATGTTGCCCATGGGTGCGTGCACTATTGCCCAATCCTTCCAGATTTCAGACTACTTTTCGTTCGGCAGCCTGTTCTCCACCCTGACCATCCCGGATGGCGTCCGTGCCAACACTTCCACCACTGCCGCCCTATCACTGGGTGGAAGTAGCACAAACACCCTTTCATTTGGCGTGCACTACACGATCGACACTAGCCGAGTTGGCAACGACGCCCTGCCAGCGACGGATGGTGCCACAGTCTTGAGCCTCAATCTGACGCGAGCGGTCAGTGCGCTTGGCCTTTCTGCTTCCAAGCTGGTTCCGGCGCCGACTTCCGCCCAGGGCATTCTAGTCGGACCTGTGACTGACGGTCTTTTCAGCCTTCCATGCCGAGTGCAAGACTTGTACACGGACCGGTTTACTCCGACACGTGCTGTGTCGATGGGCGATCCGCTCGTTGTGCAACTGTCGGCCTCTGTAGCTGTCAGAAATGCATCCGCTCCGTTGACGGCATCCACTGGTACGGTTGTAGAGTCGCGCGGTACTGGCGCATCGATCGCAAGGGCCCAAGTATTCACCAGCATTTACGCCGTGAATGGCTCGCGCATCTGCGTGGCCACCAATGGATGCGATGCCACCTCACTTCCTTTGGCTCCCGAACAGCTTGTGAGCGCTGGTGCCAATGTGACGCTGTTGATTTCCGTTTCCTTCCCGTCTGCCGACTTCTGGGCTTCCTCGGTCATCCTTTATCTAAGCAATCCGGTTTTTCTCGGGACTACTGTCAACCCCGTCCCGGCGTCATTTTCGCCAGTGATATCTGCAGCCACACCTCCAGTCAATATGTTCAAATTCGCCGCGGACGAAACGCTGTATCCCGTCACTGGAGCTGTTCCAAACATCACGGACGTGAACTTGAACACAATCAAAGTTAGCTTTGGCAGCTTTTCAGATGTCCAAAATCGCCCACTCAAGACAAGCATTCTGCTGACCTTGACTGTGCGTCCGGTGCCAGTTTTCGACATGCTGCAACTGACCCAACTTGTGCAATACGAAGACGGCGCTATCTCAGCTACTTCTCTGATAGACACCGCCGCCATTCAAGCAAAACAACCCGTGATTTCAACCATCTACTCTGCTGTGGTTGCTGCATCGTCGGGGGCGGGGGCGATTTACTCAAATCCCACCGCGCTGGCTTCCAGTGGAATTACGTTTGCCCAACCTGGCCAATCCAACACGGCGGCCTTGCCTTGCAATCGCTTCAGCTTTTCGGGAGGAAACACGTACGTCACTGACGCCATGGTGACTGCGCTTGACCAGTTGAGCATTCTTGGTGGTGTTGGCGGTGGCGATGTCATCACCGTGGTCATGTTTGTGGTCAACTCGGGCAGCGGACGTGCCTACAACGTTTCGTTGCAGGGCAATATCGCGACAACGAGTGGTACCTTTACTTATCTACCGAATTCGCTGTGCATCTCGGATGGTCGTGGCTCGGCTCTCCAGTTTTTGACAGCGCCTTCGGCCGACGGGTCGACGCTCTTTGGCGGAACTACCTCCGTGTTGCTCGCCAACCTTCCCGGCTTGCCAGCATATGACAATGGCCTCCTAGGTAGCAACATTGCCGTCATCTCGTACGACCTTGCCTTTTCGCCCACGGCCGCATACGGTACTTCCAGCAGCGCGGGTTTGTCCGTTTGCCAGTACAAATCCATTGGTCTCTCTAGCGCCGTTGATTATCTTGACACCTGCGAGACCAGCAACACAACGGTGACTGTAGACGCGCCAAAGCTGAAGGGCTTTAACGCCTCCTCTCCGCTCATCACCTCAGCCTCTGGCGCATCTGGATTTGTTGCCAACGCTGCGAGCCCCATCGTGGCGGTTGGAGATCAGGTCACGTTCAACCTGACTGCAAGTGTGCCGAGCGGCTCGATTGGCAGCTTCGTGCTCACCATCTCTGCTGGAATGCCTTCAGTCAGCGCACCGGGCGTGTTTGCCATCCTTTCGGCCAAAGTTGTTGCCATTGGTGGTGCCATTTCCGTCTCAAAGCTGTCGGTTGGCGCAGTTGGTGCCATTCAAGATGCCGACGCCAACACGTTCAACGATACTGCCGTGTTTGACTTTGGCAATCTGACTTCCTTGCCATTCCAGCCGTCGGTGGATCGCAATATTGTTGTGCAAGTGCAGGCCAGTGTTCCAGCTGCGGCCAAAGTTGCCAATGTTGCGGGAAGCACGATCGCGTCGAAGAGCACCGTGTACTTCGGCTCGTCTGCTCAGACCCTGACCGCCGTCAACTCGACACTGCTCACTCATACTGTGGCGGAGCCGAAGTTGAATGTGAACTCATTCATTAGCCCCCAGATTGCGGATGCGGGCGACGACCTCACATTCACCGTTCTTGTCGCGCACACGAGCATTTCTACCACCTCGGCCTTCTTCCTTCAACTCCCCAATCTTGTGCCAACTGGAGCCGGTCTCGTGCTCTACCCCGCCTCTATCATCGTGACAACTCCGGCGTCAGTCTCGGTTCCTGCTACAGTTTCCATTGCTGCCGACAACTCGACATTCTCCGTCCGTCTGGCCCAGCTGCCACTGTACCAATCTGCTGGTTCGTCGGTCAAGTCCACCCTGAACGTGACGTTCACTGCCAGGCTGTCGTACCTTGCCTCGCCAGATTCGACGGTCAACTGGGTCCCAGCCGTCAACTATAGCAGCTCGCCACTCAACTACAGCTCCCCGTCGATCCTTGCTGGTCGCAGCTACAATGATTGGGACCTGTCGATGGTCAATGTCACGTCGCTCAATTTTACTTTTGGTCCGCCGCGTATTGTGGTTTCGACCGTCAACACGTCGTTGCCCACCTCGCTGCCAGGGTCTGCGCTCAAAGTCACGCTCGGCTCGCTCGTGTCCATGCGCTACACGGTCAATGTCACCGAAGGCAGCTTTGGTGTGTTGAATGTCACGATTGCGGCACCTACAGGCGTTCCTGCAACGAATGGCAAAATGGTGGTGCAGTATGCCTCCATCATTTCTGTTGGAGCAAACGTGCAGTTGCTCTCCACCCCCAACGTCATCATGAGGGATTCCAATAGTGACGGGCTCAATGACACGGCCGTTTTTTCGTTCGGCCAAGTCATCAACATTGACGACAATGTGGAGAACGAGCTGGACTTTATTGTCATTGAAGTCGTGCTCAGTGTTCCGGCCTCGGTTGGCACGAACGTGGCTGGCGTTCTGCTTCCCGTGTCGGGCACTGTCGTGTATGGCCTGCAGTCGAGATTCGTGAGGAACGTGACCACCACCTGGTCGCTGGTTGAGAGCGTGCTACTTCCAGGCGTGACTCTCAGCGCGACCTCGGTCGACGCTGGTGATACCATTGTTCTGACGCACACCATCGCACACCGCACGACGAGCCCCATTTCCAACGTTGATGCATTTGACTGGAGTGTCACCTTCCCGCTGCCGAATACCACATGCTTGCGATTTGTGTCTGGGTCTGCAACCCTGGCCAACGCCCCAGCCGGGACTTCTCTGGCGTCAGGAAACTTGTCGTCAGATGCAAGTCTCAGCGTCTCGGGCTCCTTCTTTGCCAGATTGCCTGCGACGACAATCACCATTACCGTCACGTTACTCGTGCTGGATCCAGTCATGTACCGTCAAACGTTCTCCGTTTCTCCGACCACGACCTGGACTTCCACGCCCAGCATTGCTTCCATCCAGGTTGGCGCCAACTGGGGCACAACCTTTAGCCTGGCGGCCCCGCGTCGAACCTACTCGCTTCCGCCCGCGACAGTCCGGACAATCACCATCAAGGCACCCGCGTTGACTTCGGTGACTCTTGTCGGCACATCGCTGACAGAGACAGCCTCACCGTTGGTGGCTGTTGGCGAGGTGGCCACCTACCAGGTGGCGGTTTCCATTCCAGAAGCAAACGGCTGGACCAACACGTTCCAACTCTACGTGTCCCTGCCTGCTCTGCGCGACCTCACACAGCCCCGCATGTCCATTGTCAACGCGTACGTTTCCAGCATTGGCGCGAACATTGTCACGACCCCTGCGCTGGTGGTTGGCTCGAATGCCTCTGCGCTGTTCGATTCCAACGCCGATGGGCTCGCAGACCAAGCCATCTTTACGCTCGGTACCACGCGAAACCCAACGAACGGCCAGACCGCAGATGACGCGATCGTCGTGACGGTGCGCGGCGTTGTGCTTGCCGTCGGCACGGGTAATGTTCGTGGTGCGACACTCACGGTGAGCAGCACGCTCAACACTGGCAGTGGCAATTCCACTTTGTCGGCCACTGCACTGACGATCGCAGAGCCAACGCTCAGCATCGCCCTTGTCACCACCTCCCCGGCATCGAGCAATGTGGTTGTTGACGCTGGCGATGTGATCGCTTTCAACCTGACCCTTGCACACACCGCGGCGTCAACTGGACCGGCGTACGGCATTTCGTACGTTTTCAGTCCGGACTCTTTGCTGACCAGCTCCATCCTGCCTCGCAGTCTGCAGCTCGATCCCGCTAGCCTGGTCACCAGCAGCTACAGCCCATCGGCCATGAGCGTGGCAGTAACCCCGTCAGGAAGCGGGCTCTCCTCGCTCTTCACTCTCACAATCGACGCGTTTGCTCGATCGACCACTGCAACTCCGTCGTTCGCTTCTGTTAGTTTTGCTTGCACAGTCGTGTCTAACGTTGCGCCAGGCACCTATTCACCCACGGCGGCCACGACATACTCGTCCGCTCCGTTGGGCGTTGTGGAAGCGGTTGCTCGAAATTATTCCAGCTCCCTGGTGTCACGAACGGCCAACTTTACCGTTTCCGACCCCGTGCTGGCAAGCGTGACACTGGTCAACTCGACCCTGTTGGAAACGCTTGGGCAGCGAGTGGCTGCGGGTGAGCAGTTTACAACGCGCTTGGTGTTGACCTTCCCGGAGGGCTCTACAACGGTGAACTGGGTGCGACTTACCCTTCCCACCAGTGTTGTCGGTGCTCTCGTACCGCAGGCGGTCGCCAACCCGCTCGAGTCCGTAGGCGCAGGCATCCTGTTGGTGTCCTCGCAGCCATCGAGCTGCAGCCCGGTGGACACCAACAGCGACGGCACTGCTGACGCGGTTACATGCTCGCTCGGCAATGTGACTGTGGCGTCTGGAACTGCCTCTGTCGCTGCTCGTCAGATCACCCTGGTTGTCACTGCCTTGGTCGGCAACATTTCGGCGAATGTGAATGGGGCGTCCTACGCTGTTGGTGGTTCCATGTCCTTCTCCAGGTACACTGTCACCTCAGGCGGCCTCTTTTCAATCGCCAATGCCACGTCTACCATTGCGTCTGGCTTTACAGTCACAGTTGCGCAGCCGGCCTTGACCATGTCCAAGTCGATTGTGGCCATCTCCACTGTGAGCCCCGTGGTCGCGCTAGCAAGCGTTGATGCCGGTGATCTTGTCACATACCAAATTCTGGTGAATCGCACAGCGTCGTCGACAGCCGCTGCATACGACGTGGTCATTGCAGACTCCCTGCCTGCCGGCATGACGCTTGTCGCCGGCACAGTCATTGTCGCATTGATCAACGGACCCGCTGGTAGCGTGACGAATGCAACCGTCGCCGTAGGGAACACGGCGGGCGATGTGTCCGTCTCGATTCTAGTCTCGACACTCAATCTCAACGACACCTCGATGGCACTGAGCGTGCGCTACCAAGCCAGTGTAAACACTGTGATTGTGCCTCTGGCCGTTTCTCGGTCAAACGCGTCGCTTGCATACTACTCTGCTCCCGCATCGCTTGGTACTCCTCGGGCGCAGCTCACTGGTGGCGCTGTGGACGCTGGAGTGACCATTGCTGAACCGAGCTTCCAAGTTGCCAGCTCAACCAATCTGGCTGGTACTCCGAGCAACAACATAACTGTGGGAGAGTCGGTCGTGCTGGACGTGGCCGTGCTGCTGATTCAAGGCACCGTCTCTGGCGCTGTCATCAACGTGACCTTCACCGGTACAAGCAGCTCGGTGCTCGCTGCCTCGACAATTCTGAACATTACCAGCGCCGTGGTGACCCAGGTGCCGGCGGGCATCTCGGGAAATGCGCAGCTGGTTGTTGCCAAGAGCATTCTTCCGGTCGATCTGAACGGCGATGGCGTGTTTGAGTCGCTGACGGCCAACTTTGGCACCATTACCAACGCCAATCGAGACAATGCCACGATTGGCAGCAACGCGGCCACAACACCCAACCTCACCACGAGCACGAACGTCATTATGATTCGTGTGAATGCTGTGGTACTGCCAAGCGCTGCAAACAACCCGTTCGCGGCTCTGTCCGCCAACGTGACGTTCACCAGCGGAGTGGCAACGACGCAGCCCGACGGCTCGTTGCTGCGCAGGCAGAATTGGCGCCTGTCGTCGCCGTGGCTCGTCGTCTTGCCTCGTCTGCAAGTGAGTCTCGCGACCAATACTACGATGGTTCAGGCTGCAGACCCGGTGCTCGTCACCGTTCTTGTGCGTCACAACACGACCGCTTTGCCAGCGTCTGCAGCTTCGAGCTCTGCTGCCTTCGACGTGGTGATTAACGTGACCCTGTCCACTCGCCTGCTCATCACCGCCGGATCCATCGTGTCTGCCTACGCTCCTGGCTCGACCGTGACGAGCATTCCGCTGGCTACAACACCCGCAGCAAACTCGGCTCTTGTGAGCCTGCCATTGCTGGCCTTGGTCGGCAACCCTGCGCTTCCCGCGGGTGACTCCTTCACCATTACCCTGGTTGCTAGCGCAGCTCAAGAGACCACCCCAGGCGAACTTTTGAGCAATCGAGTGGACGTCACCTTCAGGTCGACACCTGCGCTGACCGATCCAACCACGTTCGGGTCCTCGGCTGTCGCATTTGGTGTCACTCGCCCTCCCTCGGTTGACGCGACGCTTGTGCTTGCCACTCTCTCGGCCCAAGCTCCTGTCACAAGCATTCCCAGCACGGTGGGTCGAAACGTGACGTACCTTGAGCAGGTCACGTTTGCTTTCGACATTTACCTGCCGCGCAGTACTTGCCCCAACCTGGTTGTGACGGTGCAGCTGCCCCGACCGGGTCTGGTGCCTGCTCTCGCTGGTCTCTTGAACGCAACGGCTTCCAACGTCGACTTGCTTTTGGTCGGGTCCGACCTGTCGTTGTCGGGAACGGGCATTTCCGCTGCCGGTGTGCCAGCAAGCTCGGCTAGCGACACGAACGCGGACGGACTCGTTGATCGACTCGTCTTCAACTTTGGTCAAGTGACACGAATTTTGACGTCGTCATCTCCCGCAGTCACCAAGCTCATCACGGTGTCGGTTGTTGCCTTGGTGCCAGCGTCGACGACCAGCAACCCTAACGGAGGCTCCATTGTTCCCTTCGTTACCCTTGACACTGGGGCTGCGGCAGTGTCTCCAGCACCGGTGGTCAACCTCACCGCCACTGGCAGCTCGGTTCCGTTTGACCTTGTCGTGGCGCTGCCCGTGTTGACGATCGCTGCAGTGGCATCGGGCTCTGCAGCTGCCATCGGAAGCATCACACAAGTCAACTACACAATCACCCACGTGAACGCTCTTTCGCGTACGGATGCATTCAATATTCGCCTGACGGACGCATTCCCGACCCCGGCAAACCTCGCTCTTGTGTCGGGTTCGGTCGTGGTCCGCGTTCTTCCCAGCAACACCCTGCTCCCCGCCAGTGTCATTGTCGGAAACGGAGCCTCCGACGACCATGTCGAGGTCGTTGTCGATTTGTTCGCTCTGGCATTCGCCCCTGCCGCGCTGATGGTCAGTTATTCGGTGGTCGTGCCTGCCTCAGCCGTTCCCGCCAGCAACACGTCTGTCGTGGCGACTTTGCTCTACGGGAATGCGCTTCCGCCGCAAACGACCACCATTGCACTGCCGCTGGCTCACCCCTACCTCGTCTCTGCCACCCTCACTTCTTCATCCGATCCGCTCACCCCCAGCACTGCGGTGAGCTCCCGCGATGGTGGATTGTACTCTGCGCTGGGCATGGGCGAGCAAGCCAATGTGACCGTTGTCGTTCTATTCCCGCCAGGCACAACGACCATGAGCAGCATCGTCGTGTCATTGCTGCAGCCGTGGGTCTTGGACGGGAGCACAGACAATGGCCAGGACGCCCTCCAGATTGTCCGCGTGACTGCAACGTCCATTGGTGCATCTCTGTCCAATGTTGCCGTCGTGTCGGGCGCACTGTCTGCGTCAGTGCTGCGCGATACCAATGGCGACAGCGTTTTGGACGCTGCCAACGTCACCTTGGGCTCGGTGACTGGTGCGAGCTCGGCCAGTCCCCTTGGTGCAGCCCATCAGATTACTCTTGTAGTGACTGTGCAAGTGAACAGCGCGTCGCCTTTTGCAAGTGGCAATGCGCTGGTGGGGTTGAATGTCACGTTGGTGGCATCAGCTACGTCTCCCGCGTTGGTCACTCCCTGGACACAAACGTCCTCGCTCACTGCCCTCTTGCTCGAGTCGTCGCTGAACATCACCCGGTCAGTCACGTTCCGTGACAATCAATCTGGCCAGGCTGGCGACATTGCAGACGTGCAGATTGAAATTCAACACGCATCAAACTCGACCTCGCCTGCCTTCCGACTTGTACTGTCCGATTTGGCGGCTGTCGCTCCGTCCATCCAGCGCATTTTGCAGTTGAACAAGACTGCTCCGTGTGTGATTTCGTCCGTGCAAGGAAATGGCGATCTAGTATCGGACGCGGTTTCCTCGGCCGTCGTGATTTCGCGTGGCTTTGCTCCGTCCGACTCGGACATTTCCCTGACGTTGAGCAACTACCCGCTGGGCGCCTTGCCGCTGCGTATCACCTTCACTGTCGTTCTCGATGACACGGCTTTGGTGTCTTCGACAGTGCAAGCCGGGTGCCGCGTTCTGTGGTCCTCGGTCAGCGCCTCGTCCAGCTTGCCTGTCAACGTCGGTCGCAACTTTTCTGTTGGCCTGACATCGGACCCAATCTCGGTCGCCTCGCCTGGCTTGCTTGTTGCCAGCGATCTCGCTGGGAGCGGCATTAGCATTGGCCAGTTGGTCAAGATTGCCATTGTCGTGACACTTCCGTTCGGCACAGTGCCCAACTTGACCGTGAGTGTCGTTGCGCCCGTCGTGTCCGGTCTCAGCGTGTTCTCTATTGTCAACGCAACCGTCCTTGATGCTGGCTTGGCACAGTCGGCCTTGCAGGCGGGCTCGTCGGCCACTCTCTCGTCCTTGGACGGCGCAACAAACGCGCTGGCGACCTTCCAGTTTGGCGAAACGCTGGTGCCTCGCGCAGCTCGCCCCGCTTCTGTCGCGAATGCCAGCACCACCGTCACGCTGACTGTCTTTGCCACGGCCCAAAACTACCCCTCCGTGCGGAACAACAACAGCATGACGGCCGTCATCACCGCCACCTTTGGATTCCCGACAGTGCTTGGCGAGCAAGGCCTTGCCTCGCTGAATTCGACCGTCGAGTATCACTTGGTTGAGCCTGCCCTCACAGCCACGCTCACATCCCTGCCCGCCAACACTGTGCCGCAGCAGGGAAGTGCCTTTGTCGCGTTCTCGCTGCTGTTGCAACATGCCTCGGACTCGATCGCGTCGGCGTTTTCGGTTCGTATTCTCCGCACCACCACCAATTCGAATGCAAGGCCTGTGCCGACAGTCGGTGTGTGGTCCATTTCCGCGACTGTTGGAACCAGCACTGGTCTGTCCGCGCCGGGCTTGGCTGTGCAGAATGCGACGGTGCCTTCCATCACCAGCGACGCCTTTATCTTCCCGCTTGGTAGTGGCAGCGTTTTGTTGCAGTACGTGGCCCAGCTCCCTGTGAATGCGCTTCCGTCCTATCGCGAAACTTTCAACATTACGTATTCGAGCGCCAACCCGGATGCCCATACAAATGTCTCCAGTCGAGACGCTGTTGCAGTCGTGTCGCTTGACATCCCCGTCACACCCGTGACCTTTACAGCAGACATTGTGCCGACAATGATTGGCGCCCCTCTGGGAGCCGGACATGGCGTGACCATTGGAATGGAGGTGCTCTACGTCGCAAAGCTGTACCTTCCCGCTCGGCAGCTGCGTGGCACTCGACTGACCTTCCGCACTCGTGCATCGGCCTCTCCTGAGGTTGCCGCACTTGGCCTGACCCCCTGCTTGCAGATTGTCCGTCTCGAGTCCATTGCACAAGAAGGCGCTACGAATGCCTCCATTTCTGCCTTCGATTGGACAAATGTGTCGGCTGCGCGCCTTGCTACCGACATTGACTTTGGTAGCAACCGCACCTCCGCCACCCTGAGCATGGGCACGGTTTCCAATAGTGATCCGGCTCATGACGCCGTCATTATTGTGACCTTCCGCGCTCTTGCCTTCTTGGATGGAATTGGCCAGAACTCGTCGGCATCGGACGTGCTGGAGGCTGCTTTGGCCTCCCAGTTGGATGGAGACTTTGTCATTTCTACCCCGTCCTTCACTCTGTCCGACTCGGGCGACTTGGCCGCGTCGTCCTCGTTACTTCATTCGACGGCGGCGTCAGGTCCCACAACACTGGCGTTCGTCGCACCTGAGCTGGCCATCCAGAGTGAGGTTTACAGTGCGCAGTATCCGTCCCTGGTGCCCGGCCAAGAGCTGGATGCCGAGATTGCGATTGGCCACACGAGCAGCAACGCAACAGAGCCCCACACCAGCGCGTACAATGTTGAGTACTCTTGGACCATTTCGCAGGGCATCTGGGTCTCTCCCGCCTCCGTCTTGGCGCGGCTCGACCCTGCACTGGTTGGCTCCAGCATTACGGTTTTGGTGGACAACTCGAGGGTCAATACTACTGGCACCGTAGTTTTCGTGTTTGTGGACGAGCTTCCTTTCAATACCAACCTGACCATCTCCTTGCAAGGCATTGCGCTGCCTTCGCTGGTGCAAGGCACCTCGTTGGTTGCCACATCGCAGCTCGCCTTCCAGTCCGTTGATGGCTCGAGCGGGATTGTGCGAGGCGGTGCCGACACGGATTTCAACCCCATCGGCTTGCCTGTCGCCTTTGGAGGCAGCGCTGTGCTGGTCGATCCGACCCATATGACAATCCTGCTGGCCGCAGACAACATTCCTGTTTTCAACGTCCCTGTGCAATCCTTTGACGAGGATGCACCAGCGGTATTCCTGGACTTGCTCGCTCATGTCTTTGATGCGGACGGGGTGCAGGATATCGATCCGCTCTCGTTGCGCATCGTGACCCAGCCCGAGAACGGAACTGCAGCCATTACACCTGGCAACTTTTCTGCGCACTTCATCCCCAATCCAGACTACAATGGCGAGAACTGGTTTGTGGTTGAGGTTTGTGACAAGAGCCGTGCATGTGTGACAGCAAACGTGACTGTGAACATCCACTCCGTCCTCGACCCGCCGCGAACACAGCCCGTCTTTGAAACGCGCATCGGTTTGGGAACGCTCGACTTTTCATTCGCTTCTAACGTTGATGTGGTTGACATGCCTCTCACGACGGTGCGCGTGCGCATTCCCAGCGAGTATGGCTCCGTTTCGCCCGTGACCTCGGCGCCTGGCGAACTCGGTAGCACCCTGCTTATCGTCAATGGAGCACGGGGTCAGCCTTCATCCGGTATTCGTGCGATTGGCCTGGACGGGATCCAGTACTCGTCTTTTACGTTTGTTCCAATCCCCTACTGGTCTGGAAATACGACCGTTGTGCTCCAGCTGTGCGATCAAGTGCCATATTGTGTCGACTGGCCTATTGCGGTGGACGTCCAGCCCGTTGCTCCGCCACTGCCACAGGATGACGTGTTCATCGTCCATGATTGGCCGACTATCGCCAACACAAGGGATACGGTGCCGGCTGAAATGCATGACTACCTTGAAGACGGCGCCGTGTTTGTGCCCTTCCGAGACAACGACTGGGGTCTTGACCTGGATCTCACCCACTCGGCCGTCTTGCAGCCACCGCTGCATGGCAACGCGACCATCATCACGCTGGCCAACGGTACCCAGTACCTTCGCTATCGATTCCGTGGCTCGCGCTCTGATGCTGACGCGTTCAGGAACGATTCAATGATTTACCAGCTGTGCAATCTCTGGGGCCACTGCGCACCGGCCGCTGTTGTCATTTTTGCCGATCCCTCGTACGCTGCTAAACCAATGTGTATTGGAGGCCTGTCGTTGATGGCAGTTGGCGCGCTGATGGGCTTTGAAGGCTTTTCGACTGCCGGCTCCAAAGTCTGGTCGTTGATGGATTTCGCGCAAGTCATTGGCGCTACTGGATTCTTACGAGGCAACCTGCCTTCAGACTATTTGGACTTTGTGAGCTGTTACTCGTGGACGAACGTTCTCGTTCCTCCGATTTGGAATTATCAGCCTGCAGACTCTCATCTTGACTCTGTCTCCGTTTTCCGCGTCAATCCCAATAAGGACGGCGGGCATGTTGTCGTGTCAAACACCGATGTGGATGTGCGGGTCGGGAACGGCAACCGTCGTTCACTGCTCTCCGTGCCAGAGGTCGCCGCTGAAATGACCACTGCTGTGAACCAGTTGTTTGCCGCTCAAGTCGTCTTTACGTTGGTGCTCCTGGCCTTGCTGCTCGTCATTACCCTGGCCGTCGGGTTGTGTTTGTTCATTCGCCGCCATCTTCGTTTCCGTCGATTGCAACGCAGCACACATGGCGCTGCAGCCGACGAGCACACACTCACTCAAGCCGAGTTCCGCAAAGCCCGCTCTCTCAAGCTGCTGCTCTGGGCGCTTTTCGGTGTGTCGTGGCGTTTGCTCGCCTTCACGTACTTTGGCTTTGCTGTGACCACCGCCATGATGTTCGCGCTCCGCACCGACCGCGCCGACTCTGTCACTGTTTACTCGCCTGAAGATGGCATCATGTTTGTGGCCGCAGTGGTGCTAATCTTGGTTCTTGTTGGCCTCCCCTTGTGTCACTGGTTGTGGCTGCAGCTTGTGGAACCGCGCGGCACGCAGCATCCGCTCGGCAAAGGTGGTCAGGCTCGACTGTTTGATCCCACTTTCAGGACCAATACTTTTGAAGGGGAACCCGGCAACAAGCGATACAGCGGTGCCAACTTCCAGCACGACGTCCAATATGACATTCGCACTTCGTGGGTCTTTGGTCTGGCTTATACGGGCATGAAACTCGAACGCAACAAGCTGTATCTTCTTGTCTTCTTGCGCAAGCTCTTGGCCGGTGTGACGCTTGGCGCACTCTCCGTGTCAACGGCTGGATCCGCAAACCGTCAGCTTGCGGCACTTTTGATCGTGTACATTGCGTACTTTGTCGCGATTGCCGTGGTCAAGCCGTTCAAGTCAAAGCTTCTTCTCGTTTCCGAGATGTGGTCGGTGGTTGGCGTCATCGCACACGTTGTTTTTCTTTTCATCATTGTCAACTCGTCTTCCTCTGAGAGTGCCAATGACGTTGCCACCGCGCTGATCTTTATCGATTATGTTATCTTGTTTGGGTTCCTGGTGATTTGGATTCCGCGCTTCTTTGAAGTTCTGCGCGAGGCTTGGCTGTCCATTGGCACATGGCGTGCTGCGCGTCACTCCCTTCAGCTGCACGATTTGCAATTTGCTCGCTCTCTCGCGAACGACAAGGCCTTCCACGAGCAGGTTGAAGAACTTGGAGTGTCCCAAGACGAGGCAATGGAATTGCGTGAAATTCAGCGCTTCATGCACCTTGCAGAACGCGACCATACTTACGTGTAAATGCTTTGGGGGTTTTCTCTATTTCCCATGTAGAGGCTCTGATGATTGTTGTTCTTGTTGTTGCTGCTGTTGTTCTTGTTGTTGTTTTTGTTGTTGTTGTTGTTTTTGTTGTTGTTGTTGCGTTTGCAGTTTTTGTTTATTGTTGTTTTCCATAGTTTGATGGAGCAACATTCATTATTATTATTATTATTTTTACTTTTATCATAGCATTAGAATTGACCATGTAGCCATACTGTCGCGCTTGCAAACAAGGCCCCGGTTAGTTGCAGGGAGGCGAAGTTGACGGAGGCAAACAGGAGAATTAGCAGGAAGGCCGTGGCGGTTGCAACAAGCTGCAGAATTGGCAATCCTTTGAATGACTGACGTGCTATGGGAAGCAGCTCCGAATGCAACACTGTCAGCATCAGCGCCACATGCGCGCAAATTGGCGCGAGATCGATGGTAGAATATGGCAAGCTGGGGGAAAACTGCAGGTGTCGGATCCAAGCGATAATCGCAAGTAATTGTGGCCAGGCTGTAAGAATGACCATGGTGAAAAGGTTGTTGTGGAAACGGCGCAACTGTGCATTGCTCGACTGCGCATGCATGTTTGACATCAAAACGTGAGAACCAAACCAGGCCAGTTGGCACACGCAACAACCTCACGCGATAACGAGCAACTGTGCCAAGAACATACTGCAGGAACACGATAGTAGCTGATAAGTCGAATCAATTGGAAGGAACCCACAAACGCCACGCCCATACAATAGTAGAAATTCACAAGAAAAACGAGCACGGTACTCGAGATCAACCTGCGCAGCATCAAGCGTCAAGCGCGAGTCAAACTTGTGAGTACATTATCGCTCAAATCGCAGCCTGCTCAACCAATCAAGCACACGTACAGCGGAAACTTGAAGCGCGAAGGCTGGGCGATGGCGGAGCGCCTCATTATCGAAAACAATCGATCGAAAAGAAAGGCTTCGACTCGAACGACTGCAGAGACGAGCACAGCAAGTCCGATTCCGAGCACAGCAATCAAGAACACAAACAGGGGCGAGACGGGAGCACCCAAATGCTGGAGAGCATCAAAACTAGTTTCTTCTTGGTGTTGTATTGAGAAGCCAACAACGGCAAAGAGAACTGGGGTAACGGAAAGTGTGGCTCCGAAAGCACTGGCAGACCCTAACAATCCGGAAAGCTGACCGTCTGATGATGAATTCGAAACAAAACAAAACATAGCAAAGAGCAAACATTCGACGCAGCCAGGTCAGCTTTGTCTGGCACCTCGCAGCCAAGTGTCGCAGAGGCAAACAAAACGGAATTACCGGGATACATGGCAACAAATGGCAGCACCGACACGGCAGCAGCGGTCGAGAAAACGACGGGCCCAACTAAAGCCAAAACGCGCATCGCGATTGTCGGCCAGTCAAAGGTAATGGAAAGAGACACGTGATAACCGGCCGGGCGTATCATTTCAAGGGTTGGTACGGCCAGGCTGGACGAGGGCACCCGCCGCGCAACCGGCATAGCGAGTATGAGGGAGAGAACGGCGGGGGTGTCACTGTTTGCAGCAACGAAATGCTCTTCGTGATGATTCGGAACGTTAAAGCGAAGAACGACATTCTTGCGCGAATCGCTCGTAACAGATGACCCTGCAGTGTCAATAACAATGAGCAAAACGTCGTCACACACAAACATGTTGGGGAGTGACTCCAGCCAGACACACCTTTGGAAACAACCACTTGGACAAGGAATGCCTGATAGAAATGACGCAAGTCTGGCAGAGCGAAACTCTGATAGGATCCCGTCGCGTCTGCATCAAATTGGTGCTGAATTCTTGCACTCAACTCCCAAATCTTGGGCAAAGGCATTGGAGCATTTATCGCCGCAACAGAATTGCGAAACAGCTCGACCGAGCCGCTGCCGGATAGAGCAAACAGGTTGGCTGGAAGCCCACGATTTGTCGCTCGTGACTGGAGACACAAAACAACTTCGGTCGCGCCTGGAGGAATGGAGACTTTGGTGACGACTGCCCCAGGTACGAGACGATCGTTCGTGGTGGGATTGGCTATTGACGCTCGTGGAGATCGCCACAACTGGGAATCGCTCACACGCAGCAACGCACCAGTGGCACATCTGTTTGAACTGTCATTTTCAGCCTCGAACGCAGTCAAAGAGTGACTGACTTCCGCGTTGGTGTCATCGATCAGAATAAACGTCTCCTCGTCCTTGTTGGCACGCGGTACTCGGAAACAGTGATTGGACATGTCGGCTGGCAATTCTCGCCATGTGTGTGAAATGGACGAGTTCCAAGCCGTACAAGTCATGCAACGTGATGACTCGTCGCTCGACAAGAGTGGTTGTTCTGGGGCGGAAATGGAAAAAAAAACAAGTGGTTCCAAGTCAGTGCATGCGTTAGCCAAGAGGGATGTCAATCAGCACAGAAACAGCAACCGCATATCTGGTCGGCAACGAAAAAAAAACAAAGAAGCAAGCTCGATCACAGCACTACCTTCGAAAAAGAGAGATTGAATAGTCGTCGCAATCTCGCCACCGCTCGCTTTGGGTGACGGAAGAGCGCGACCGAGAAGCAGGATGATCCTCAGAGCCAATTGATTGCACCACATGATGCAGTTATGATCAGCAGCCGCCCAGACATACGGAATGGAAGACGAGACACCTTGAACAATGCGGCCAGGTGGTGCGTCGTCGACGAGCACTAAATCTTGGCGAATGAGCGTGTCTGCAAGTCCGCCAGCAATCGATAGGACAGGCGGGAATGGACGTGTCACGTTGTAGCAGCGGCTGGAGGTGGATATGCTTGCGTGGATGCTGCGGAGGTGAGCGTCCAGAACGCCAGCAAGACTGTGTTGAGGCGTGGCGAGCGTAACAACCAACGCCACATGCGGAACAAGTTCGGGATGCTGCTCGAGCAGAAGCCTGGCGACGACTCCACCCATAGAATGGCCAACCAAGACGATGGGCCCGGCCCGCGTTGCTGCTTGTTGTCGGAGATGTTGTATAGCCTGGAAAGCAAAGGCGACCTGGCCTGGAATGACACTGCCAGTTAATCCAGACAGCTCTTCTCGGAAGTCAGCTGGGTGAGGCAACCACAAAAACAGCAAAAAGCCCAGTGAGTCATCGTCTCAGGATTCTCAGAAGTGTTTATTCACTACGAGAGCAGTCTTGTTTGGCAACCTGCAAACCAGTCAAACTCGGGTGCGGATCGTTGGTGTGTGAGCCGCAACGAGATCGCTGCAAGCGAACGGACTTGCTGATAACTGCCTGCGTTTCCGGGCAAGAAGAGAACTGCTCTGCCAGTGAGCTGTTGAGAAATCTCAGAATGTCAGAGTTCTTGTTGTGTCTTTGTTATTGGTTTTTTGTTGTTTTTTTACCTTGGTTTGATGATACACGGGCGCCGCACCTCCCGAGCCATGGTAGAGCAGCAATCGGTAATGTGCAGTGGCTGGATTGCTGCTCGAAGCAGGCAGCGGAACGTCCACGTACTAATCGTAAACAAGTCAAATTTCAATCCAACACCAACATCAACGAGGTCCGACGACGACTTGGGGAAAGCCAGGCAGTGTTTTTTTTTTTTTTTTTTTTTTTTTTTTTTTTTTTTTTTTTTTTTTTTTTTTTTTTCCTAGGCATGGTGATGCCATTTCAACCTCCCCAGTGGTGGTATTGCAACCAGAGCCAGTGGAGTGACCATTGGGCCCCTAAATCTGATCTGCGAATCTGATCTGCGACCCCCTTGGTCCACCACCTCCTCCACCACCTCGTCCTCATCGGGTTTTTGCATATTCACACACCTGAGGCCACATGTACGTCATGTAGCATGAGTTGCGCTCGATCGGATGGGTCGCGCGGTACGCAGCCAGCCCAGCCATGCCCAGCGCAATGCTAACGCACAGCAGCGAAACCAATCTCTGCAGACTGAGCATGGCGCAGAAGGAAAAAGGGCGACTGGCTGCAGCAACTTGACATTCATTTGTAAATCTGCACTTTCTGAGCCTGCAAAACAAAAAAGAAAGAGCGCTACTGGGATTTGTGTAAAGTGGGGCAGAGGGGTCGGGGTTGGTCGCTTTGTTCGCTAATCTTGCTCCAAGTCCAGCATTCGCTCCAAGTCCAGCGTCAATGCTGTTGGTCGATGCTTTCGCATGACACGTTCACATTTGTTCAAACTTGCATCAACAGACAAGAGCTTTTTCCGCAACACGCACGTCACGAACACGGCTCAGTCTCGTATTTTGCCAATCTTTTGAAACTGAATCGCTCAGATTTTCAACCCCTCAAAACGCATCAACCCATACGGTCGAGCTCTCTTTCTTTTTTTTTTTTCTTGGCGCTGAGCTGTTCTAAGCTTTAGTTTGTCCTTTCGAGTCGACAGGCACAAAGACGATGCCCTCGCGCACCTTCTCGCTGCGGCAGGCAGTCGACTATGTTGGCAACGGACGATTCCAGCTGCAGCTCCTGCTCATCACTGGCAAGCAAAAAAAAACAACACCTCACAGACAACCCACAAGATTCGAGCTTGTTCTATTGTGCGCTCTCGACACTCATTTTGTGTGTGTGTGTGTGTGTGTGTGTGTGTGTGATGCCTTTGCTCGACCACAGGCGCAACGCAGCTCGCCGACGCAATGGAGCTCATGCTGCTGCCGTTCCTGACCAACGCCGTGCGCTGCGACGCCAGTGACGCAATGGCTGCGTCCGAGCCAGAGCTTGCACTGCTTTCGTCTGTCGTGTTCATGGGCATGCTGCTTGGCGCTTGCTCGGCGGGATGGATTGCCGACGTGTTTGGTCGCAGGTACGGGTTTCTGCTGACGACGGCATGCTGCGCGATCGCAGGCGCAGGTAGCGCTGTGGCGTGGAGCTTTAATGCACTGCTGCTTGCCCGATTCGTTGTTGGGTTTGGAGTCGGCGGAAGTCCCGCGGCCTTGTCCCTGTACGCAGAGTTTATTCCGTCGACAGCCGTCAGAGCGCGCCAACTGCTCGTCTTCCTGTCCTTTTTCTCCATTGGGACGCTGCTTGAAGCGTGTATTGCGGTTGCCGTTTTGCCGTCGTATGGCTGGCGTGGATTGCTATGGGCATCCGCGGTGCCGTCCGCTCTGCTGCTGGCGATCGCGGTCGTTTTCCCCAAGGTTTTGCCCGAGTCTCCACGCCTGTTGCTGACCGGCGTTGGTGCATTTGCTCGGGATGCAGCGGCAGCTGCCTCTCAGGCAAAAGCCGTGTTTGATCACGCTGCCCAGGTGAATGGCAGACCGTTCCCGGCCGATTGGGAGTTGGTATTGAGCGATGCTGATACCCGCGATGGCGATGGCGCTGGCAGTGATACCCACGATGACTATGACCACCATCTTGATGCAGATAATGCAGCGCTACTGCAAATCTCTGCACCAGGGACCACCACACCACGCAAGCAGGCCAACCCCATCCGTCTTTTGCTCTCGAGCGAAAATCCTCTCCGGCGTCGACAGTTTGCGTTGCTGTGTGGCATGTACTTTCTAATGGCTCTTCTGTACTATGGACTGGTGATTTTCACCGTCACATTGGCAGCCGCGAGCGACTCGCCCTCCTCCTCCTCGACCTCGCCCAGCCAAAACTCATCGACTTCGTCCAATGAATGCGGCTCGCTCGCTGGACGCGAATGGGAAGTGATTCTTGAAAATGCTGGAGAATTGCCTGGACTGCTGCTTGCAGACCAGCTCCTCAATCGAATTGGACGCCGGAAAACAATCGCGTCTCTCTTTACGCTCTGTGGCGGTCTGCTGATGCTTTTGCTACTGCCAGAAATTCGCGGTGCAAATGCAGGAGCAGTTCTGTCCATCATCATGTGCGTGGTCCGAATGAGTGCGCTCGGCTTTAACCAATCCTTGTGGGTGTTCACCACCGAGCTGTTTCCCACCAACGTTCGGGCTTCTGCGCTCGGCGTTGCGTCCGGATTTGCTCGAATCGGTGGGATGGTCAGTCCCTTCGTTGCCCAGATGCTTTTCGCCACGTCTGCCACAGCCTCACTCTGCCTGTGCATCGGCGTGAGCTTTGCCTCGGCACTTCTCATCCATGCCGTGCCAACCGAAACTGCGTCTCGACAACTTTCTTAATAATTATTTGGGCACTTTGAGGGGAGTTTTGTGTGTGTGTGTGTGTGTGTGTGTGTGTGTGTGTGTGTTTTTGAGGGGGGTTGTGTGTGTGTGTTGTTGTTGTTGGTTGAGGGCCTTTCCGTGCTTCCCATTGTACATTAGTTCGCATGTTATTTAACAATACAGCAAGTGTGCTGACCATTCGGTGAACAGTCCTGTGTGTGACCGTCGTCTTGGTTCAGTCTTGCTTTGTGTTTCCACAAAATGTCGTTTCCGCTCTACTCTTCCTTGGCGATTCCGACGTTAGCATCCAGTCCGCATCCATCCCGCGCCCAGTTGGTTCCATCGCAGGGATTCCCTTCTCATCCAACGACAGCCACCGAGGAGCTCACCCAGATTCCCAATGCTCGGTCAGTCTCGAGACGCGAGAGACCTCCCATCACTTGTCAGCTTCCTCCGCTTCCCCGAACTCGACTCTGCCGGCTCTCCCGGCCACTTTATCTCCATCTCCTCCCTTGTTGTTCTTGGTGGCCGAGAGTCGCGCAACGATGCTGCAGCCATTGAAACAACTTGCATTGTCGACCACTCACTTTGGGGGAACCTACCCATCTGCTCTTTGCAATGCCGCCACAGAGTGTCCAAGACGATCAAGCGCCAGATGCTGTTTGGACTGCACGATGACGCTGAGGACGAGGATGTCGGTGGCGCGCGAACGATGGCACTCGCCGATGGGACGTTCAGGTCGAAAGCAGTGATTTTGAAACAAAACTTGAACGCCAAATTTTGGCGCCTTTTTTTTTTGTTTCCTGCTAGCTGTTGATGGGGTTGTGGCTCTTACTCGCACTCACCGATGCGCTTGTGTGGTGTACTTCTATGGATTTCGGTGTTTGATGAACAGCGATACACTTGTGCCGGGCGGAGGAGACTCACAGGCCGATCGCCAGCCGAAACGAGCGCGCGAAGAATCTGAAACTCCCGCCAAAGTCCCGACAAGGGCAACTGACGTGCGACCCCGCAGGTCGCTCAACCGCATGTACGACCGCATGAATCAGCGTCTAATCGCGGCAATGCCGCAACGCGAGCAGGACGGTGTCGAAGGACATCCGCGGAACGAAAATGCCGTCCCAGTCGCGCGCAAGGCCACAGCAGGCAGGCTCTCCCTGCGAGAGCACACGACGGCCACGCCGGACGCTGCTGAAGGGCTACGCCACACGCAGACGGCCATGCTCAACCACCAGTCTGGAATGATCACCAGTCTGCGTCTCTCCAGTCGCGCAGGCCGTTCTCCTTCCCCTGCTCTATTGGCACAAGCAGCGATCATGCACTCGGCAAATCGGGGGCACACAACTCCTGTATTGTCCTCGGAACCCAATTGGGCGCATGCAACTCCTGTACTGTTTTCGGAACCTGGGCAAACGCGGAAGATTTCGTCAAGCACCCTGCAAACTGCTTCCGACACCCACTTGCACGAAGTGGCTCCTTCAGCTGCACCGTCCAACCCACCCATTCAGCTGCCAGTCAGAACCAGCTCTCCGGAGCCCGATTTTGTCAAGATGGGCGCAGCCTTGCGCGACGAAGACGCGATTGTGCCAAAATTCCGACCTGCCGCTGTTGCTCGCGCGGAGGAGCACTTGCATGATGCGCGCAAGAAAGTTGCTCCCTTCATGACTGCGGCTTTGTACGTTGTAACGGCAAAGTTGTTGCCGGTGACAGATGGAGCAGGTGTGGGTTGTTCACCAAAAGGGTTTCCTTGCAAACTGTGCTGACAGAGAGCGCTCCGACAGACGCCAGAGCGGTATTGGCACGGGTGCAGAAGCTTATTCACTGCTCAACAGATACGGTGTCGAAGAAGTGGACGAGGTGGCAGGTGCTGTCGCTGGCATCGCGATCAACCGGGCGCATCTGTTGGCGCGCAAGCGACAGCTTGGACTTCAGCAGGAATAATCGAGTTCAGCTATGATGTGTGTCGCTCTGTAGAAATCGTGTCAGTTTTGTTCTACGCATCGGCGAAAGCGTTGCATCTTTGAAATGAACCCATCGTCGATCTTGACCGTTCTCTTCTACCTCCATGATCAAACAGTTCAACTTCCATTACTTGTAGAGGGGGGTCGCCTGAATATGAACAAAATAAAAGTTGCTGGCTATTCGAGTGCCGCCCGGGTTTTTGACATTAAAGTACTCGACACACTCTTTTAATATATAGGTGCGACGGAGAGGTCGGCGGCGGGCGATGGGTTGGTAGGGTATCGCGTGGCAGTTTCGCTCATTTTGCTGGACGACCATTACGCTTGTTCATATTCAGGCGGACGGCCTCTCTGGTCGCGACCATCCTCATCCAGGCGGACCATCTCTGACCGGTGCCTATGTTGTCGAGTTAGATCTTCCTATTTCTGGCAAGAAGCGGGACAGAATCGCGCAGGGGTGGCCGCAGGGCCCGATGGAGGCTCAACCCAGCCAAACCGCCATACGGCGGCACTTTGGATAGGCGAGTCCGAAGTCCCTTCCGTTATGCAGAAATTGATGTATGCAACATGTATGTTTATTGGATGAACAGGTGTTGGGACGGGAACATCGCGGGGACAAAGCCAAGGTGATTTGGCCGGTGCGACAGATCCACCAGCGCGGGAGGCGCCTGCACAGCCTGATCGGGACTATCGAGGCGCGCTCGTTGCGAAATACGACCGGGTGCATCATCATCATGATCGGGTGCCTGCTCGCGGGCTCGGCGCATTGGACGCAGGCGAACATTTTCCGCCATATTCCGCTTTTCAGCCGGGCTGAGATCAAACTCCACGTCGCTCTCGCTCTGTGTGCCAGTCCGCCGCACTTGACCTAGTCTGGAATCGTCGGAGTCCCAGTCGCTCTGATCCTCGTCGTCTTCGCGGTCCGAATCTTCAGAGGAGCTGTCCTGTGCTGCAGCAGTTCTCACTGGCTCTGCGCTGCGCGACAGCCTCTTCGACCGCGACGCCGTCTTGGGACCCAGGTGTGACGTTGTTTTGCGACCACCATAGCCACGTTTCGGCTGCTTGAGCTGGCTGAGTTGAATCTCTGTCAGTTGGCGTTGAAGCTGAGTGTTGTCAATGGTCATCTGCTGCAACGGATTTACCGTCTGTGTTTGAAGCTCACGAAGCTGCGCATCCAACGCTGCGATAGCCGTGATCAACCTTTGCTTTTCGTTTTCGTACGCGGCAACCCTTGATTGGTATTCCAAGCGGGCAGGCAACAGTCGGCTTTCTTTGCGCTCCTTCTCCGCCGCGGCGGCCTCCTTCGCCAGGGTCGACTGCAGCCTTTCAGGTGTCGTCGCAATGTAGGCCGGAGCCGGTTTAGCCTTGTGCGTAGGATGTGCCGGCAGTGAGAGAGAAAACTTGACCGTCGTGACGACATCTTGGAACGTGAGCGTAACTCCTGTAAGTTTGCGGATTGCCCCGAAGGCCTCATGCTCGATGTATCGCTTGTCCTTCTCGAGAGGTGAGGTAGAGATGTTGCTGAGGGCCACGCTAGAAATATCTTGGATGGCAACCAGCTGCGAGACGGACTGTACAAACGAGGGCGACCCGGACGCTGACGGAGTGCTGGAGGTGGAGGCCTCCGCGTCGGAGGAACGGGACGAGGACTTGCTCCGAGTGAGAACAGGCGTAATGACGGCTGAATCGATCACCGGAGGAGTGTTCTGTCGATCCAGGGATGGAAGCGGGGCGGTCGGAGTTGAATCTGTATCAAGCAGGTCCAGCTCGAGTTCCGATGCAGGAGGGGTTGGATTCAGTATCCACGACTTGTAGAGCGTCTCATCAAGCGGCCAGATGCCAGTCAGTCGAAATCCTGCCCGGATGCATCGCTTTCTTCTCATCACCCTGTCCCAAGCGAGCAGGGCGCAATGAACTCTCATCTTGTCGTCGTTCTCGAACGCCTTGGACTCAATCGCCTGCTTGTACAGGGTTTGCAAAGTGGTTTTGAAGAATCCAAACACTGTGCGGTCCAGCGGCTGCGATTCAGTGCTTGTGTGCGCGGGTAGGACAAGGACGTGGATGTCGCTTTCCAGAAAGCGCGCAAGCACGTCAGCCGACAGCTGGTGCGTCGACGACCCATCCATGACGAGAAGCAATGGCCCTGTTGTGTACTTTGCACGCATGGCTTCTTCCCAGGACGAGAGGTACTTGTGAAACAGCTCTTTTGTCATGTAGCCGTTTGGCGAGACTTCAAATACAGCCTTATTGTCACCCACATCTGCTGTCGCGCTGCGTATCTTGTTGTTTTTCGAGAAGATGATCATAGGCAAGGGCGGGGATGAGCCATCAGCGCAGATGGTGAAAACGCCCGTGATGTGCGCCCCGAGTGAATGCTGGTGCCCCCCTTGAACGACCGCAGAACGCGTGTCTGACGAGGGAGTGCAAATGACACGACCCGCAAAAAAACGGGTCGTGATTTCTGTCTCGTCCATGTTGGAAATCCGACCGGGCTCCTCCACAAGAAGCGGATGCTCATCGAACAGCTGTTTCAAAAGTCCGGGGAGGCAATCGAGTGTTTCAGCTTGTAAAGCGGCAATCCTGGTGAGCTCCAGCGTTCGACCCTTGCGGATGGCTAGGCGCCCGCGAGCATCGCGCAGAAAGGCATTCCACCATTCATGGCTCGGCAGACTGCCGGCGAACTGGCGACGCGGGGCGCCCGACATGCGCGGGAGGCGTGAGAGTTTCACAAGATAAGCGCCCGCCTGCTTCTGGTTGAGACACTGCCCAGCCCGGGCAAACCCCTCCAGCAGCCGGATACAGTACTCCAGTTCATCTTCAGTGAAAATGCTCTGTCCTCCGCACGATGGGCTCTCCTTGACGAGCTGGAGCACCTGATCGAGCGGGCTGGAACGAATCCACTCGGCCGAATCAGCGTGTTTCGTTTTCCAATCATGAACTGTGGTGTGACCGCACTGATAGCCCTGTTCCGCCAGCCGCGCGGCTATGGCCCGTGTTGTCCAGCCTGTAGGGCGATAGATTTCGCCCCCTTGAAGGGTCACAGAGTCTTGGTAGACAAGCTTGAGAGCGACTGCGACGGCAACATTGTGCTTTTCTCCTTCGGGCGCAGCCTTCACTGCCTGCAGCCACGCGAGACACCGAGTTGCCGCCTCGGATGCACCCGCCATCGATAAAAAAGAATGACTTTATTATAAATGCAAACTGGGGAGCAGATCAGAGACCACGAAGTCGACTTGTGACGCAAATACCAGTGTGTTCATATTCAAACGGAAAACCCTAATGTAGTCCAGCGAACACTTTTTGTTCATATTCAGGCGACCCCCCTCTACTAAATACAGATAGTTTGTTGCCAAATGCCCTTTTTTGTATACACACTGTGCACTCTCTGAACACCCGACGAAAGTTGCTCAAGCTTGCTCGGCAAAGTATTGCAAGCGCATGGCTTGTCGGTGCTCAGCCTGGGCCGCGTCGAGAGCATCCAAGCGGTGCTGTTGAAATACCAGAGCACGACGGTTCTTGGGGTTGAACTTGGACAAGCACGAGTGATCCGGGCGGGTTTTGGACACCTCGCACTGATGTAGGTATTCGACATCCTTGGCGCTGCCAATCAGTGAAATGTCGGCAAACCTTGAGGTGGCAGTCAAAATTCCGTCGCGCTCGTGGTGTGCGTTCACGTAGGCAGGAGTGTCGCCGGACATGAAGACAAAGTCCAGTCGAGCAATCCGGTCCCAGACAATGTGGGTCGAGTTACGAAAGTACCAGACGCGATGCCACGGAATCTCACCAACCGGGAACGGCTGGAACTCTGACAAGGCCATTTCGCACAGACCAGTGATGCGGTCCATGTACCCAATGTAATAGTCAGACTCGGGCTCGCGACCGCGAACATGAACGCCATCCTCCTCGTACGCTTCGGCGTCGCGGTCCCACTGCAATCGACCATAAATGTCGGCCGCTGTGCGCAGCTTGGCCTTGCTCGATGAAGCGTGAATGTCCTCGGGCTCGGGAGATGCAGGCCTGGCACTAGCAGCAGCAGCAGCAGCAGCATGTCGTTGTTGGTCAGGTTGCTCGTCAATCTCGGCAGCCTGGTGGCGCTGGTTGTTGTTGTTATTTCGCCGCATGATCTTTGTTGTCTAATGCTAGCGTAGTCCAACGATGCTGTGTTCTTGAATGAAAGAAACGAAAATAAAAGAAATAAAGAGTGTGTTGATGAATCCAACATTGCTGGCCTATTTAAAATCGATTCCAAAAAAAAAAAAAAAAAAAAAAAAAAAAAAACGAGCCAAAATCCTTACGTAATGTGTGCCGCCGTCATTTTACCTAAATAGCGCACTGCTCGGTATCTGAAAGTGTGTTTCGCTGCCGGCCTCGACCACCCCCGCCATCATCTCATCAGTGGCAAGCCTTTTGAGTGTGATTGAGAGCGTGTAACATGGTGCAACTGCAAACTGCGAAGGAGAATGAGGGACACGCGCTAAGACACGTTGGGACAGCGTTCTTTTGTTTTCAAGCTTTCAGATCGATGAATGTCCAGTATGAGCTCAAATGCATGATGTTGGATGATCATGCTGAAGCACACAAGTGCAGCCAAAACGTGCCAACCAGAGGAAAGAAAAAAAAAGTCCTATATTACGAAACGAACTAGTCTACAGTCAAAAGATGCGAAACTTCACAAAAAAAAACCACGACAAACAAAAACCGCCTCGAGTCACGTAATGCGAGCACGAGAACTTGTTGGCGAATCGTCCAGTGCGGGCAGCGAAAGCCGTCGTTTGACGCCAACAGAGGGCTGGGTCCGCTGCGAAAACATTTGGATGCCAGTCTGGGATCCTGCGGAGGAAGCTTGGGATGAATGCATGGGTGAGCCCGCACTGCCAGTCCGAGAGGGCTCTTGAGCAGCAGCAGCCGCAGCTGCGGCCAGGGCAAACGACGCGTCGGCTGCAAACAAGATGAGCTGTTGTGAAGATGCAAACTCGTCCGAAAGCTCCGCTTCTGCGACCGCCATGCTGCCGTTGCTACGCCCGGCGGTCGGAAGTGCTGCTGCCAGTGTTGGTGCTACGGCAGTTTCAGCTGGGCGGTCGGGAGAAAGCGAACGTAACAGTGCCTTGGTTTGTGTGTTTCGCCGACCACGAGATCGGTTTGATGGTGCTGGAAACGGTGCGTCAGATCCAGATGCGATGCCAACTCGCTCGTAGCGTGGTTCCGATAGTCGCAAAGTTGAGACATGAGCAAGGAGCTGTTTTCGACATGGTTGAGCGGCCAATCAAAATTTCAAAAGTCAAACTACTTCAAAACTCACCACCAACACCCAACTCCCGCACTCGCCACGCTCAAAAGCTTACCATTCGCGCCGCAAGGGGCCGACAATGCAGTGCCTGAACAAACTTCGTCACATTCGACCAACAGACAGAAAGCAGCTTGCACGCTCGATGTTGCGCCACAATGGCCAAGCGCTGTTCGTCTTGCAAAAAGACGCGCATAAGACGCCGACGCAAAAGAGCGCGAGTACCAAGGGCATCATGCAGTGCCGAGTGAAAGGTTGGGTGCTCCAGCTCGTCGACCCGCTCCGACCAAGCGCTTGTTGCGGCGTCAAGTTTTGTGGGGAGAAATCGATTCATCGCCAAAATGCAACGATCAATGTTAAACGGCGCGGATCCCAACTCTGTCATGATGGCCTAATGGGGTTTTTGTTTCCATCCACGACGCAACAGCAAATACACATGAGAAACGGGGGCGGCAAAACCAAATTTCTGTACAACAAACGGAAAATACAAAAAAAAAAAAATCAGCAGGAGCAGCGCGGCAATCCTTACTTCTGTTCGAAGATCGGTTGTGAGCTCAAAGTACTTGTGCGGATCTGGTGGAGTGAGAATGGTCTGAGGTTGGGACGAGTCGTAGCAAATGGGACCAATCGCTTCAAGCAGATTCAGCGCGGCTGGCAACTCGCTCGCCTTCCCGCGCTCGGCCAGCTCAGACAGCCCCGTGATGATCAATCCATGCGATGTGGATGCTGCGAGCCCATCCGGCGGCTCGAGTCGCTCGACTGGACACACGGTCGCGAGTGCTGGTGTTTTTGTCGTAGTTGTTTCAAGCAAGCAAAAGTCAGCGAAAGTAAGCGAAACACGCGTCAAATGCATCAGCAACGAGACGAGATGTTGTTCTCGTTCAAAGAAGGTGGCTTTGTGGTGGGACTTGCTGGCAAGTGAGCTTTGGTTTTGGCGCTTTACCTTGGACGAAAGAACGATCGCGGCGTTCGCACGCAAAGGCGAGCATCCACGCGAGGACGGCGTCGTCTGTGCGCGTCGTCGTGGTCATCGTCGTCGTTTGGGAACGAGTGCTGGCATCAGCACTGACGCAGGAAGCGCTTGACGAGGAGTGGTCTGGGGATGCGACGCGCTGCTGCTTCGTGGCTGGATCGCGCGTTGTGGCGCCAAATCCGAATTGGCGCCAAGGCTGCATCCAGCAAAAAAGGCTCGAATCGCTGTCGTGCGATTGGAACGCGCGAGCTCGATCTTGATTGTGTGTACTTGTTTTGTTTGGTGATAAAACACGGCAGCGGACTTGTGAGCTGTGGGGAGGCCAATTTTTCGGAGCGTCCGGGCAGCAAAGTGAAGAAAGAAAATGAATGACTGCCAGTCCCCGCCAAGCCAGACTTGGTGAAGTTTGAGCGGCGAATATCGCTGATACACTGATTGTGCGGTTTTGGTACAGTACTTTACGGCCACGGTTGCAAGATGTGGCGAGCGATTCCTGAGCAGCTCACGTTCGAATGGATCAAAGCGCTTGTCAACTCCGATTCATTCCCACAGATTGACTCTTGACTGTGGTGTTCCATCCACGAGCTACGACCTGTTTTTGGTTGCTCTTGATTGGCTCGAAGAGCTCAGAAAGTGTCGACTGCATTATCGAGCAATCGCTCCTCTGCACAGATCAAAATCGCTCGTCCTGTGCCTCCGGTCCCCCCCCCCCTCTTCGGCAAAGCAGGCTGTAAAAAAAGGTGCTACATCACATTCAGCGAATTTTGATGAGACACGAGCGCCGAATGACGTGCTTTGCGACATTGCTGTCTGATTGTGTAATCACGGTTTGCTGCAACCAAAAAAGCTCAGAGCGTTCTTAAGCCAAACTGAACTTTAGTCGCCAGTCCTTTATTTTTGCTGCAAGATCATTGACGCACTTTGCCACACATCATGTTGCCTGGATCGACATCGCGGTCGACTTCCGGCAAGGGTAAAGCAGCCGCGTCGACGAATGATGACGCTGATGGAGCCGCTGAAGGGAGCATCAAGTTGCGCACGAGCGAGGACGTGTACCATCGTCTGATCTGGCAGGACACTGAACCCGACGCCGCCTCAAACAACGGTGTCAACAATGACAATGACGACCACGGACAGGCCTACGCAGCGGACGGCGAGGCTCAGGGCGCCAGAGCAGCCGCCGATCGTGCTGCAGCCGCTCTAGCGGGTGAACCATTCGATTCGCGCACAATTGCTCGCGTGCGCGTCCGGATGGGCTACGAAGACCGCATTCTGGGCATGGTCGAGACATCGCTGCTCGAGTGGAAGCCAATGCCAATCGGCGATATTCCGTGGCATCGTGTGTGGTATTACCGGTAAGGCATTTGGTTGAAAACTATTACATCATCTGGATTGTCAGCATTCTCGCAGCCACAGCACACACCACACGCTCACCCCTGTGGCCAGCAAATGAGAAATCGGATGAAGAAGGTGAACCAACGAGATCTGCAGAAAATCACTGGCAGGCGAAGGACTTGCGGCGAAGAAGGCAGAGAAGGAACGAATTGCTGCGATTGGCCGAGTTTCGCATCGAAATGCCGCCAATGCACGACGTGAACACTGTTTGAACACTGACGACGTGAACACTGTTTGAACACTGACTTGATCCGTTTGATGTGTGGCATCGCTTCTTCTTTTTCGGTTTTTCCCCCCCCCCCCAAGTGTGGACGACCAACTCATCTGGGATCGCGCAGAACGCGTGGACTTTGTGTTTGGATCGGGCAACGTACCGGCATCGGGATTGTGCCCAAGTTTCGCCAAGTCGCGATACGCGTCTGCATTGAAAAACACGGCCAAAATGCACGCCATTGAACAAGCGCGTCGTGGCGGCGGTAGCTCACGTGGGCGTGGTCGAGGCAAGCAGGGTGGTGCGGCATCGGACGCCGTCGCAATGGCGTCGGCAGGTGTGGGTGCAACCATGGCTGCCACTCGCTCGGCCCATTCCAACGGTGCGTTCGTGCCCAAGGGCATCACCATGCTCAACGTGTATCGATTTGATGCAGCTCAAGGAGACTGGATTGTCGATGGTGCTTCGCCCAGCGACCAGCCGATCGCTCAGGAATATCTGGCTCGGGCTCGCGCACGCGATCAGCTCAAAATCGTGACTTTCAACGTCTTGTTTGATGTCTATCAGCCAGAGCTCATCCATACAAAGGAACGGACGCCACGTATGCTGGCCTTCCTCGAGTCGCTTGACGCGGACGTGATTGCGCTGCAAGAAGTGACTGGGCACTTTCTCGCCCAGCTGCTCGAGGCTCCGTGGGTTCGCGCGAGCTATGCCGTGTCCGATATCCCCGGTGGTCCCACGCAAAATCCGACTGGCCAGCTGCTCATGTCCCGGCTTCCCTTTGAAGAGTGAGTTTTTTGGACGTGGCTTGTGAAGAAGAAATGCGAGGTGCGAGGCGGGGTTCTCACATCCTGAATATTATTGGTTGCGTGATGCAGTCTTTCCATGTCTCAGATCAACGCGAAAAAGAAGGCAGTGGTTGGACGCTTGCAAGGCTTGCATCCAGACCGGTTGACCAAGATGATTGTTTTGCACCTCACCAGCAACATGCATGGCGATGCCAGCCTGCGTCGTCGCTCCCAGTTGACGAGCATTGTTCAGCAACTGTGTTCTCCTGGTAAGTGTTTGTTCGTGGTGGGCTGCGGGTGGCTGGTTTTTTTTTGTTTGTTTGTTTGTGTTTCAGGAATTTTCCGATGATAGACTCAATTCATGATTGGTACTGAATTCTGTCTGCAGATGAAGACACGGTGTTGCTGGGTGACTTCAACATGTTCTCCTCGGAAACGCTGGCGCCGCGATTGCAGGACGTCTGGGCGCATTTGCATCCCAACGACGATGGATTCACCTTTGACTCAAAGCACAACCCACTCGCTGCCATCATCTCCCCCAATGGCACGCGTGAGCGGCTTGATCGCATTTGCCTGTTCAGTCCGTCGCGGTGCTCTCTCAAAGCAGCAGGCATTTCGATTGTGGGGCGTGAACCGTTCGAGTTTGTTCCGACTGCCCCAGCAACTGATGCAGCTGCTGCTGCTGCTGCTGCTGCTGCGGAGCCGCTGGCACCAATCTCTTGCATGCTTTCCGATCATTATGGTCTTGAATGCACCCTGCAGACACGCGGTGACTTTGACCCATCCGCAGAGGCCGAAGTTGAGTCCTCGGAGGAGGATGCCCTGTTTGCACTGTCCGCCTTGCCTATGGTGCACCATTCCGCCGTATGCATCATTCCGAGCCCGGCCATTTGGGCGCCCATTCAAGCCATTCGAGCCAAGCACGACAAGTCGTTTGACCGATGGATGCCTCACATTAATCTCGTTTATGGGTTTATTGCAGACGAGGCGGATCAGTTTGACACGGCTGCCAGCCGCTTCACCCGAGCACTCCAAGGCAATGCACCCACCTTCACCATCACTCTTGCCGAGTTTGACATGTTCCAGCATGGCCGGAGCTGCACGGTGTTCTTGAAGCCAACCGTCTCGAGCGTGCAGCCTGGACTGGCAGACTTGTTCGTCCCGATTGACGAGGCATCCGAACGGGCGCGGCTTACATCCCTCGCCGTGCCGCAAGATGAGATTGTCGCCGATCTGAAGCGCCGACATGAACAGCAGGCCATCCTGCATTTGCAGCGGATTTTGGAACAGCAGTATCCCCAATGCGTTGAGCAGAGTTCGCGCTCGCCCAAGGGGTTTGTACCTCACCTCACGGTTGCGCAGTTCGGCACATCTGCTGAGGCGCTACGCTTCATTCGCCAATGGCAGGCCGACTGGAAGCCGCTGACGTTCACAGTGTCGACGGTCAGTTTGATCAGTCGGCATGGAACAGACCCCTTCTCCGTGAGCAAGACTGTGTACATTGAGCCGCAGGCTGTCGCCCAAGACGCTGAGGATGGCTTGGTCGCGTCGTCCAATCCAGCCCATGGCGGCGCGAGCTCATCCAGCAGCGCTGCTCCCTCCAAGAATGCAGCTGCCTTTGCGACCATCGTTTCTGTGTTGAAGCGAATTGTTGGTGAGCATGCCTCCATTCAGCTGACCGGATCGCATCAGCTGGGTGTGGACACGAGCGACTCTGACCTGGATGTTCTGTGCTTGGGACCCCACTCGTTGTCGCTCGATGCCTTCCAAGCTGCTGCGGTGAACGAGTTTGAAGCGAGTAAGGCGTCTTGCTGGAAAGCGGGGGAGGGTTTTCGGTGGTTTTCAATCCATGGTACCGGAAATGTTTGCAAATTGGTACTCACGCATTGCCTTTCGTGTTGTTGCTCTTTGCTGTAGTTGGGCTGCGATCCGTGCGACCAGTCTGCGACGCGCTCGTGCCTCTTGTGAAACTGGTCTTCCGTTCGGGCGCTGAAGCAGACCTGTTGTATGTGCGTCTGCCGGCCGATGCTCATCTTCCCTGCACACCGGCTCAGATCAAGCCGAGAAGCCTCAAAGCCATGGATAGCACCGCTCAACTCACGCTGCAAGGCTGGCTGGAGAATGACGCGTTGGTCAATGCCATCCCTCAGCCACTGCTCTCAACCTTCCGCTCACTGTTGCGAAGGGTGAAGCAGTGGGCCCTTGCTCGTGGAATTTACTCGAATGCAGCGGGCTTTCTAGGCGGGTTTTCGTGGTCTGTGTTGGTCGCACACTTTATGGTCAAAACCAAACCGTCGCCTCTCGGCGATGAAGACCAGGATTCGACAGGGCGCCCTCTTCTGGCCCTGATGCACGCGTTCTTTGTTCACGTGGCCAACTGGCCATGGCCGCAGCCGATTCTGCTCAACATGCCGTTGGGTGCCACGCTTCCAGCAGACGCGATTGGCGAGTCTGTCATGCCCGTCATGACACCGACTTGGCCCACCCGCAACTCTGCGCGAGTCGTCTCCGTCTCAACCCTGAGTGTCATGCGTGCAGAGCTGCAACGTGGCGCAGATCTGACTGCGGCAGCCGATTGCTCGCTGGCTGCCGTAGCCGACCCGCTGGGCGTGTCGACGTTGGCGAAGGGCATTCTGGTGGTCCAGCTGCAGTGCTTGAACAAGAGCGAGCTTGAGCGTGGTGCAGGCTGGCTGCTTTCGCGCTTGGGCGTGCTTGTCCATGAGCTCGAGCGCTGTGGTGTTGCCTGCCGACCCTTGCAGCGCGTGCTGCAAAACATCCACGAAGGGTACACTCGGGCAGAGCAGGCTGCGGGTGCTCATGGCAAGGCGCCAATGTGCAACTACCCACTCACCGCCACTGCTCTGATTGGCATGTCGCGCATGAATGCAGCGGTTGAGGGCACCGCCGCCGCTCCTCCGCCCGACTTTTCCTCGGCGCTGGTGCGCTTCCGCGAAATGTTTGAAGCCTGGTCTGGAAAGGGGTTTGCAAACCTTGAAATGCTTCCAGTGAAGGCAACCAGCACAGTGGTGGTGGCCGCAGACTTTGCGTACCAGACGCAAGTGCTTGGTCGATGAATGCGTCGAGCTGTGGGGTTGTGCTTTGATTGTTTGCGTTGTTTGCATTGGTTGTTTGGTTGTCGCCGTTGTTTTTTATTGGTTGTCGCCGTTGTTTTTTAATTAGTTGTCGTCGTGGATTAAAATGGGCTAGCTCACCGCCATCATTGATTGAACATTGCACAAATTGCTTTTGCTTCTGTGTGTGTGTTTTGTTTTGTTCGTACAACTCAACCGTGTTCAAGACAATGACGGTTTTGCGGCGCTTCGTTGCTTGATGAGCTTCTCCAACTCGGCAGATTTGCGCGACGCCAGGGCCAGGACGTCGTGGGGAAGGCCCGCCAACCGAGCTACGTTCAACCCATAGCTGCGGTGAGCAACGCCGTTCGCTAGTTGGTAAAGGAAGGCAATAGACTGGATATCATCTGGAGTTCCGTCGACGCAGACGAATGCGAAATGTAGTCAGCAAAAAGCCTGAAATTGCTGCAGCTGAAGGGAAAACAAACCAACAAAAAAAACAACGACTCTGCCAGTACCTGACTCGCTGGGAGGGTTTGCGTCTTCGGGCTCCTCATCGGTATGGCCATTGTCGACAAATGCCATGTGGTGGTTGGACACATGTCGTGGGTAGGTACTTGCAAACTCACCGAGTGCAGGGTAGTGCGTGACGAAAAGCGTGAGGGGTTTCGACTACGATTCACACCAGTGAGGTGACACGACAACGCAAACACCAACAAGTTCAAAACAAAAGTTGTGGGTGTGTGTGGGGGGGGAGTGTGTGTGTGTGTGGGTGTGTGTGTGTACCTCTGCTATCAAATAGTCCAAGGTCGCATGAGCAATAGCTAGACCGTCGAACGTGCTCGTGCCGCGACCGAGCTCATCCAGAATGACGAGCGAGCGATTCGTTGCGTCTTTGAGAATCCGCGATGTTTCTTGCATCTCGACCATGAACGTGCTGAAACCTCGCTGAATGTGGTCGGCGGCACCCATTCTGAACAAAAAAGCACATCATCGATGGAAACTCATCCAGTGGGCGTCATCGTTCATTCGAGGTTGAGGATGTCATGGTTTGCTACCTACCGAGTGCAAATGGCATCGATGATGCCGATTCGGGCCGATTCGGCGGGTACCCAGGAACCAATTTGCGCAAGAATCGCCAAAAGTGCAACCTGGCGAATGTAACAACTTTTGCCACCCATGTTTGGGCCCGTCACAATCCGGCAGCGCAGTGAAGGTTGCTGCAGAACAACAATAGCGAGTGGTCCAGATGAACGACAAGAAGATACGAAGAGGAATCAGCAACGACTGAAAGACAAAACGTACATGGAGATGGACGTCGTTCGGAACAAATTGACCGGAAAGCAGGACATCCACCATCGGATGTCGGCCTTGCTTGACGTCAATGAGGGCGACATCTTCTGTGGAGATGACGGGACGCACATAATTGTCGAGCTTGGCCACTTCAGCGAGCGCATACAGGCAATCGAGTTGAGCGAGACGGTCGACCACCTTGCGGAAGGTGTCGTAATGTTGGGCGAACTCCCTGTTGGGTTTTTTTTTTCAAACTATAAAGTCAGGCCCGAACATGAGAGGCTGTTCCCAACGCAAACCAAAAGCACTCACGAAAGCATGCCAGCCCACGCGCGCTCGCAGTCGGTATCCAGTTGTTCTCGAAGCTGATTGAGCTCGCGAAGCTTGGTGGCCACAACAGGAGAGTGGAAGCGCACAGTGGCCTTGGTTTCACTCATTTTCAGCCAATCACGAGGAACAAGCTTGAGGCTGGGTTTCTTGACATCGATGAGATACTGTGTGTCGAGCAAAAGCGAATTTGGCAAGCAAGGAATTAGAATGACTGTCAACTCTGGAGTGCACAAAACAGATTGCTCCATCGTTGCTCACTTCTTCAGTTAACACAGTCAGGTACTCGAGCGAAGGCGTGCCCAGCAGCTTTCGAACCTCGCGCAAATGTTGCTGGAGTTGCGCCTCAACCTCGGCAATGGCCTGTAGTAGGAACAAAAACCGAAGACACAAAGCGGCATCATTGAGTCGGGAATCAACGTGAACAAAATACATTCCGTTACGAGCGTGCGCGTGTGTGCATTGTCTTACCAACTTTCCACGCGTCACGGAGCGAGGCTCTTGAGAAGGGACAAACAAGGACCGCTTGTGCTTTTCTTTGGCACCTTTCGAATCCAGGCGAGTCACAAATTCGGCAATGGTATCAGAGATTTGAATGTTGCTCTCGCAGATTTGCTTCAGCAGGACGGCGTGGACGCGAGAAAGAGAATGCCGCGTTGAAAACACCTCTCCGGTGCCTTCAGGTGGGCACCAAAAGCGAAATTCGCCCGACATGCGGTTGAAGGCGTGCAAAAGCATCAAGAATTCCGACGGAGAGCACTGTAGGTCATACAAGTGAGACGTCCGATGCGTTGGGATTGAAATTCGCCAGAAGGCAAGAAAACAAGGACTGACCTTTTGATAGTAAATTCGGCACAAACCCTTGTCCAAATCGCCGACACTCTGTAGCATCTTTTTTGTTTTGGCGAACATTGGCGCTTCGCTTGTCAAGAGCTCTTCGATTGCGTCTTGCCGGTTCAGAATGGCGCTGCTCAAGAACAGCACATGCAAGTGTGAGCGGGGGGGGGGAAAGAAGCGCAAAAGCAGGGAGCATGTGCATTTGGCAAAGCTATCACCCAACCTTCGATCCAATAGTGGCTGAGCAATCCAGGTCCGAAGCAGACGCCGTCCGAAAGGAGTGACAGTGTGATTGAGGAGTGCAAACAAGGTGCCGGTCGATCCACCATCGGTCTCATTACGGAAGACTTCCAAGTTGGAAAGGGTCAACCCATTCAGCAGCATGTGGTTTCGCTGATGGAAGTGGTGCAGGTTGGAGGTCAGCAGCAGAACTTGGTCGAGTCCAAAGTCGGAGAGGTAGCGCAAGAGCGCCCCAAAGCATCGAACAATCCCCTGCGATAAGTTGAGCACGAGATTGAGAGCAGCAGCGCCATCGGTTGTGGAGGTGGCTTGACCATCGATTTCCATCAAAGTAGCATGTTCTGTTTGCACAAGCAGTGGCAAGTTAGTTCATGCAGCTATCAGGCTGACGGAAGCTGGAAAGGTCAGATGGGTGGGTGGATGGGCGACAATCCACCGACACACATACCGTCACTCGACTCGTGCTCGGACGCACTGTGAGAAGACGACTTGGAACGGAGGTGGGCCTCCGATTTGGTGCGCGAAGCAGTAAAAAAACGAGTAATATCGGACACTGCGCTTTGATAATCAAACTGTGCTACGGGGAGGCGTTCAAGGCGTATTTCGGCCTCACTTCGACCTCCACCATAGGCCAGCGCAGCAATCAACTGTTCCGTGCGAGTCGAAAGTTGCATTGGCAAAATCAGTTCCGTTGGTCGCAAGTGGGCCAGTCGCGTTTCGAGCTCGGAGCGAGTCAGGCCGTCAGAGAATTCGTCATAGATTATGTCACCAGTGGAGGGACGAACAGCCTAATACCAGAAAACGCAAGCGCGGCAGAAAACAGAGGCGATCAGCATTGGTTCCAACGCCGGCCGCCCACTCTTCCGACCTGCATTCCACTTTCCAATCCCCAAGCTCCACGAAACGTACAACAATCGCAATCCTAGTGGCGGGCGTGAGTGGACTCGAATGACGCTCTGCAGCGGCCAGTGCAGAGTTGTCGGCGGCAACTAGCTCAAAGATGCTCATTAAATAGTGCGAGCTCCCCGTCTCGTCTTCAGCCGAGTCGTTCTCAGCCTCGATGTCGTCTCCAATCAAGGTAGCGCGCGTGTAGAGTCCAGTTAGCTTGCGATCGAACGGGGCCGACTTGTTGTCACCCGCGGCTTTCAGCGCGGCGGTTTCCGTCTGCCGCACAACGCCCACCTTGTATCCGAGATTCACCAGACTGCGTTTTTTTAAAAAAAAAAGAAGATGGCAGCCGTGAGCAATGCAGAAATGGCATCGTTGCTGCCAGTGATAGAGGAGCACGCGTACCGTTTAACATGCACTGGAAGTCGATGGGTGGGAATACTCGCCGTCATAAAGTTGTGGCTCGGAAAGCAGCCAATGCTGAGCTCCTTTGCCGCAATCTGAGGGCAGAACACAAAAAAGGCATGGTTGAGTTGTTGCAAAAAGCGCAAGGAGGACAGGACCAGCAAAAGTACTCCTTACTCACCTCAGCATCGTCTCCAAAGAAGCGAAACTTGTACCCGCATTCGACAAACAGAACAGCATCAGGATGCTGGACCTTGACATCAATGTATTGTTGCTCGAGTTGGGTGAAGGGTGATTTGGCCTTTTTGTTACCGGCAGCCGCTTTCGGTGTGAGAGCTGCAATCTTGAGACGGAAGAGGCGTCGAGCTTCGTCAACGGCAATACCAGCTGCAGGCGTGCATAGCTTGGCAGAGGTCGATGTGGCGGCTGAGGTGCTGGCAGCAGCTTCCGCTCGCTCTTCCAGCTCAGCGTCCATGCGCACGCGAAATTCGGCAAACTTTTTGGAGCGTTGGGTGCCACCAGAGCCGCTTGCTGCTGCCGACGCGTGGGGTGCGTTGAATGCAGACAGAACTTTGGCAACGCTCGCGAGTGCTGCAGTCGGCTTGGACTTTGCTGGTTTCGTGTTGCGGCGTGATGATTTCGCATGGCTTGCGTCGTCCGATTCATGTTCTTCTTCATCCTCTGACGACTCCGATGACGACGACGACTCGGGTTTGGCAAATTCGGCATCAGAGCCATCGTTCTCGTCGTCATCCGAATCTACTTGGACACGCCGACGCTTCCGCGTAGAAACAATTGCATGTGCATCCTCGTCGTCCTGGTTGGTGGAGGAATCGGCTGTACGAGTCGTCGCTCGAGTGCGGCTCTTGCCCGTCTGCTCGCCCCTGTTCGGACTTGCGTGTGATGCATCTGAGTTGAGGCTGGTAGGCGGATCGGGTTCGCTGTCATTCGCTGGTCGCTTGGATCGGCCTGGAGCATGCGGCGGTGTCTGTGCAATGTTGTCACGCTGAAACGCTGCGCAGGTCAAACGCCACACCCCACGCACGTCGCATAACCGATGGATCCAATCAACAGGATACAGCAAAGTGAGCCACAGAGTCCTCGAAAGCAAGACCAGACAAGCACAAAAAAAAAAAAAAAAAAAAAAAGGCGCCAAATTCTCGCGCGCAACCAACCTGCCAATCGATCGCTCGCTTCGGCGGCTTGGCGAGCTGCAGCGGACGGCTTGGGTGCACTCGAGCTGCTGCTGTTGCTGTTGCTGCTTGTTGATGCGGCTGTGCGAGTGACAAACCCAAGGATGGACGGCTGGGCAGACGCCGCTGCTGGCTTTCGAGGCGAAAACCCCAGCTTGCCCAACGCACCGAGTTTGCCCATCTCCCCTCAGCTGCGCAACCCAACGCAATACGAAAGAAGGACTAGATTGGGATCAGAAGTGCAGCCTGACATGAATTGAATTGAATTGAGATGTGATTGTTAGTTTGCAGCACAATGGAAGCGGTCAGTGAACTTGACTTGTGATTTCGGCAAAAGGACGCTGGTCTTCTTCAGCGAACGTCGAAGCAACATGGAAAAGAAACGCATAAAGTGATAATTGACGGTCTTTGTGCAAATCCCGACTGACAACATGTCGATGGAACCAGGCAGACCAAAAAAAAAAAAAAAAAAAAAAAAAAAAAAGAGCAAAAAAAAAGCAACAAAAAAAAAGAGCAAAAAAAAATGCTCGACTGCCGGGGATCGAACCCGGATTTGCACGGTGACAGCGTACGGTACTAACCATTATACGACAGTCGAAGCTCTTGATGGACGTCTCATGGGCGGACGAGGCCTCGAGTCAGCAGTAGATAGTCGGAACTTGTCGATTCGAACCAGAACAATACGCCTAAATCCCTACGGGTTCCATAATGAATGGTAAAATGGTAATCATGAGATATCACCATAATCGACCCACCATTGTGATCGACTTGATGTGGCCAATAATAGTGTCAGAGGAGTGGCGGTGCTCAGATGAGCGGTTTTCTCAGAAAATCGAAAAATCAAAATGGCCTCGAGGCGACCGCAAAACAGCGCCACAAGCGTTCTTCCAGGACCAGTGCAGCAGAGCATCATAATCTTTGCTCAACTTTGCACCCCCCGCATTTTCGAGATCGAGCACACCGACTGCCTAGGGTGCATCGCGTACTATCACGGCGAGGAAGCGCGCAGGATAGAAACACTGTTTTGACCCCCAGAAGAACGCCACAACGCCGGTCGCCATTGCCGAGCTCGATTTCCGACGTGTCCAGTCGGTGTCGGACCGCGCACTTTTCAGGGGTGATTACAGATGATATTTACAACCGTTTTGGCTCAATGGCGGGGCGATCGCGGTGGGGAGCGATTTTGTGTGAAGCTGGATCTTTACCACTTTGGGCTGGATTGAGCCACTCTTTTCTGTTGTTCTTCAGAGCCATAGGTCTCAGGTCGATTCTTGTACTTTTCCGTCCTCACGAGACCGACCAGACCTGCAACACACACACACACGTCAAGCAATTCATCCAAGCATAAGAACCCGACACACAAGAGCCAGCGAGCGCACGAGGCGAGATGGAGGAGGACGAGGAGATCCAGCCGCAACCAAGCTACGAGACATGCAGTGTGCGGCTGGTGGTCCTTCACGACCTCGTTCCCGACGCCAGCCAGGATCGCTTCATGGATCTGGATGTACCTGTTGCCCAGCCAGAGGCGCTGCCAACGTACGGCGATGTGGAGCGAGCCTTGCAGACCCATGACTTTAGAGAAGTTGCCTTCCGCCCAAACCCTCAGTTTTGGTGTCCAGTCGTTGGCGTCAAGAACAAGTTCTACCCGTCAAACAAGACGATTGCACACCCCGAATGCGTTCATCTTTCTGTCAGGTTGCGTTGCCCCTGTTGCAAATCCAACATCCCGCGGTCGCGATTTCACAGCGCGAACAAAACTTGAGATTGTCTTCCGTGCAACCCGCGTCCACCGACTTGGCCGACGACGAAACTAGCGTAATGCAAGATGATAGGGACGACATTCTTGAATCTCTTAACGACCAAGACGGGCACGACGAAAACTGCCGCTCAAGAACGCCTCGGAAGCGCAGGGGAGTCCATCTCACCAAGGAGGAGCGAGACAGACTTCCGCAGTGGAGCCCTAGTACGACGCTCATTCCTGTTCGAACACGCCGTTGGTATTGCTTCAATAGACGCGATCCGTCGAGGCCGCCTACGACCGTGCCAGACACACCAACTCTCCAACAACGATTTATTCGCGCCTGCTCCAGCAAGAAGCGAGTTGACAACAACTTTCAGTTACGTCCGGAGCTCGGCGCCGGATCCTGCAGTTTCGGCCTGAGATTGACGGAGCTTGGCCAACACACGCACGGCGAGCTGCACCTTATTGGGTTCAAGCTCGAGCAGATGGGTCGCCACGACATGGCTTGCACCGACGGCTCGCTCGCTTTCAAGCAGCGCGCGCATCCTGAAATCAAAGAGTGGGTCATGGATCTGGTGCGCAAGGGGTGCTCGGAGGCGTCCATTGTAGCGCAGTTGGAAGGGCCAACTCTCAACCCGCCGCCTCGCCCTCTTTCAAGTTGGAACGTACCGTACACTTCTGGTCGCTGGTATCCCACCAAAGACGCAATTCGCATGATGATAGTCAACTCAAGCAGCGAGAAGCTACATGGAACCGACCAGCAGCGCATCGACCAATTTCTCGCGTCAACCTCGTCGTATGCCTGCTCTCACCCTCACTCGCTCTACCAAGATGGGCAGTGCCCCGGCGAAAGCCAATACGGCGACAAAAGCGATGTCATTTATCATCAATTTGTTCACTGCGACTGCCAGAGCTGCCTCGAAATCCCCCTGAGGGAGTCGAACATTCTGATTTTAATGACGCCTTGTCAGCGGGCAACGTGGGACGCCCTTCGTCCCAAGGTCCTGTTCCTGGATTCAACCTTCTCAGTCAACCGCTACGACTGGGCGACAACAGCACTCGTTGCTGCTGACGAATCAGGCGCTGGTGTTGTGCCGCTGGCGTTCATGATCTCCGACAGAGATCGCGAGCATGAATATGCGCGGTTCTTGTCCGAGGTCAAGCACGCCGTAGGTGAAGCGTTTAATCCGGTGCGCATCGTCATCGACAAATGCGGCGCTGAGCGAAACTGCATCAATCAGGCGGTGCCGGGTGTGCAGGTGGCAACTTGCTGGTTTCACGTCTGCCAAGCGGTGGAGCGCCAGTACCCGGGCAGACTAGATCTTCTCTCGTGTATGGCTAAAATGCGGTATGCCAGGAATGCACAAGAGCTGAAGGACGCGAGCAACAGCTTGCTCAATGCCGCCGGCGAGTTCCAAGGTTATTTTCTGTCTCAGTGGCTCAACGAACGAGATATTAAAACCTGGACGCTCTTCCACCTTGGCTTGGTGCGTGATGCGCTGGATCAAGGCCACACCAACAATTTGATTGAGCGGTAAGCTTGTGATGATTGTGAGTCGCTTGTCCCGTGCCGAACTTTGGAACCTTGTTGACATGTCATTGCGACTTGCCTCCCCCATAGCTTTTTCGGCACGTTCAAGTACAAGTTTCTGAAAGGTTACCGCATGCACGATTTGGCAGGTCTCGCAATCAGGATTGTTCGGGACACGAACCAGCACTTCTGTTTGCAACGCCAACGCCAGCTACTCGACAAGCCGAATGTCGCCTTCCTTCCAAAGTTCCGCTCCTTACTGCTTGAGAAAGAGATGCACGCAGAGAAGCTCGTGGAAACCGGTCAGGTGTTGGAGCTTCATCGCTACTTTGGTGTAGGACTTGTTCTGCCTCAGCGGACGCTTTCTGAGCTTGATCTACTCCAAATTCGCGAACTCGCAAACGCTCACCTTGAGCCATTTTATCAGACGCGTGGCATGCCCTTGACTGAGGGTTTGCAGCAGCTGCACGAAGCGCTGAAGCAACAGTACCCAGATGTTGTGGTCGTTGGTGTCGAGCGGCGCTTTTGCAGCGCCATGCACGATCACGCTTTCATTTGCAGCCATATCCGTGCCGTCGCGCGGCACTTTGGAGGCATCGAGAACTTTCGTCTTCAAATCCATTCTCTCTTCGAAGAGCCACCAGTGTGTCCCGTGTCCCGCTCAGCACCCGTCAATCCTGCAAGCGAAACTGCTGTGTCCGCAGCCAATACTGCGTATGCCGATGATGCCCTGCCGACTGGCGCAACCGACATGGCCGTAGACGATCAGCTTGATGCAGACGGACCTGCTCGCACCTCTGACATGGCCGTAGACGATCACCTTCCCTCGGGCCCGGATGCAGACGGACCTGCTGACCGCACCTCGGACCTCCCCGCCGAGCTCGATCCGAATCACGGCGCGTCACCTTCTGCGCGTAACTCCGATGATGCTCCAGAGCACAGCTCTGGACTTGTTGAGACGGTGGCCAGTCCCGACGACCTGGTGGACGAGGACTCGAGCGTCTCAAGACCATGGCTCAGGGCGATGAGTTGCAAAGCCTCGTTCGCCAGCTCACACGCAATTGCAGCAACAGCATGCGGAATGCGACAGGTCAGCGAGGGATTCTTTCATTAGATACCCGGCGCACGCGTGGTGCAACTCGTAAGGCTGCCAAATCTACCCGAGCTGCCCAAGCCAAGGCAAAGCGAACTGCTGCTGCCAAAGCCAACCGAGCAGCAGCAGCAGTAGCAGCAGCAGCAGCAGCATCAACATCGTCAGCCTCAACCGTTCTTCCAGGTAACGCAACTGCATCCGCAGCAGCGTCGTTGGCGACCAGTTCGTGGACACGACGCAAGAAGTCTGGAGTGAAGGGGCGGCCCAAAGCTAAGCATCGTGTTCCTGCTGCACTTACCCGAGAAGTCGCAAGATCCTTTTGCGCCAAAGACAGTCAAGCATTCGAGAGCGCAAGGGCGGCGGTGACTGCGTACAACACCCAACAATAGTAGTTTGTCGACTACATCCCGACTTCTCGCAGCAATCGCGGTACTCGAGATCCGTGGGGCGACACTACCCCTTCATTTGCTAATTCCGATCCCACATTTGGGAATGCGAGTGATGGTGCACGTTCAGCCAGTCGGAAACGACCTCGATTGGAGCCAGAGGCTGACCCGCAGGAACGGAACCAGCGCAACCAACAGAGGATTGGTTTGAACATTTTGCCCCTCAACTGCGGCCGCCTGGAGGGCGCTCAGCGGCCATCCGTGCGCGCGACACAATTCGACGGTTTTCACGCTACGACACGAGTCGGGATGACGATGCAGACGTGTTTGAGGCCCAGCCTGAGGAGATGGACGACGATGACTTCAGGTACACTCTGGAGGAGTGTGTGCGTGCTAGACGGCTTGAAATGTTTGATTCAGCTGTAAACCCAGAGTTTTTGTGAAGTTTTGTATGATTGTGTGTGCTTGGTGTTGTACTTTGGGTCATTGTGGTGCTGTCCTCCCCACTGTTTTCACAGCAGCGGCGCCTGAGAGGTGTCAGCATCCTTGACCCCATTCGATTTTAAATTTTGACACATGGATAAACTTGTCTTTGAAGTTTCGCGGCATAGAACGTGGCAGAAGAGCTTGAAAACAGCTCGACAGCGCAAAAAGGAGGAAAGCGCAAAAGGAGGAAAAAATTTTCTAAGTCCAACTTTTCCTGTCGCCCCCTTGATGCTCACTGCTACGCAGCCTGACTGGGTGACCCGATCCGCCCGCCCTTCGACCCCATGACTCAAACACCAATACCATTCCATAAATGCCCTAGTAGTGGGTTGCTGGTCCACCGTGGGGGTTGGTAGCTTGGCCGTTCCCTGCGCGCTCGCGGCGCTCCCAACCATTCCCTCCCGTGCTCGGTCCAGCGCAGACTTTTTCACCGGCTCACAGTTGAAATCTACATTATCATTTATGGGCAACATGATGCTGGCAGAGAGAAGAGGCTAGATGACACTTTGAGATTCGGACCTGGAACCCGTAGTGATTTAGGCGGATTGTTCTGGCACCGAGGAAATCAGACTTTTTGAGCCGAGTTGGTGTGTCAGACTCACTCTGCATCCACAATGTGAACTTGCCATAAATGTCTGATCGCTTCACAGCCTGCGATGCATCAGGCTTGTCAAACACCACACATTTATCAATGAACAGCTTGACCGGATTGCTCTTCAACCTCAACCCTTTGATGAAAGCAGTAATATCAGCTGGAACTTCGATAGTACCCTTGTTGGAGTACTCAATCGCTCCGTTGACCATCCAGGTGAAGAACTGGTTGATATTGGGCTTGGCAATATCCCTCATATAGTTCACGTTAATCTTCTTCTGGCTACCAGTCGGATTCTCCACAAAACATGCGTCAAACTTGACCATCCGGACACGCCTCCACAGAGATGGTGAATCCTTCATATTCGGCAGATAGTTTGTAGCCAGCAGCATCTTTGCATAGCAAGAGAACTCAAACGCATTACCGTAGTTCTGGCGAGCAGTCATCACATCGGCGCCAGTCAATTGCTTCACCATTGCTTCATTCAACACGCTTTCCTCGGGCAACTCGGACATAAAACCCAAACGCTTACCAATCAATTGCATAGTATATGGACTGGCACTCTGATCCAACCGGGTCTTGCCGATAATGATTGATGGATCAACCGTTGCGCGGAACTCTCCAACAATCTCAGTCAGAATGTTCAGCAGCAGACTCTTGCCGTTGCTACCATCCGGACCATAGAGGAAGAACATCAGATTGCTTTTATTGTGACCGAATAGCGAGTAACCAAGCGAGAGTCGGAGCTGTTCAATGCGATCAGCTCGGTCCAGCATAATCTCGCTGAAGAACTTGTCAGCAACAGCTGTTCCCTTGCCTGGTTCATAACTCACACTAAGCGCAAGGCTGAAGTAATCTTCTTTCATCCGGTCACGCACTTCACCATTGGTCAGGTCGACAACCTTGCGATCGGCAATCGGCAGCAAATTCTCAGCAGAATCAAGCTTGACCTTGAACTGCGCATCATACAGCAATGTCTGCAGCTTGTGAGTGATGGCAGCTGCTTTCTGCTTCCCACCAGCATTCTTCAGCAAGTCATTGAGTCGCCTGAGAGTCCCCTCCAATCCCTTAACTTCTTCATTCTCAACCAACTCCTTCATCTGCGCTTTGCTGAGTACCTTTCGTGTCTTTTGGTCAATCTTCTCCTCGGCCAGCTGACTCGCTTCACTAATCTTGCACTTATACTCATCAATCCAACCCTGGAGGTACTTCTGCATCGTTTGACTAACAAGCACATTCATCTGGGTTGACACCTTCTTTTTCCACAGCGCTTCTGCTTCATCATAGAGGTAGAACTCCGCCTCCTTCTCCTGAACACTAACAGACGTCAGTCTATCCTCAAGGAGCATAGCCAGCAGCTCTGCGTCGCGCTGGTCATCACCCAGGTTGTTGATAACCTTCTCATTGCATTTCAACTTCGAACTACCGCCGACCATCTTGTAGAGCGTCTTCATCGTCCAGCCATTGTCAGCACACAAATTACGCTCCCAGAAACCATCAAACTTCTCGTCCCACTCCTTGTTGCCAGCCTGCGCTGAAAAGCGCTTGCACAAATCATACGCTTCGGCAGTGTCGCCAAACACAGTTTTAATCACAGCCAGCACATTAAACCACTTCTGGTAGTCATTGTAGTACTCAGGTCCAAGATGATCCATCAGGATCTCTTCAGCTTCTTCAAACCAGTGCTTCAGCTGGCGTTCAGATCCTCGCGCAATTTGGCGGGCAGCTCTCTGTTGTGCTCGCTTCTCGGCAGCTTCAGCAGTGAGTGCATCGATAGTGTCAGATTGAAGAGGCGTCGTTCCAACCGGGTTGGTGATGAGGAAGCTGGACATACCGTGCTTGGGAGTCTTACTTTTAAACGGGCGAACAAACGAACCATCTTCATCCTTAAAGCTTCCGCACACTCGCATCGCACGATCCTTGTCATACACACCGCAGTCAACCATCTTCTTCACGCACTCATCAGCGTCCTGAATAGCAATGCGGATGAACTCCTGCTGGGTCGCATTATCCTTGAAATAAACGTTCTCCTTGTTAATGATAACCCTAAGTGAAAACTTGGATTCGTTCGACGCATCGCAAGCAGCGATGTCTTTCTTCATGATCTTTACGTTGTAATACTTCTCAAATGACTCCTTTATCCAATAGAAGACCTTTCCAGTAGCATCAGCTTGGTCAAAACGCTCATCAATACGCTTCAGCTCAATGTCAAAATACGGTTTGACTGGCTTGCCAGCGAGCACCACCTCCATGTGACACTTCTGGTTGGACTTAAGCTTCTCATAATCCTCGGTAAAAGCAGCGTGATCCTTGCAGCTTTCAAACCAGCTGTTGCCAATCTTGAAGATGAACGAGTGGTTCTTCTCTGCAGCCAGAGTGAGGAGTTCAGCCTTGCTCGTGCGGCCGTTCTTGCGGATATTGAAAGAGTCAGTCATTTTGCGCTGCTATATTGTTTGGCGGGGAAATTATGTCGTCGACTATATGATATTGAAATAAAATAAAATAGTTTGAAATAAAAATGAAAAACCAGATCTTCACGACGGATAACCCAAACTTCACAAACTACCGAATATTGATTGAAACGAAATAAAACAATCACGCAAGGCTCAGATGAAAAGAACGGGATCTTTGTCGGTCAACCAACGCTTGACGATATGGGATTTCCGCTTTTGAATTTGACAATTCAGTCCATTTTTTTTTCTTTTTTTTTTTTCACTCTTTTTTTTTTTCCACTTTTTTTTTCTCTTTTTTTTTTTTTTTTCCTCTCCTTCAGTCTGCTTTGTGTCGGTCCCCGCCAGACCCATCCTCGGGTCCCCGCCAGACCCATCCTCGTTTAATTACCTTTCCTTGCATCAGGTCTGCACTGTCGAATGAATGCGAGTGAACTGAAAGACATGAAAATTGTTGGGAAAAAAAAAGACTGACTCTGGAAAACTGCTCCCTAATAAAGAGCGAAATTCTGATTGGATGTCAGGCAACGACAACGTTCTGGCCGCCGCCATCGTGGCGCTTCCGGGCGGCGATCCGCTCCGAGCACGTATCCGCGAGCTTGAAGCTGAACGTGATGCCCTGAAGCGAGAGCTGGAGGACGCTCGACGCCAGCATGCAGAAGCCATCGATCGACTGGAGCGAGAGCATGCCGAGAAGATCAATGAACTCAACCAGAGTATCGAGACTCTCCGCAAGGAGCTCAACGAGGTCAACACCAAGTACGACAAGCTTCAAGCCGGCTACGACAAGGTTCAAGCCAGGCTCGACGCGATGGAAGGCGCTCTCGCACTTGGACAGATCGTCTACGACCTCGAGGAGAAGATCGTTCTCTGGGTTCTCGCCAACGACAAGGACAAGAAAAGGCGCTTCCGTCTGAACACGGTGAGGTCCTTGACCGATCCCTGGGCCCGTACTCGCGTGCCGCAACTGGAAAAGGACGAGCAGCAACGTGCCAACTCTGTTCAGGCCGCACTCACCAGAGTGTTTGGCGACTTTCACGATGCGTTCAAGGAGGCGAAGAAGGTTCGCTTGGCCACCGCGCATCCAGTGGCAACAATGTCGCAGCAGCAACTGGAAGCACTGGCACGCGCACATCTGAAAGACGATACTCTTCTGGAAGACATGCTCAAAATCATTGAATTCTACCATCTGGATGTCCCCACCATCATTCAGCGATGCGAGGCGGAGCAGGATTATTGGCAAACTGCGTAACCTGATCGTCATTGTATTCAAGTTTTGTATCGAATAGATTAACCATTTCCAAGTTTATCCTTGTCCTATCGATTGGAAGTCTCCCGTCTTGCGTGCCACACATCATTTGCCGAGATATTGCTTGAGTCCATTGTCCAGCCTACTCTCCACCGTCTTAGCTCTCGCCAGCAACGCCCTGTTGTTCGCCCCACTCCCCGACACAAGTCGCAGTGATTCTGGGATGCTCGCTGCAGGGACTTTTGCAGCTTCCCTCGCATCCGCACGAAAATCAGCCAGCGACCGTTGATTGGATCGGCTGAATCCGCCAGCAACGTACAAATCGCTCATCCTCGCGAACGCGTCCTTCATCTCAGCGCTCCACTTCTCCTTTGGTACTTTCAGCATATCCTTTGCATAGTAAAAGTACTTTGTCGCAAGGCTCTTGTTGTAACCCGTCCCAAAAGCCAAGTCATTCTTCACTGCTTTTGGATCCTGCCCAACAAGCTGAATCGCAAGCCTCTTCAACCCGCCATCCACAACAGCGCTGGTGTCTCTTGTTCTTGCATTCAAACCAAGGTAGAAGTTCCAAATCATCTCTTTCGCCGTATCGGTCAACCTGTCCGTTTGTGTGGGCATTTTGGGCATTGCGACAAGTCCCGCGACAGAACGCACACGCTCACGCTTCACCTGGTCTGTATCGACTCCCTTGTACAAATTTGCCATTGCAAGATTATATTCCTTAAAGTAGTCAATCTGTTTCCCTTTTGCACCGAATCCCGGCAGAAAAGTGAACAACCCGAGTTGATACAGCGCGTATGCTACATCCACAGCAATGATCGCCACCATTTCCAGTCTATATGGCTCTTACGAAAATCGCTTTTGGCCTGCTTACTTGCTGGCGGTACTGTCTTTGACTGGCCTTTGTCAATGTATTCAATCATCGCGTTGTGGTTTGATTCCTCATCCTTTCTCTTCGCAACATTGAGATAGACCGTTTTTAAGCCAAGCGCATCTGCAATGACCTCTCTCAGCGCTTGGAAATCAAGATGGACTAGCGTTCTGTGGCGGATCTCCAACAGACCGTGGTAGTGGATTGAGTTGGTTCTGGGGGCGAGTTCGCTTTTGCCGTGAAACTTCACGTCCTTCACGCACTCAAACCCTTCACCAGGCACTAAGAATTTGACAAACTCTGAAAGACACTCTCTGTCCATACAAGCCTCCACTGCGGCAGCGAGGTCATCCATTTTCTGGTCCACCAGCATCTCATTCGTCGGTGAGACTCTTTGGTTTGTGTTTACCGTGATGAAGAACGGTGACAGCCGATATCGTCTGACTTTCTCTGACATCCTTTGTTCTATAGAAACGGTCCACAAAAAAAAAATAATACCATTCGAGAGCGCTCAAAGTCGAGGAATGAAAGTCGAGATCCGCGTTGCCAAAGCCCTGTCGTCTGCTGATGCCGACACATCGTTCAAACGCTCACGCAAAGCAGCGACTTTCAGCCCGATTGATCTTGCGCTGGCACGAGCTCCAAGTTCTTGAGCAACAGAATTGACTGCATCCCCTCCGTTCTTTACAAACGCTCCGATTGTCTGCTTGTTTGGAAGGCCGTCTCGCAGCACACTGAGCCCACGAAGCTCTTCATCGAGATCAAACTGCAGGGCACGATCCATTCCGCTGTTCATCTTCACAACCTTCACCTCGGCTGGTTTAACTTCAAGATCCTTTTTACTCATCGCCTTGGCGATGCTGGCTGCAAGATCATCATGCTTTACTCTCGTTTCAGATGGTCTACTGATCCTGAACATAACACCGCCAGTCTCAGGAGCTCTTTGGAGACTGGACCGTGTGCTGTAGAAGTTTCGCGGCAAACGTTTATTCGAACTCTGCAGCAGCTCATGCGCTCGGGGTCCAGACACAGCAATCCGCTGTCGCTGCGCAGTGACAAACTTGACCAGATTACTCATGCCTCTGTGGATTTGGACTGTAGCCCAAGCAAGGAACTTGATCGACTTTTTGGTGGGTACGCTCTTGCCTTCCGGATCGATCTCAAACAAAGGCTCCGTTCCCTTGTTGATCGCAGTCAAAAGCTTGTCGATTCCTTTGTTTCGAGCGAGCCGGAGTTTCAGTGGAACCTGACGAATGTCCCCTTTCTCGATGTAGCTCGCACTGAACGCTGACTGATCTCTTGTCAGCCGAATACCAGCTCATAGTGCTAGTCCCCGCAGCTTCTCCGGACGAGTTTTTTTTCCCCCTCCCCTTAACCCTCCCGGCCCCCTAGCGCCTTCCCCTGACCTCCCCTCCCCCTCCCCTTGTTCCAGTAGCCATAAATAAAACTTACAATCCCCCAGGAAGAGTCTCAGCTCAGTCAAAAATTTCATCCATGGAGTCGAGTCCGCCATCGTTGGCGCCAACCAAGCGATCAAGCTCCAGCACCTCCTGCTGCTGAATCCAATCCCCCGCCGGACGCGCCTGCTGATCGAATCATCAACGTGGTCATTCAAGGTCATGCAGCGGCCAAGAACGATCCTGCCGTTGCCCCAAGCGAGGCGCAAGTCCGATTTTCCCGCCACTGATCCTCTCACTTTTGGCGCGCTCGTCGAGCGGATCCTGGAATTGCCGCAGGTGAAGCCCGTTATCAACAAGTACATGAGCGCGCAAAGGCACAAACCACTCGAGAGGCAGACGAAGCCCATGCTTCGTTCAAGGCAACTCAAAGTGCTGGAAAATGGGATGACGATCTCACCAAGGTACTGGAATCCAACTCAGTCGAGGTGCGGGTGAGGTTGTCCTGCTCAAGCAGCCATCATATCGTCAGCTACACGCGTTTCACGTCAGGCATGACTTGCAGGGTCTGCTTGGCGCGCGCAAGCATCAAAGACGAGAGACGCAAAGCCTCGAGGCGAGCGACTTCTGGCTCGACCAACGCTTCTTCTCTTCCAAGCCACCTGCAAGACATGATTCCTACGCTATCATCTCAAGCCTCAGAGTCCACTCCAGGTGATCTTATCATCTTTACCGCTCAAGCTGCCTGGAAAGATTTTATGGAGCGAGAGCAAGCTAAAATTGATATGCCCCGGCATGCCACCACCGCCCAATCCTTCACGAAGGAGAACAAGACAGGTCTACTGTACACGCGAAAACCTGATGGCCCAACTCCCAAGACGTTTGTTCTCAATGACGCCCAGCGGACGGTTCTGAATATTCAAGCGGGCGAGCCGGTCTTTGCAGCATCCAAGAAGGCCTACCGCTGCTCCAACCGCCAAGACCAGCAACAGCAACGTGTTGCTGCTACTCGAGCGTCTGGCACTGCTGCGTCGGCTGCCGACTCCATGTCTCAGAGTGAAAACGCAATTGCTCAACACGGCAATTCCTTGCACGAACGTGTCATTGATTCCATTGCACATCCACACGATTACGACCAGAATTTTGAGGCCGTGCCTCGGTTGAAGCTTGGATGCTGTCGCTACTCGCTCGCACGATATGTTCTGGTGGTACAGCGAGATGAGGGGTACCAGCGAGTGGGTGTTGCTTTTCGCCGTACTGGCAAACATGAGCCTGCTTGTTGTGACGGCTCGCTGACGACAACGCAGCACATGCACAAGAAACTCGAAGCCTGGATGATTGACCGCTTGGACATTCGTTCCTGGGAAGAAGTGCTTTTGGAGTTTGTTCGCCGTGTCTCGACCGCACCTCGACCTAAGCCATCCTGGGAAGTCCGCATAGAAAGCACTCGGTGGTTTCCGAGCGACGCTGCGGTGAAAACCTTCTTGGTGCGCCAACTCAAGGGCGGTGCTTCGCCTGATGCTGTTCGCCTGCGCGAGTTGCAGAAATCGTGCGAACAAGACCCCACCACGCAAGGATTCGAGAAGGCCGTGCAGGATCTACGCCCAAGTCGAGGACAAGTCATGGCAGCTCAAGCTGCTCTTGTAGCGGAAGCAGCAGTTCCCCGCGCAGCGCGGCAGCTCTTTGAGAGCCTTGCGCCTGAGCGAGCTGAAATCAGCCAGCGGATGCGCCCGCCCACCCGTGCAGCCTCGCAATCGCAGCAACCTCGTCGATACCGGCTTGGATGCTGATGAGGACGGAGCCGACGACGACGACGAGGACGCCGAAGAGAATGATGGCGAGCTGGATTGGGGAGACCGTGCTTTGGCTAGCAACGCAAGAGGTGCTGCAAGCGTGAAGCGGCGGGCTGCACCCAATCGCACCGCAAAGTGGTGCAAGCGTCCTCGAACCACCCGGAGGAAGCGCAGCGGTCGTGCACTCAACGATGATGCCCAGGACGAGACGAGCGACTTGGACGAGGTTGCATCCCAACCGTCAATCTTCTCCCAGGGTGAAAGGGCGAGCACAATGGCTGACGAGGATGCGTCGTGAACTTGGTACTAGTGTGTTGAATAAACCTATGCATGCAGAGCGATAGCGACGGAGCACCTAAGGCACAAATTGCAAAGCAGA